TCCATCCAATCGATCCATCCAATCGATCCATCCAATCCATCCATCCAATCGATCCATTCATTCATGAGTTCATGATTCAAGTTCATGAGTTCACTTTTGCATCTCTTCACTTCTGTGCACATCCACTCCAAATTCGTGTCTATTTTTAACAATTCCCATCATTTCCCCAAACAATTCCCCTCCTCATCTCCACCCAAAAGTTGTGTTTCTCTTTGATGTGTTCTTTTTTTTTCACTTTCCTTTTCTCTTTTCTTTTCTTTTTCCTTTTCTTCATCACTTGTAAGTACTCAAGAAATTTTTGAGTCTTTAACTTCTCGTTCATTTTCGATCCACGTTAAAGACGGCTTACTTTTATTTTAAATCAAAATTCAAAACTCACATTTAACTACTTTCAAAGTAATTCTTAGAAATGAATACAAGCTTAATGAATTTACCGTAAATACTGTAATACTACCCCACCCCACTCGTACAGTCGCGTAGTCGCAAAAGTTTTTTAGTATTTAATTTTTTTCAAAGCACCCGTACCTTCAAAAAATGCGTCTTTGGTATCAAAAAATAGCTGAAATTCAGGGCTATTTTTTGATAAATAAACGCACATTGTAGCATAAACCAGTGTCGAGAAAAACTCTTTCAAAGCTAGACTACACAACACTCCGCACCGTCATTATGGGGATGAGGGACTATTACAGTATTTACGGTAGGTGTAAATTTGAATTGGATATATAAAAGAATATCTTCTTTAAGTTAATACTGGTTTTCATCAAAAAAAAAAGTGATCTAGCGAACGATTTTTGATCATTTCGACGACTTTTCTTTGTGTTCCTTAAAAATCCAAAAAATGTAAGATTTTCAAAAGATCTCAAAAGACATTGTAAAGAGAAGAAATCATTCTTTCTAACAGTACAAACCGTGCTTTGATTGGTTGCCGTGTCTTTTCTGAAAAGAGATTTTAAAAGCTAACCGTTAAAAGCGCTAACCTAATAAAGTCACTTTTTTTGTTGTTTGTTGTTTTTTCACTTTTCTTCACCAAAAGCTTGTACATTCGAGTTTTCATGAGATTCAGTAAATTAAAAAGTAAAACTTGCTTGCTTGCCAGCTTGCTTCTTATACAAATCTTGAATCAACATATTCAACAACAATCAACAACAAAACAACAACATACAACAACATACAACAACATACAACAACCTACAACAACAACATACAACAACCTACAACAACAACACAGAACAACAACCTACAACAACAACAACCTACAACAACAACCTACAACAACAACATAACAACTACAACAACAACATACAACAACAACATACAACAACAACAACCTACAACAACAACATACAACAACCTACAACAACAATCAACATCAACATTTCTTTGCATAATAAGCCAATCTTTAAACAATCCTTTTGCTGTATTATCTATCTTGTCTTGTTTCTTCAATATCTTCAACTTAAATCACTTTAAATCAAGACTGGAATGTACAAGCTTTTGGTTTTGATTTAAAGAGATTTAAGTTCAAGATGTTGAAGAAACAAGAGCATAAAAAGCCAATCTTTAAACAATCTTTTTGCTTTATTAACTATCTTGTCTTTTCCACATCTTCAGCTTAAATCTCTTTAAATCAAAACCAAAGCCTTGTACATTCCAGTTTTCATCACATTCAGGATTACTGAAGATCAAATTTACTTCCCAGCTTGCTTTTCCTTTACCGACAGAGTGCAGTTCAAAGGCTTATAGTTAATCGAGTTTAAGAAGCATCATTAAAATCTTGCAACAATACTGATTCTTTCTTGTTAAAGCAAAGCTCAGAAGACATGAGAATTGAAGAGAAAAGGAAGGAACATGGGATCTCTTCTCAACAAATACCTCCTCCATTTCCCTTTCCCCATTTCTCTTTCAACATCATCTCATCACAAATCTTTTCTCTTTTCATTTTTCTACAATTCTTCTCTTTTAACAACTTGTGAGACGAATTTCAAAGAAAATCTCTCTAAAAATTTGCCCGTCTGTCACCTTTTTGACCCATCAATCTCTAGAAAATTGTTGAGAGCTACAAGTCTATTTTTCTACCGTTTTTTTTGAGTGATTTCGGTGCAGGGTTGTCTTCAATTTTTTTATTATCTTTCTTTTACTTAATAATTAAGCTTTCAACTTGTTTTTAATCTTGAAACAACTGTTGAAAGCAAGCGTTGAAAGCAACCGTTGAAAGCAACCGTTGAAAGCAACCGTTGAAAGCAACCGTTGAAAGCAACCGTTGAAAGCAACCGTTGAAAGCAACCGTTGAAAGCAACCGTTGAAAGCAACCGTTGAAAACAACTGTAAGTTAACTATCATGCTAGTAAATCATGACTTAAATATCATGCTTAAATATCATGCTATCATGCTCGAAATTCATTTTCATCATTCTATTTATTGAACACACTATTTTGGCTTAAACATTTCCCACTTTTTGTAATCCTAATAAGCTTTTAACTTATCTTATAACCTTAAAATCACATCATAAAACTTTCCCCCAAAGATTCGGACTCAAAAATCTCTCAAAGTGTTTCTTTATCCAAGCAATTGTCGAATCGAACATTCCATTGAGATATTTTCAATCTTAACGCTTTAGAGTTAAAAATAAGTCATCAAAAGGCAGCGCCCACCCCCACCAAAAGCCTCAAGGCAAGAAAAAAGGACAATCAAATGACGTCATCTATTTCTTTCTCTCCTTCATCCTCTCTTTCACAATTCGAATTTTGGACAAAACAAACCAAATAAACAAACACCTCCGCTGGATGCTTTTATAAGGAAATGAGCAATTGTCTAATGGTAGCTATTATCCGTTTTAGACTAAAATTTGAGTCTGAATCTGATTCAAAGACTATTCAAAAGCTAAAGCCAAAGCTTTTTAAACTATTGATCATCAAAAAGTAGCCTCTTAAACTATTGATCATCAAAAAGTAGCCTCCTAAACTAACGATCATCAAAAAGCAGCTTCTTAAACTATTGATCATCAAAAAGCAGCCCCTTAAATTAATGATCATTAAAAAGCAGCCCCTTAAACTAATTATCATCAAAAAGCTGATCATCAGCCTTAAATTCCATCTCACTTTCACTTCAAAATGCCAGATCTTTGGGCCTTCAAAAGGCCAGATCTTTTAGCCTTCAAGAGGCCAAATCTTTGGCCTTACCGATCTTTCTAACCTTTGTAAATTTGTAAAACTACATTTACCCTATTGTTTATTTTAATGAAAACCATAAAGTTGTTGAATCATTATGGATTTAAAGACACTATTCCCAATTTCAATCGACCATACACCATGTCTATCCAAAACATTTTGTTGTTTCACTTGTTTACTTTGAATCTCCTCCACTTTTTGTCTTGTTTCTTCAATTGATCTGAACAAGTGTCTCCATCGCTTTCCTTCTCCTTTTTCTACGAATCACGTTTGATCCAATGTGATCCGTCTTAAAGAAAAAGCTTTTCCTACAAATTACCCGGAACCAATCAAATGAGAGAAGTAGAGAAGGAAGTAGAGAAAAGAAAGAGTCAGTTAACTGGGTTAGATCTGGGGAGGAGATCTGGACTTCGGTTAGATCTGGTTAGATCTGGACTTCGGTAAGATCTGGTTAGATCTGGACTTCGGTTAGATCTGGACTTAGATCTGGACTTCGGTTAGATCTGGTTAGATCTGGACTTCGGTTAGATCTGGTTAGATCTGGACTTCGGTTAGATCTGGTTAGATCTGGACTTCGGTTAGATCTGGACTTCGGTTAGATCTGGACTTAGATCTGGACTTCGGTTAGATCTGGTTAGATCTGGACTTCGGCATACGTATCATGTGTAGTACGTTCAGATAAATGGATATAAAATCTAGAACTATGATTAGGTTAGTGCTAAATATAAAACAAATCCATTTCTAGTACCATTTAGCCCATTTCTAGTACCATTTCTCGTAGATCTAGCCACTAATGTCACTGTCATCCCTCAGTACTCCTCTACTACAGTATCCTGCAGAAAATCCTTACGAAAACGATTATAGAAAAGAAAAATGCTTTCCAAGTTTCAACATAATTAAAGTTTAGCTACTTAATGATTCTCAGGTTCATTGTTAGCTTTGATTCTTTGATTTTATTCAACTATAAGTTATCATGAGTATCTCCGAAACTCAATCGAACTTTTCAAAACTTTGTCCTTTCTCTTCCATTTCATCAAAAACCTTCAAATTTCTTTCTTTTATCATCATTCATTCCATTGAAAGTCTAAAATAACAGCAACAAAGTGAAAGTGAATTCTTTTCCTCTAGAAAATTTCAATCAAAACATCAATGGGTTTGATGGAAAAGTGAAGAAATGAGAAAAAGAATGGGTAGATTTTCAAGGGCAAAGCAAAGCTTTTGTTAAGATTTATTGACAGGGTCTCTATTTTGACAGGATCATGTTGTGACTCAAATAAAGAGAAGAAGGGATCTATGCCTCAATGATTTTTCTTTGCGTTTTTGCTTTTCTCACCCTGGTCAGGTGTTAGGGAGGGGAGGGGAGGAGAAGCGGGTGGAGGAGCGGGAGAGGAGGGGAGGGGAGGAGGAGCGGGAGAGGACGAGACGCTCAACCTCAAGACTCTCAAGACTCGGGAGAGACTCCCTCAAGCACTCTCACCTCTCCATTCAACCCAAAATAACTGCTAAATCACATTCAACTCAAACCGAGAGTTGAATCCATTCAATTCCTTGTTTCGATCAACCGATCAGCTGATAAATTGGCGCTGTACCTTCGAACTATTGTACCTATCCCTAGAACCAGAAACTACTGTACTACTGTACTTCTAGAGCTACAGTACTCTTCTACCGTACTAGCTATTTTCCCTATTGGGTTTGTACTTTATCGTACTCTTTCTAGACCTTTAATCGACTCTAAAAAGGACCTACAGTAATCCTGAAACATCAATCAGTTTTTGATTGTACTCTACCAACGATTCAACAGTCAAACTACTGTACTAAAATTGGTCAACAACAATGAGCTCATCAGTAAGCATCGGGAAAATCGGACGAATGATGACGAAGCTCACGCTTGAGCCAGATGAAGATCCTGATGATCTGCCGGGCACAAAAAAAGAAGTCTTTCAAATGTTTGAGAAACGGGGATCCGATCCAAATCAGCGAGCCATTCTCAAAGTCCAAAATCGAACAGCTAGCCAGGCAAGTCAAGTCTCTGGATCTGGATCGACACTCGATCGAAACACTTTACGCGTTAAAAGAGTCAGCAATTCCGAGCTTTCCCCAAGTGATGCCGAGTATTATCGCGTGAGTTTTGAGCTTGAATTAATTCTAATCGACAAGAGAAGTTTCATATAAATAGTCACATAGTCACAATTGGATAAATCTCTTGCTTGACAAAGGTGATCTGACGATCTGACGATTTGATGATCTGACGATTTGATGATCTGAAGATCTAACGATCTAACGATCTAACGATCTGACGATCTGACGATCTTCTGACGATCTGACGATCTAACGATCTGATGATCTGACGAAGTAATCCAGTTCTTCAACTATTGCTATAGAAAAAACCTAACGCTAGAGTCTTTCTTTCGTGACTTTTGCCCTTTTTCACGTCAAAACTGAACAAGATCTTTGCAAAAATTCACTCCTAAATGAGCCTTCTTGTCACTATTCCATTTCAATTTGTTCACTTCACTCCCCTGAACTTCCTCGTTACATTGAAAACCCCCATTTTTTCATTTCTACATCAAGTTTTTCCCATTTCACTTCGAAATCCTTCAATTTTCACCTAATTTTCCTTCGATTTATCAATCCACAATGACTACTTTGGCCATAAACATTTGAAAATATTCCTCATTTCTTATATTTTCTTTCAAAAAAGCTCTTTGATTGAATTAAGATGAATGAAAACGGGCAATTTTTTGAAACAAATTCAAGTTAAGACCTACGATCTGTGAGTTAAGACCTGTGAGTTAAGACCTGTGAGTTAAGACCTGTGAGTTAAGATCTGTGAGTTAAGATCTGTGAGTTAAGATCTGTGAGTTAAGATCTGTGAGTTAAGATCTGTGAGTTGAGATCTGTGACTTGAGATCTGTGAGAGCACAGTTGCTCAAATTTGTGAGCATCAGAATGAGATACTTTCACAAAGTTTTCCCAAAGTTTTCCCAACAATTTCATACCCTTTTCCAGTAGAGGCAAGGTTTTTGAACATTCTAAAACAAAAAAATCCTTCCTCACCTTTTTTTCCTTGAAAAGATAATGAATGTGTTCGGGACAAAGACGTCAAAAATTTCCCTCGAATCTTGTGTTTTACGTTTTCCACAATTGCCATCTTTCCCCGCGCCAATTCCCCTTTAAACGTTTAAAAATATTAAGCCTCAAAGTTCACTCATCAAACTAAAGGGATCATTAAGGCTTTTTATGAACATTGGTTTAAAAAAACTCATTTAAACAAGTCATAAGTCATAAGTGATGAATCCTCAAAGGATTATCATGAATCCTATGGATAAAGTTTTATAGGATCACTCTAGACAAGACTAGAGCCAATTCAAAAGGCCGGTTTGGGTCTAGCTTGATTCAAAAAACTATCCGAATTCTAGGCTAAGCAAGAACCGGACTAAAAGCCAAGTCTAGTTCCCGATGAATCCACTTTTTGTGGGCTACTCCTGCAATTAAAGCTACGCCAAGATCTAGCTTTTCGATTAGAACTGTCTTGCTTGATTGTTTGAAATGTTTGGCCTAGAAATATGCCCATGAACCGTGCCAGGTCACCATCCACAAAAAGCCAGATCATTTCACCTTCTGAACTGGCTATGGTTTTGCCTAGTCTAGAAAAATGGAAGAACAAGAATCTAATATTGTTCTTGCATGTTTGGGTGCATAAAGATAAAGCTGTCTAAGCCAGTTTTACCTTTATGCACCCTTGCACAAATCGTCGTTGTCTTCTCATTGCCAATTCAAAGCCTTGAAAGAACTGAAGAAACTTATCTTTTCATGAAAAAAAAGAGAAAAAAAGAGATCAAGTTAGAGATTCTCTAAAAATGAACACAAGGCAAACCACAAGCCGTTTAGCGATTCTCGAAGAGCTGAACTCTCCTTGTTTGTCCTTTCCCCCATCTCGATTTTGTTCAAAACTCTCATAACCTATCAAGAATCGAAAATCTCGTGTTCCTTCTTTTGAATTCTATTTACACTTGAATCCACTTGACACTTGTCGTTGGCATTGACGTCGTTAATGCTATAGCAATAAATAGAAGGGGAATTCTTTTGGAAATAGGTACTACTTGCGTTTTGTTTTGCACTATTAGACTACTAGACTATTTATTAGACTACAAAACTTTCCTGTCGTTGGCATTGACGTCGTTAATGCTATAGCAATAAATAGAAGGGAATTATTTTTGGAAATAGGTACTACTTGCCTTTTCTTTTGCACTAACACCTCTTTTTGGATCAAATTCGAGTCCCTAGTTTAGGTCTATATTGTTAGAAATCGAGATCTTTTACTTTACATTGCCTTTACTTTTACTTTACTTTCACTTTTACTCATTTCAAGTAATCCATCAGTACTATACAATTATATAATTATACTACTTTAAAATGTGATTTATCACTTCGTTAACCCGTTAACAAACTAGCAATGGGTTAAGACCTTAAGAATTCATTAGAATGTTCCTTAAGAATTCATTAGCTTCTAAGTTCATAGCTTAACTCGAATACAATGTATTGATTAAACTCAGAATAATCGGAATCAAAGAAAGCTTAGTTATAGTCTCCAAATACTCTAATAGAACGCCAATTCAGTCGCGTAGTCTAACTTCTTTCAGTCCGCTAGATTAGAGTGTGTCCCTCTCAAGTAATAGCGCAAAATCGGAAATGTTCTCGTTTTCTAAAACGTGGATCAGAAGCGTTCTTGGTCATTATTCATGAAATCGAAAACGGAGTCGTTTCTTATTTTGCACTATTACTTGAGAGGAACACACTCTACCCTAGATCTTTCCAAACTAGACTTTTAAGCACTAAAAAATACTAGATTTCAACGGGCTATCATTGCAGACACTTTAGCATAAAGCACATTTAATAGACGTTCAAAGTTAGACTTTTAGACTATTGGACTATTAGACTATTAGACTATTAGACTATTGGACTATTAGACTATTAGACTATTAGACTATTAGACTAGACTACTAGACTACTAGACTATTAGACTATTAGACTATTGGACTATTGGACTATTAGACTATTGGACTACTAGACTATTAGACTATTAGACTACTAGACTATTAGACTATTAGACTATTGGACTACTAGACTATTAGACTATTGGACTATTGGACTATTAGACTATTGGACTATTAGACTAGACTACTAGACTACTAGACTATTCGACTAGACTACTAGACTACTAGACTATTTATTAGACTACAAAACTTTCCTGTCATCAATGCACTCAAATTTCTATATACTATATAGTTTTTTTTCTTGTTTCTATTCTTGTGAATCACAAAATTCAAAATTAACTTCAATTAGGGCTCTTTTTCTTTCTTTTTTCAAATTCTTCTTTTCTTTTCTTTTCTTTTCTTTTCTTTTCTTTTCTTTTCTTTTACTTCTACTTCTACTGAGGTCATATGAGAATTTTTCATCAAAGTGAAATGAAAGAGACAAAATTAAGCACTTTTTTTGCTTTTTTTTTTTTTATTTTACTACTCTCCCACAAATTATAGCATTATAGAAAATTTTGGATTTTTCAAGCAAATTTTCAACTTTTTAAGTCAATACAACGGTGCTTATTAGTTTTTTCATTTTTTAAATAACGTTTTAGATTTGAATTTCATTCATTTCCATTTCAAATTCAGTCATTTTGTTTTTTTTTTTTCTGTACTAATCGAAGAAACTTTTTCCAGTCAACTTCTTCAAACAAAACCCAGAAATAACCTATCCCCTATTCTTCTACTAAAAACAGAGCAAAAGTTGAAGCAAAAGAAAAAAGGAGATCGAACAATGGTGAGCCGTGTGAGGATTCAGGTAAAGAGAGAGACAACCCAGAAACCAGCCACACAGGCTCAACAGCACACATTCAGTGTTGCCTAAGCCACTGAAGCTGTAACACTTGTAAGGAGAATTCTAAGCTGTAACGCTTGTAAAGAGAATTCTAAGCTCTAACACTTCTAAAGATCCAAATTTTGCATTCGTTTCAATGAACACAACCAAACCAAATCTTTGTGCAAAGAAAGCAAAGATTTACTCTTAAAATTTCCGTTTTGCAAAGCAGGAAGTGAATGCAATTTTTGAAGGTTTCAAAATTTCATTCACATATTGGGCATTCCTTAAATTTTAAGACACTAAAGCACTGACAGGCTTTTGGCTTAAGAAGGCTTATGCAGAAAATTCACTCTCTCTGGCACATTTATTCCTTGTTTTTTTTAAATTAGCTTGTTAACTGAATACTTTTTAAATCATGCTATTGTTGGACAACAACAACCAGAAAATATACTAGATCGTGCAGGTTTCAAGTAAAGCAATAGTAAGCTTTCGAATAAGCTTTCAGCGGGCTCAACTAAGCTTTCCAGTAAGCTTCAAGGAAGCTGAAGTAAGCTTTCCAGTAAGCTTTCAGTAAGCTTCAAGGAAGCTGAAGTAAGCTTTCGAATAAGCTTCAAGGAAGCTGAAATAAGCTTTCCAGTCAGCTTTCCAGTAAGCTTTCAGAAAGCTTCATGAAAGCTGAAGTAAGCTTTCAAATAAGCTTTCAGAAAGCTAAAGCAAACTTTCGAATAAGCTTTTAAGAAGCTTTCAAGTAAGGCATAAGGCCCTATCCTAGTAAAACCGACCTAGTAAAAGGCCTATCCTAGTAAAACCGACCTAGTAAAAGGCCTATCCTAGTAAAACCGACCTAGTAAAAGGCCTATCCTAGTAAAACCGACCTAGTAAAAGGCCTATCCTAGTAAAGCCTGAGTAAAGGCTTCCTAGAAAGCCGACCAGTAAAAGGCCTTCCTAGCAAAGCCGACCTAGTAAAAGGCCTTTCCAGCAAAACGCCTGTAAAGGTAAGCTGAGTAAAACCGGCCTCAGCAAAGGCCTATCCAAGGAAGCCGAAGTAAAGGCCTATCCTAGTAAAACCGACCTAGTAAAAGGCCTATCCTAGTAAAACCGACTAGTAAAAGGCCTATCCTAGTAAAACCGACCTAGTAAAAGGCCTATCCTAGTAAAACCGACCTAGTAAAAGGCCTATCCTAGTAAAACCGACCTAGTAAAAGGCCTATCCTAGTAAAACCGACCTAGTAGAACATGTGTATCTCATTGGTAGAGCGCTCTCCCGGAAAGCGAATCGTGCGTTCGAATCCCGGCGCCGATGTTTCGCATTCCCAGCTCAACCCATAAAAAGACCGTTTCCAACTCTCAGAGAAATTTGTTCTACTTAAACCTTTCTATAACTTGAAATCTCATCAACTTCTGTCATATGGTTGTGATCTCTTTTCCCCTTGTCCACCTCCTTCCCCCCCATCCTCTTTCCCCCATTTCTCCCAAGGGAAATCCTTCAAAAGCTTCCACATTTTTTCACACCCCTTTTGTCCTTTTCATTTTTTTTTCACTTCAGGATTTTTTCTTAGACTTTTCCATCTCTTTCCCGAATCAATCAAAGGAAAAGCAACGAAAATCATAAATCTCAAAAGAATTCTTCGTTCAGGGAAATAAAATTGTTCAGTGTAAGAGTTATCGGTGAAAATTTTGTCATTTGTCATTGGATGAAAAGGAAAAGATTTTCTATACATTCAAAACTAGCTTTCATTAATTGTAAATTCAATGAACGAGGAGGGGAAAAGCTAGCTAAAGCGATGTATGAAAAAGTTCGATTCAAGTGCTTAACTTAAACTCAGAAAATCACAGCCTATTACCGATAGCAAAGAGAACAAAGAGAACAAAGAGAATTCAAAACTTAAAATAAATTCATACAATCAACTCGTTTTCTATAAAAACAACCATCGATAAGTTAACTTGTGCTATAAATACTGTAATAGTAATCCACCCTCATAATGACGGTGCGGAGTGCTGCGTAGTCGAGCTTTGAACGAGTTTTTCTCGACACTGGTTTATGCTACAATGCGCGCTTAGGTATCAAAAATAGCTGAAAATCAGGGCTATTTTTTGATACCTAAGCGCGCATTATAGCATAAACTAGTGTTGAGAAAAACTCGTCCAAAGCTAGACTACGCAACGCTCCGCACCGTCATTATGGGGTTGGGGGACTATTACAGTATTTACGGTAAGTGACAAACTGCTTAAATTTCTTTTAACTTCTCAAGTATTATCTGTTGAAATCCCAAGAAATCTTTCCAAATAAATTCATCGAAAAAATATTTTCCAAAGTTGAAGAAAAGTGGATGCTTTTGGGGAGAATAGTAAAGTTTTTCCCCTTTTTATGACGTCCCATTTGAAAAAGAGGGGAAAAATGGAGGCCGGATATTGGAAAATTCATATAGATGCCCCTTTCCATTTTATTTTTTTTCTTCTGTCTTTATATGAACTCTAAATATTTTCACACCCTTATGACCCATTCAGTCTTTTGATTTTCTTTCTGAAAAAGAAAGAAATTTTCTTTCTAAAGCTGAAGATATCTTTTGTTTTCTTTTTTTTTTGGAGTAAACAGAGCTTTAGGCTTTGAAACTCCTTCATATTAAAGTCTTATTTAAACTTTAAATGATCCAAATGATCCAAATGATTCAAATGATTGCTAAACTTTAGAAAAGTCTTATTTAAAGTTTAGAAAAGTCTTATTTAACATTAGAAAAGTCTTATTTAAACTTTAAATGATCCAAATGATCGCTAAACTTCAGAAAAGTCTTATCTAAACTTTAAAACAAAATTTGTTCATTTATAAATTAGAAATTTAACACTTCTAAATCGAAATCAGTTCAATTTTTGGTTTTTCTTTAGTTTTGACAAGTTAAAGAGATCGTTATGGATTTGAAAATTGATTTAAAAGATATTATGGAATATAGAGGAGACTCTTGATAAGGTTTTAGAAAGTTTGATGAAGCTTTAGAAAGTTTTACAGCGTTTTACAGCGTTTTACAGCGTTTTACAGCGTTTTACAGCGTTTTACAGCGTTTTACAGAGTTTTACAGTCTTTTACAGTCTTTTACAGTCTTTTACAGTCTTTTATAGACTTTTTATTCTTTTCAATACCTATTGCTAGCTATCGTTTGTTCATTTCTTAAATTTCTTTATCTTAAATCGTTTAAATGATCCAAATGATCTAAATGATCGCTAAACTTTAAAAAAGCCTTTATTGACCCTTTTTCTCAAGTATCCACTCAACCATCTTTATTGAAAAAAGAAAGATTCACAAAAAAAAGTTGACGATTTGGTCAGTCGCCAATCAACAAAATGATTGAATCAACGAAAATGGTAAAATCTCTGAAATCTAATAAACTCCGGAAAGCAATGTCACAGGTTAGACAAATTGTAAACTCTAAAAGTCAAGCCCTAAAACTCTAAAGCTCTAAAACTCTAAAAGTCAAGCTCTAAAACTCTAAAACTCTAGCTTACGCTCACACTAAACTTTATTCCAAATGAAAAATTGATTTTTATCTAATCGAAAGCTCAGATCGAGCTTTAAGCGGCTAATCTAAACCCATTTTAATTCAAAATTTGAGCTCTTTTCGATAAAAAAAAAACGATTGCATTGATTGTTTTTTGTGATGACATGTAATCAGATTCAAATAGTTAAACTATCAAGTTTACAGTATCAACTCTCGTACTTAAAACTAGTGGAACTAAACTAGAGTTCGTCGCGCGTAATGCGTTTTTTAAAACGCACAATTGGAAAAAAATTAACGTACCTTTAGCAAAAATTATTACAAAAAAATGAAAAAAAATGAAAAAAAAATGATGAGCCCCGCATTATATACGGCGCTTTTTTAAAGATACTCAGCTGTTTAACTGATTTGGTGAAGAATTTCCTTCCAATGTATTTTTTTTTTGAAAAACCTTCCATCCCTAATCCTTATTTCTTATATAAAAATGAAGATTTCTGTCTTATTTCCCTATCTTTAAAAGCTTTCCTTTCCGATGAACTGTTCGAGGGATCTCCCCCATTCCCCTTCTTCCCCTTCTTCCCCTTCTTCCCCTTCTTCTCCCAACTCATCCACTTACAGTGTTTGTCTTCGAATTTTGAGTGAAACACATCTTTTCCCTCGAATTTTCCCATCCTTTCCTCTTCCTATCCTCTTCCCAATTTCTGAATTTAACCCCCAAATCCTTGAAATCTTTTTTGTGGTCATTGGTGATTCTCATAGTCAGTTTTCTGCCTCGAAAGCTTTGTTTTTGACTTTTTGATTTCATTCATTCATTCTTTCTTTCTTTCTTTCTTCCTTTCCTCCTTTCTTTCTTCCTTTCTTCCTTTCCTCCTTTCTTCCTTTCCTCCTTTCCTCCTTCCTTTCTTCTTCCCCCTTGTCTTTCCTACTTTCTCTTGGCAAATTAGCTTTGTGGTTAGATCAATTACCCGAAAAGTAAAAGATCATCGGTTCAATCCCTGCTTCGGAAATCTGTCAATTCCTTTACTTTTTTATTAAATTGAGATATTGTCTTGTTTTAAAACGAGCTTTGATCTGATGATGAGCTAGAGTTTAAACTAAAGCCTAAACTAATCCTGCCAGCAAACCAGCAAACTAATCCTGCCAACTAATCCACCCCAACTCCGTTGCCCGTTTTAAGTAGTGGTCCCACCCACCCCAATACATTGGCCCGGTAGCGGCTCCGCCGCAGGCGCCTGACGGTCCGGTAGCGTTCCATTTAGCGTTCTCATCCAATTTTTAAGCAAACTCACCAATATTCATCCATTTCAACTCTAAAAATCTTTTTCCAATCCGCTTTCTTTCAAACTCACATCATTTTCTCATTCATCTTTCCTATTTTAAGCGAAAGAAAAAGGAAAAGAACGTCCTTCATCTCCAATACTGAGAATTCCAAAAAAGATCTCTATAATGAATGGTTTACTATTTTAAAAAAACGCCAAATTACAACTTTCATAATATCAAAAATGTCTATAGCTAGTTTCTCGCCAAATAACAGAAAAAAAATGGGATGCCTAGAAGTTAATTGTTGCCGCTGGGGAGGGAAAAGTAAAAAAAAATGTGATTGTTTTCCCTCAAAAAGGCTCAAAAAGACCCAAAAACGCGCTACGTCACAAATGAGTCTCGTTTGTTCGCTTTTTTTTTCCCTACAAATAAACATTCATTAAAATTTCATCATTTAGCTAGCCAATGAGTTTTAAGTCATTGGCTTTAAGTTCTGTAAAGATTTATCAAAAGTTCTATAGTGAATTAGTTTAAGTTTAAGTTCTGGAAATTGATTGGAATGGAAATCAGGCTCATTTTTAGCAGTTCAGCTTTGTCTTTACTTTTCCCGTTTCTTTCTAAGATTGACCTTTGACTTTTCTTTTGCTATGATCTCCTCATTTTACCGAGAATTTCCTCACTTTCCTTCCCTACTTTTCCCCCAATTTCATCATTTAGAGAATTAGACAAAGCACCAGCCATTGAGCAGTTCAGCTTTGTCCACTTCCCTTTTCTAAGATGACCTTGCTTTCTTTGCATGACCCCATTTACGACATTTTCCCACTCCTCCCACTTCCCAAGCACATTTAGACAATACGACAAAGGCACCAACCATGAGCAGTTCAGCTATCCTATTTTTCCCGCTTGGCTGACCTTGCCTTGCTATGACCCCAATTTGCCAAGGAGCCCACTTTCCTTCCCTACTTTTCCCCCAATTTCATCATTTAGACATCGACTAAAGTGCTTACAAAACCAATCTCATTTTGAGCAGTTCAGCTTTGAATTTGTTCAAATTTTCCATTTGATAAAGCTTTATCTTTTAAATCCCATTCTTACAATTAAATCATTCTTATAGCATTCTTATTCCCATGAAATTTCAACGAGTTTTTTAAAATAAGCAAAAGTTTTCTATCAAGAATTTCCATGTAATTTTCCAGGAGCAATCGGATGCTCAATCTCCTCGCGCATCCACCTCATCGACTTCAAACACTGGCACTCAGGTGAACAGGCTTTATGACTCATTTACTATCGCAAAAAACGTGTTTTGAATGAAATTCCAATAAAATAATGTCAATTTTTCTAGGTGAGAGCCTCTCCGCCACGTCGAAACTCAACTTTCTGCAAACGCGGCTCAATGACGATGGATCCATCAATTAAAAAAGTCGATCTCGACTCAACGTACAAAGTGTACAAACAGGTAAGAGAATTTCATCATAATTTCAACCATTTTTTCCCCGTTATAATGCACGTTTTTGTGTGAAAAATGATAAAAAAAAAGTTTTGAAAGTCAAGTTTGATGATGAGAGGGAGAAATGCGTGACGTCATTAGGGAATAGGCTTGAGAGCGCTTGAGAGATCTTCACCTTCCTCGTGATTTCCATTGATGAGGAGGGAAAAGTTGAAAGATAAAAGGTTGACCTAGGTTTCGTTCTTGTTTTGCGATTGAATTGTAGGAAAAAGAACGCTTGATCACTGGGAAACTTGTCACTTTGGGTACTTTGTCCTCAAATGGGAACATTCGCTTGTTAGCACAGTTGTTAGTACAGAAAATGAGCCAGAAAGGATCTTTTGACAGTTTTGAACACGAGTAGTTCAATGTAGGATAACTTTGAGAGGTTTTTTTTGCTTTCTAGCCCACTAAATGCTTTGATTTGATTGTAATTTAAAAATTGAGTGAGCCAAAAAGGGTACGTTTCCATTTTGCTGGAAATATTGACTTAAAAATTGAGAGAGGAATAGCTATTGAGGTATTGAGGTATTGAGGTATTGAGGTATTGAGCTATGGGGCTATTGGGCTATTGGGCTATTGAGCTATTGAGCTATGGGGCTATTGAGCTATGGGGCTATTGGGCTATTGAGCTATTGAGCTATTGAGCTATTGAGCTATTGAGCTATTAAGCTATTGAGCTATTAAGCTATTGAGCTATTGAGCTATGGGGCTATTGGGCTATTGAGCTATTGAGCTATTGAGCTATTAAGCTATTAAGCTATTGAGCTATTGAGCTATCAAGCTATTGAGCTATTGAGCTATTGAGCTATTGAGCTATTAAGCTATCAAGCTATTGAGCTATTGAGCAATATCAATAGCTATTGAGATCGGTAAACAGCCAAATTGTTAAGATTTTCGAAAGAAAGAAAGAAAAGTCGAAAGAAACATTTCCTTATTCAAAAGCATGTCCTCCCCAATTCCCTCTAACAACAGCATGTTCAGCTCTCAAACATTTCCCCAATTCATTTCCCAATTCATTTACCTTTTTTTCTTTTCCAGTCGCATGCTTCAGCCTACACAAAAGTGGAGAAAACGATCAGTCAGGTATTCATTTATAAATTTGAATATTTTCAACTGAAATCTATGCTTACCCCAAAAAAAAAATCAATCTGTAATTTTGTTTTTTTTGCATGCGAAACTTTATTCTAAGTTATGGAAACAATAAACATTGGATTTAACAATAAACACAAATAGTTTAGTTAGTGTTAGCGATTAGCTAATCAATCTTTTATTTAGCTTGGCACCGGTCGCTTTGGCTACATCAAACTCGCTGAACACAAAGAATCCCGGCAGAAAATCGCTATCAAGTTTTTCCCTCGACCACAAACGAAACAGGTTTGTAAAGAACCAGTCAAAAAACCACGTCCAACCGTGCCATGGCTTCGGTCTTGTGGCGCAGCGCGTCTGTCTACAACTCGCAAGATCCGGGTTCGACTCCCGGCTGTGCCTTGACTTTTGCTTTTTAAGACTTTTGCTTTATGAGATGCACAACTACAAAGAATTCTAAGAAATTTTGGGTTAAACTAAGGCCGGCTAGGCCAGCTAGGCCAGCTAGGTCAGCTAGGTCAGCTAGGTCAGCTAGGCCAGCCAGGCCAGCTAGGCCAGCTAGACCAGCTAGACCAGCTAGACCAGCTAGACCAGCTAGACCAGCTAGGCCAGCCAGGCCAGCCAGACCAGCTATTCTAACTCAGCTCAGATATTTCTTTATAGATCTATTATACTCACTAATATTTGGGTTACGGTAGCCAGGTGATCTTTTAAAGCATACTTAACAATTCTATATCTCAGATAGACTTTGTGCGTGAGTACAACTACTCGTATTTCCTCTCGCCTCACTACAACATTCTCGACACATATGAGGGAATCATGCAGGTTGATTATTTGCTTTAAAAATCTTTGATTTTGAAAAAGAATTTGAAATCTCGAGCCTTTCTCAACTCATAAAATTTTCCAGACAAGCGACGAGACGGCTTTCTTCTTCGTTCAAGAATTCTGTGCCACCGGCTCGCTGAGAGACGCCGTCGAGGCAAGCCCAAATGGTTTGTTTAATCAAAAAAAGCTTTATCAACTGTAATAGTACTCCACCCCCATAATGAAGGTGCGGAGTGTTGCGTAGTCTAGCTTTGAACGAGTTTTTCTCGACATTGGTTTATGCTACAATGTGCGTTTATTTATCAAAAAATAGCCCTGAATTTCAGCTATTTTTTGATACCAAAGACGCATTTTTTAATGTACGGGCGCTTTGAAAAAAATGAAATACTAAAAAACTTTTGCGACTACGCGACTGTACGAGGGGGCTGGGGTGCTATTATAGTATTTACGGTAAGCTATTGTGTACTGTAAATACTCGTATACCGCTAGTAGTACAATAAAATACGATAGCAAAAAGCACAATGTACAATAGCTCCATTATTCACTCAAAATTTTGCAGAAAAAGCCTGATCACTGGAATGATCATCGCTTTTCCCCAAACTAACATCTATCTTGTTCTCATCTAAAGCAAAGCGGAACCTTTCCTTTCACTTGCTGATCCTTTTGAGTGAGCTAAAAATATCAAAAACAGCTGTTAGCAGTCTCATCCATTTCTTTTCTTCATCGAGATTTGTCTATGCTCTGAACAACTTCTTTCTTTTCTTCTTTTCGTTTTTTGTCTACTTTTCCATCTCAATCTCATTGACGTCAGATATTACAAAGATTTCCCATTAAATCGAACGATTGAATGAGAGCAAAAAGAAGAAAGATATTTTAGTAGATAAGGGGATTTATGTGCTTAAGATAGATGAGAAATTTGGAGAAAAAAGTAAGCTGAAAAATAAGGGAAACAAAATTATTTAAATAATGAATAATGCGAATTGAAAAATAGTTTATCAAAGGTTTCAAATAAGGAAAAAAAGTTACTTAAAGTTGCTCAGCAATAAGCTGAGTAACTTTGAGTTGAGTTACTCAAAGCTTGAGTTACCCAAAGCCCAAAGCTTGGTTACCAAGCTTGAGTCCAAAGCTGTACCAAAGCTTGTTACCAAAGCTTGGTACCCAAAGCGTACCAAAGCTTGGTTACCCAAAGCTTGGTTACCAAGCTTGTACCCAAGCTTGGTTCTCAAAGCTTGAGTTACTCAAAGCTTGAGTTACTCAAAATTACTCAGCAATAAGATGATCGATTTCAGGAATTGGTGAGGTGGGCACGCGAGCCGTGATGTCCGGGGTGTTGGCCGCAATCGAGTACATGCACTCGGAGGGACTCGTTCACCGTAATCTCAAAGCCGAGAACATTCTCATCTTTGACAATAAAAACTACACAAAAGTGCGTTTGATTTGCATTTGATTTGCATTTGATTTAAAGCTTAAACGTCTAACAATACTATAGCGATAATCAAGGATGATCTATTCTCTAGGATTCTCTATTCTCTAGCATTCTCTATTCTCTAGGATTCTCTATTCTCTAGGATTCTCTATTCTCTAGGATTCTCTATTCTCTAGGATTCTCTATTCTCTAGGATTCTCTATTCTCTAGGATTCTCTATTCTCTAGGATTCTCTATTCTCTAGGATTCTCTATTCTCTAGGATTCTCTATTCTCTAGGATTCTCTAATCATAATCAATCTATTCTTTATGTAACAAGTGCTTTTTTTCAGGTAAAAGTCACTGACTTCGGGTTGACAAGAAAAGTCGACTCGACGGTGAAATATCTGGAGTACGTGAATCAATACCATGCTCCCGAGTTGTGCGAAACGGTGGCAAATGAGATGTTAACCGTGGCAACGTCGATTGATATTTGGGCACTTGGTGAGTCAATGAATGGTGGTTACAATGAATCTTGAAATATTCAATGAAAATTGGAGCGTTTGGAGATACTGGAGATGCTGGCTGATTAGAGTAAGGTGGAATCTAAAAGAAAAGTCTAAAAAAGCTAAAAGAGCAGTATCTATGCCCAACTAGTTGTTTCCTTGAATTGAAAGAAATAAATAAAAATCGAAACAGCCGAGAGGCATTACGGGGGTCGAACCCGGACCGTGTGGGTTGTAGACCGGCGCCCTGCCGACTGCACTAAAGCCACAACGTGTCCAAGATCAAAACATCCAGCTAGTTAAAGGGCACCGTTAAAAGCGGGTCTTTTGGCTGGTGAGAGAAAAAATAGAAGTAAAAGTTCTAAAATCAGCTCGTCATATCCATCAATCGTTATTTTCATCATCTACTATGCCATTTCAGGTGTCATCATCTACTATGCTTTAAAAGGTAAATTCCCGTGGCAAAAAGCGTCGATAATGTGCAAACCATATTGGGAATGGGAACAATGGTTGAAGGTTTGATTTAAATTGATTTTTTTTGATTAACGTTTTGAGCGTTTAGAGATACTGGAAAGTCATAGTCATAGTCATAGGCTGATTACAGTAAAGTAGAATCTAAAAGAGAAGTCTAAAAGATCTAAAAGAGCAGTATCTGTCTGCATCTAGTTGTTTCATTGAATTCTAAAAGTCATAAAACCAAATTTGAATTTAGAGAAAGAATCCGGTTCTTCCAAAGAAAATGACGGCTTTCACCGAAAAAGGCATCAAACTTTTCAAGAAGTGAGTCTTCGGAAATCATTTATTTACCTACAAACTTCTTTTTGTTAAGAAAGTTCGCCAGAAAGTTGATTAAAGAAAGTTCACCGTTTAACTATTGATGTGAAAGAGCAATCCTTTTCTAGATCATTCGCTACAAAGCCAAAAGATCGCTGGACGGCGAAAGAGTTGCGAAAATGGGTGACGAAAGAGAAATTGTTGAACAAAGTCAAGGTAGAAAGCCGTTGAAATCGACAATCACAAGTGAAATTGTTGTTGTTGTTGTGCACAAAAGAAAATCACGATTTCCTAAAAACCCCCACAACTCACCACTTCTCCACCACACAAATCCCCGAAATAAACTTGTTTCCAAGGGTGCTTTGTGGGTTCAAAAAAATGTGTAAACACATTCTTATTAGCCCAGTTGCTTCTTTAAAAAGTACACCAGAAAGGATTTGTTTCCACTTTTTTTTGAGCATAAAGTACCCAAAGTAATTCATATCGTTGTGTTAGTGTTTCTTTCTTTCTTTTTTTCAATATCGTTATCGTATCACTATCAAACTCCTCTACTTACTGCTTCACGTGTCCCAAAAAAAGTGTTTCTCAAATAAAAGCCTTACAAGAACAAGAACTGGAGTTGAACATACTAAAAATATAACAACAATGCACTGGAATTGTTTAACAAGCAATAGTTTCTAAGGATTTTTCAATTTATAAGATAAATCATTAGCCAAATCCATTTAAAACCATATACAATTGTTGATTTTCGACAAGAAAACACTATAACTTTTAACAAAAAACTATAAAAAGCATGCAGTTTTTTTTAGTTTCACATATCACTTTTGCATGTTTTTTTGCGTTCATAGTTGCACTCTATATATCGTAGTTTAAGAAGAAAATTTCCAGGCGGATTCCCCGGACGACTATGTTTATTATCCAGAAGCAGAAGCAGAGAAAATGGAAAGAGAACCAAAAGAAAGCGCACGAGAAAGAGATGGAGGAACGGGGAAAGGTGAAGGGAAAAAGCAACGATCCGCTTTGCATCAATGGATAAACTCAACGCTGAACACAATGGCCGAGATCAGTGAACAAGTCGTTTCGGCTCATGATTAGAGTCATGATAATGTGTCTTTTTTTTACAACGATGTATTTCAGGGTGGATGTTTGGGTGTTTGATAAATCTTCTAAGTTCTAAATTTGCTAAAATATAAAAGTCCATGCAAGTGTAACCGATTTTTAGCATAATCGAGATTCAATTTGCATTGTCGACCAGTTAAAAGTAAACTTTAGAACGAAAAAATTTGACAATTACCAGATTTATTCACTCAATCACGATCCTCACAAACAATTTCTTGTCTTTACGGGATTCATATCAGTGTGGCAAAATCATTGTGCTTTGATTCTTTGTGTGTTTTTCATTTTACAAAAACGTTTTCTATTCATCTGAATTCTACAATTCTATTCTCATTTGCTCAGTGTTTCGCCAAAAAAATATTCAAAATTTCACATGTTCAAAAAAACGTTTTCCGATCTTTTTACAGTCTTCGTCATTTGGTACAGGTATAATCGTCACAAAAATCGATTTAGAATAGAAAATTTAACGAAATTTGTTTGTCTCTTCATTTCACACATAATCGTTTGCTGTTTCACTTCTTTTTTTTTTCATATGTGGGTGTTTTCACTTTCCGGTGCAATGTTTGAATGCAAAATAGTCTAACTTATCCCATTTTTTTCATCACACATCCGCTTTTTTTCTTCATCGGCATAAATCGAAAGATTTTACTTCGCATTTCATTAGATCAATAAATATTTTAAAGTTTATTTACTCACACGAAAAGCTTGGCAAAAATCTGGGAGCAGCTTATGTATGTACAGTTTAATCGGAAAGAGAAAATGTCAAATTAAAAGGAAACACAAGTAATTCTTAAAGTACAAATGGAAAAAATAAAGGATAAGCCCGTCAAGAAAAAACCGCTCCTCATCAAGTCAAAAAAAAGTGAAAAGAAGAAACGACATTATTATTTCTTCTTGAGTTGATCAAACCGTCGAGCAAGTTCATCGAAATCGAGGTCATTACCTAAAAAGCATAAATGTATTTTGCCGAAAATAGTATAGCATAGACTTTCGCTTATCTAGAGCTCAAAATATTATTTCAAATACCTAGTCTGCTATTAAACCTCCTATAACAAATCCAGACAGCTCACTATTTTACCCGTTAATTATCCAAAACATTCTTACCTCCACTGCCGCCACCGCCTTCATTTCCAGGCTTGTTATTCCCACCGAGGCCACCCGATGGCACGTCAGGGAAGTTGAGGTTCAACTCTGAAAAATGAAAAAGTTAGCTAGTGAGCTTGTAAATGTTCATGATCTAATCCAAAAACCCATAAAAGCTAAACTAGCCAAAATCGGAAAATGTTAGCGAAATATTTCGTTACACGGAAATTAGGTAAGTGTCGACTATGGGTGTGTGAAGTGCGAGAAGGTGAGGGTCACCAATCTTTTCCAAATGAAAAAAAGCAAAAGGACATAGAGACAAAGCGATAAGCACTGCAGAGTCATTCCCACCCTGATCAGTCGGGTCTTCAAATGTTTCTCCTTTCGATCGGAACGTTTCCAAAGTCTTTTGTGATGCATCAATGTATGGGTACCTCCCCTTTGGAGCATATGGATCGTTTGACGGATTCCATTGAGGTGGAAAACCGCCATCTTTGTATTGAGTGGGAGTTGTTGCATCAAAAGCATCCTGTCGCACAAGAACCGGAACTCCATTTGGACCCATTACATAGGTTTCACCAGCTTTTGGGGGTGGGAGTCCAGGGAAACGATTCAAATCTAATGGTTCGAGCTTTTCCAAATGATGCCCACCAAAATCTTGTGACTCTCCGAAATGCATTTGTTGGCTATTAGAAGTTTGTCTATAGCCGGGCACAGCCGGGTCAATGTCCATGCTAGACATGGTTCCGCCTTTACTTTTCAGCTCCCAAATACTCATGTATTCCCCGGTGGAAGGGATTTCATCGTAAATATGCTCATCGGGATTTTGATTTGGAAATTGGTTGATTGGTGATTGGGAACCCTCTCCTTCTCGCCACTTCACAACACCAAACTGTGGATGTTGGGAAATCTCACCGAAGTCATTTGGCGGTGGTCCGTCGGGTTTTCGCACCGTCTGTGGAGGAGCAGATGGACCGCTTGGCGGAGTCACCATTGATCCCTAAATTAAAAGACATTAATTTAATCGTTTATATTCTTAATTTTTATCGACAAATTTCTAAACAGCTTTTGAGCACCTTTAACACTCATTCTGCAAAAAAATAGGCCCTAGCGTTCCATTTTCCCATCGCTCATTCTCAATTCCCAGAGGGGCATTTTGAAAATGAAACATACACGCATAATCAAAGATTAAATGGTTGGTTTCAACTTTCTAGACGCAATAAAACTTACACAAAGTTGGTCTTTTCGATTCTGTTTAGCGGGAATAGAATTAGTAGGAATAGGGGTGTTTTGTGACGAGTTCTTGGCACTTTCGCGACTGCTTTTGATCTCTTTCTCCTTGGAGGGTTTAGCCGAGTTGCTTCTGCCCTTGCAGGAATGAGAGGTGGCACGACATGGACTCCTTTCTGCACCGGCACCCTTTCGTGTGCCTTTGCATGAAGTGGTGAACGAGGTGGTTTTTCTACGGGACATCAACAGCATGGTTGCTGAATTGGAGATATGAGTGAGGAGGACAAATTAGAAAGAAAACGAAGTAAAGTATTACTGAAAAACGAGGAACAATCAGTGGACAACGACTAGCAACTGGGTAAATTGAATAGAGTTAGAAAGGTGTGACTCCAAAACAGGGAACTCACTAGTGAGGAAAACCTATGGGTGCCTGAAAAATGCAATCAGCAAGCGGCCGGTATGGACCTTTCGAAAACGGAAGACGGCGGAGATTGCTTCCAAAAAAAAGGTCACATGAAACGCAAAAATGATGAGGAAGTTCGAAAAAAGCGAACGAACGGAAATTGAAGTGGGTAAATGAACCGGGTTTCTCTATTGTTTGAATTCATCGCCCAAATGCCCAATTGAAATTGAAAGTCCTGCAAAAACAGCAGTGCAACTCAACACTTTAAAGCAATATTTCATGGGCTGATAAATGTGCAGCGCATCTTTGCAAAATGTTACCCCAAAGAGAAATAGTTGTGCTGAGCGACAAAAATGAAGTGATCGAGAAGCGAGTCCCGTCAAAGCCCCAGGGAAAGCCATCACAATTCTCGCCCAATTCAGGCAACCGCCCAAATCAGAAAAAAAAATGAAGGAGGAAAAGAGCCAAAGATTTCTGGCTGACACAAGACTTCCCATAGCCAAAAATTCTTAGAAGTTAGCTTATTTCTATAACAAAACCAAAATAAGTAAAAGAGTCGCGATTCGTAAGTCATCAAAAAACAAATTGTTTCATTCTTTTCTTCGGCAAACGTTCGATGCAAAGTGATTTTAAAAGAAGCGCCCAGTGCCTCAAAACGCCGAATTCAAAGAAGTAAATAAGGCGTCGGGAATTTGATAGAAGAAACAAAACCCAATTTCCGTTCCCCGGTTTGAATTGAAAGTCTTGTCAGACAATTGAAAAAATCACGCGTTTGAAAACTTAACAAATCTATTGGAAAAGCAAGCACGTATGAAAGAATTCGTCAGCCCAGTAGAGGAGTTTAATTGCGGGCAAAAAAAAAATCGAAGCCCAACAGAACGGCGTTCAACGACACTCAAACAGAAGGGAGGGGCTGTAATCAGCCTCATCCGGACATCTCTTCTAAATGTTGTTGGGGTGTGAAAGAGAAGAAAAGGAAAGGGACGGAAATCCATGAAAAGCAGTGGCTGTGAGTTGATTGAGGATACACTGGCAATTATTCTTTCCCTGTTCGATTCCAAAATTGAAGTTTCAAAACAATCAAAAGCGTTAAAGGCTTAAAAATGTTGCAAAGTCCCAGTTTCTTGGTCACCAGTTAGAATAATGGGCAAAATTTAGGATTTGACTGATGATAAGAGATCAAATCATCACTCAATGATAACTTTTGGCCAATGAGATCAGACATTATGAACACTTTCAAGAGTCAATATTTTCTGGGAAACCCATCTTGAACACTACTCAAAAATTGAGTGTTGACACGAGTGGCCAGAAGTGTGGGTGTAAAAAAGAGATCATCGAGCCTATTTCTAGCAATTGCTGATGAGCCAAATGATCAAAGCACGTGGGATTCATTGAGAATGGACACATCTTGGGGACAAATAAGAGACCACGATCAAACAAGGCCGTTTCTTTTGATGGGACTGCAACTAGAGCCAAGTGTCAAACTATCAAACAACAAAGTCGTAAGGTCCTTGGGGAAAAATTCGACCTAACTCATCAAAGCCCATGTTTCCAATGGTTAGAATGTTCAAAGAGGTTACTAGTGACCTAGTTCAAAAGAGCAAGGTTTAAAATTCCCAATGGTGTGAGAATTTGTTTCCGATCTAAAATGAATCTATGTGGGAGCATTAAACTAAATTCGAGCAATGACAAAGTAAAAATCTGCGGTTTAGACACGTGCAAATCGAGACAAAAGGTGAATCGGAGCCTCCCAAACTCATTGCACCACGCGGCTATAGACAAAAGATGAATAAATGATGAATCAAATATATAAAAGACAAGTCGGTGGTCATTCATGCATAAAGACATCTTATTCTTGAATCAAAGCAGTCGAGCAAAAATTTGAAGCTTTTTGATCGCTTCAGATAGGGGGGAAATTAAGAGTCATGCAGGATTTTACAAATTTATTTTAAAGTTCTTGGGTTTTTCGTTAAAGTTGAAACCACCATAATTCTTCCCTTACTTTAATCAAAATTGCAATTTCCGTTTTACGCATTTTCAATGTTATAATAACTGCTTAAAACATACCCTTTGACTCAGGAATGGGTATGCAGCTGGTGGGGGTGCGTGTGGAGGGCCGGTGGGCGGATTGAGCGGAAGCCCATTTGGTCCGATTTGTGGTAGTTGAATGATTCCCGGAGTGGCGTTCGGTTGTGGATTCCAATTGAAGTCGTCACCGGGAGGCTAAAGCAAATTTTGGAATAAAAGATAAATGTTAGGCCATTTAAGATATCAAAACGTTTAAGCCCCTCATGGGATAATACCCAAATTAACCCAAGACAACAACCAACCACATCGTATTTGGGTGTAGATGAAGGGACCTCGTAGATGTTCCCACCTCCTCCCCCATATGGGGGCGGCGGTGGAGCTCCGCCAGGTGGTGGATGCCCACCTCCTTGTGGAAAGTTCCAGCCGTAATATCCCTAGAATTTTAGCTTACCTATCAATTTTGAGAATTCATTTTACTATTTGCATTGTTGACAAAATTTCACCTCTGGAACGGTGGTTGGTGGTTGCTGGTGTGGATGAGGTTGTGAGATGACGCCTCCACCGCCACCTTGTTCGTGAAATTTGATCAGCATCTTCTCGGCTTGACTCACCTAAAAATAAGATAACTTTGCACAAAAACCACCAAAAATACCTCATCTTCTCGCATCACATTTGGATCGGGTGTGAACGGAATTCCGGCCGCGCTAGCAATCTCTATCAGATATCTAAAGGCAAATTAAACTGGTTCCACTAACTTCTCCAATTACCTTTCGACGAGTGGCTTTGGTGGTGCGGCAATATCGAGTTTTTGGATGAGCTTCGGGGAGACTTTTGCTGGCGCTTCAAGTTGATTTGCACGAGCCGCTTCAGCAAATGGCTTCTTGTATTTGTGCGTGAGCTGGTCCGAGATTACCTAACCAAGAGTTAACGAACAGCTTGATGCTAAAATTAACCTTGAACTCCGGAATGTCTGTAGTAATTCGAGGAGCCGCCCAAAGAATGCTAATCACCGCCTCAGCAATTCCATCGTCGACTGTGCTAAAAAGATGGTACTGGTTTGGTTTGGGCTTTAGTTTTGACCTTGAAAAGTGCCCCAATGGTCGATAGCTTGGGCTCTATATAGAAGTGCGGATTTGAAGCCAAAAAAAAAGTGCCTCCTGCCCAACTAGGATAGTACCAAAAAGATTATTTGCTTACGATAGAAGGCTTGACATGATACAGACAAAATAAATCTCAACTTACGTCATTTGTTCAATAAGGCCAAATCGAGCAAGGAGAAGATCACAATACATCTCGAGAAGTTCGTAGGCTTCGACTAAGTAGTCCTCACGGATGATGTGTTCGACGCGGATACGGGCTCGGTCCGGTTTGTTGGCTAAAATTAAAAATTTAATATGTAAAATGTAACAGCATATAATGTATTTTGTGCCATTTTGTCTGGCTTTATCGTATTTTCGAACTGCTCAAAAATTTTAAGAGTATTTTAATTTCTCAAGCTAAATCAGGGCCAAAATAAGTAATCATAACTATCATTATTGAAGCTTTTATGTTAAATGATAACTATTAAAAACAAGATAAAATATACCTTGAATGTAATCGGCAATCTCCGTTCGCGCTTTCATCCCCAGTTCGGTCTTCTTTTTGCCCATCATCTTCATTCGATTGATCGCCAGTCGAAGATTCGTCTTCAACTTCGGCATGTTGTTGCCCCACGAGATCGACATCACTAAAAAAAACAAAAATTATAAGAAATTGCAAAGTTTTTAACGTTAAATCAATGAAAAGGATCAAAATTTAAGAGCTTTTGTGAATTTAAAAGCATTGAAAGGTTTTTGAAGGTTGTGAAATCACTATGACTGTCTTGTGTGATTATCAAGACGATTCTTTCATAAAGAATGACTCATTGAACCAGCTATCAAACGAGAGAAACGGCAAGATTGGGCAAGAAAAAGGAGGAAATGAGAAAACGGGAAAGAATAAGCCGGGTTACGGTAGCGGATCCAACCTTTGAAAGGATTCAAGCTGAAGACGCTCGTGTCAAGTTGAAAAATAAATTTCTTTTTTCTGCTGAATGAATGCTTGAATAAATGTCAATTTTCTCACTTAAATGCAAAATTTCTTGTATTCTTTCGCAAATCGCAAACAGTAGTTTTACGAATTTAAAACGAATTCAATCTCAAACGTATGGAAAGAGTTTGAGCCGTCTCAGATCAAGGTTTGCACGCTTAAGCTTAAGATCAAGGTTTGCACGCTTAAGCTTAAGATCAAGGTTTGCACGCTTAAGCGTGCGCGAAATTTGAGCAAAACGTTTTCGATTTTGTTTATCATTTAAGCAAAACAAAAATCGAAAATTTTTAAATCAAAACCCAAACGATGACGATTTTTGACGTATTTCTGTAAATCACAATGTAAAGCAATCTTTATTTGCTAAAAGAAAGATCAAAAAGTATTTTAGTTCAATAAACCCGTCAAAATTTTCTCCTAATAAGCTCATTAGTCAGATTTTGATTTTCCCGATTGGAAAACTTTTCTGAAGCATCTCCGAATCGCCCAGAAAACGGCGAAAATCACAAATGCGACGAGTAAAATAGAGTAAATGATGATATCGACGAGGAAATATTGAGCAAATGAAAGCTGTCTGCCGTACGGATCCAATTGTGGAAGTGCACCGAATCTGGAATTGTGCTTGCTTGCAGATATTTCGAACAGACTTTTAGCATTAGGCGCTTTCAAGAATTTGCTTAAAGCTTTCTCTGCTTAAAGCATTCTCTGCTTAAAGCAACTTGTACAACTCAATTTTGTTTTCACTTACTTTCCCACAAATTCGATGTTCTTTAAGAGCACTTCTTGTGGCTTGAAAGGTGCATTGTTGAGGATTGTGGCCAACTTGACCGCGCTCTCTTTATAACTAAAAGGATTTCTAATTATCTTTATTATCTTTAACATCTTTAACATTTTAACATCTTTAATATCTTTAACATCTTTAACATCTTTAACATCTTTAATATCTTTAATCATCTTTAATCATCTTTAACAGTCTACATGCAAATCATTAATAGTTCAAATCTATCTTTTTTCCAAACCTTTGATCATTCAGCATTTTTGTTACAAGCGCTGTCAGCTTTCCCGTGGATCCGAGATCGAATTTGCTAAAGTATTGCGCTGATCCGTGTCTCTCCAACATTCGCGCGTTTCTCGGTTGATCGCCCATGATTGGAATGACGATAGCTGGGATACCACTGAAAATTTTGTTCTAAAGCATCTAGAAATCTTGAATATACATTTGCATTAGAAAAACTTATATCTATTCGTTTTCTCCTGTACCTGTAAGCCAATTCCGTTGTGCTCCCCAAGCCACCGTGTGTCACAAACAAGTCAATCTTTCCAGAAGCTGAAATTTGATCGATTCAATTTCTAAAATTAGAAAACTGTAGATTAAGTGAAAAACTAGAATTTTAATACTTTAATTAAAGGCAGGCTGAGATTAAAACTGACATTTGAGTGCTGAAAGCTGAAACTAAAACGGACAAAACGGATCCAACAACAACAGAAAAACCCACCAAGAAGATCACTTTGTGGAGTCCATTTTGAAAGAAGCAAATTTGCGGGCAAATCTTTCAAATCATCCTCCTCGTATTTCCAAATAAATTGTACATCTATATTAAAAGTTAGTTAATCATTTTTCAGTATAATTAAAAATTTTATTTTTTTTAATTTTTTTTTTTTTTTTTTTTTTTTTTTTTTTTTTTTTTTTTTTTTTAAAAAATTTTTTTTTTTTTTTTTGGGGAAAAAAAAAAGGGGGAGAAAAAATTTTTTTTTTTTAATGAAAAAAATAAAAAAAAAAAAAAATAAAAAAAAAAGGGGGAAAAAGATTTTTTTTTTTGGGGGGGGGTTTTTGGGGGGAAAAAAGGGGGGGGGGGGAAAAAAAAAAAGGGGGGGGGGGGGGGGGGGGGGGGGGGGGGGGGGGGCCGGGGGGGAAAAAAAAAAAAAAAAAAAAAAAAATAAAAAAAAATAAAATTTTTTTTTTTTTTTAAAAAAAAAAAAAAAAAGAAGGGGGGGGGGGGGGGGGGGGGGGGAAAAAAAAAAAAAAATAATCATAATCCCTACCTGGCATATCTTTTGCCATTTGCTTTATTGAGGCTTTCTGTGCGGGACTCATGAAGGAAGATTTCGCAATCGACCCAAACGAGATCAACACCGTTTTGGGCTTGGTGGAAACAGTCTTCACCCATTCCTAAATGTTTTATGTTGATTCTTTAGCCAATGACAATTCATAATCCATTTCCTGACCTCATTCAATGGTTTTGGCACAGCTTGTCCCATTCCACCGGCAGAGATCACTTTATGGAGAGTTGGATGAGGGAAATCGAGAAGGGGAATAGCATTCGTGACAAGGAGAGCTGATCGAGAGACGAGTTCCTGAAGGATTGGTGGTGTAACTGTTTTATCTACAGTAGACTACAGTAGACTACAGTAGACTACAGTAGACTGTAGTCTGTACTCAAAAAATACCTGAAGATCCGTGAATTTCGGATCAATGTGTTTCCTGAAGAGTTCCGTTTGAGCATCAGCAATCCCCAGGAAAAGATTTCCACCAAGAAAAGCCGAGAAAGCGTTTGAAGCTCTTTGCAAAACGCTCATCTTTTCATTCGTATTACCCATCGAGGCTAAAAGTTGAATTGAAAACTATTCTCTTCGTCTTGCCGATTGTCACTTGCTGTTCACTAACCAGGCACATAGCTGGGCACTCTTGGAATCCCGAGAAGAAGTGCTTGATGATCGAGGAGAATCGAGGTCGAATAAGCAATCACTGTTTTCACTCCAATCATCTCAGCTAGGCCTGAAATCAAAAAATAATTCAAGCTCCCAAATCTCCTCACCATATCCACAAAAGTCGAACACTTCGCAAACGGCCAAGTCAAACTTTTGCCCTTTCAACTGCTCGATTATCTCACTTTGCATTGATGTCTCACATTGAAGAGATAACATTAGAGTCAAGTTTTTGAATAACTGCAATCCCCAACATTTCTCTTCATTCACCATCCTCTTACCTCCATAGCAGCCATTGGACTCGGATCATTTACCCATAAAGCTTTATTCAATTCATCCATTGATCCCCCATCCATCAATCCACCCAATTCTTTATTCTGCTCGATCACGATCTCTTTCACATATTTCGATTTTCGTTTGTATTCGGCTTTATTCGCCAATGGGACTAATTCAGTCTAAAAATTTTAAAGAAATATAAAGATTTGAAGAAGCTACACTATTGGACAATGAAATATCATATTCGAAAAACGATCGTCACTTTCGCGCGTCTGTAACTCCCTTGTCTTTACCGTATTTCTAAATATTAATATTACCATTGTGTAGTCCTTGAAAAGAGCTTTCAGAAAATGTATAACACTAATAGTTTAAACTCAAAGACAAGGGCGTTAGAGACGCGCGAAAGTGACGATCTTTTTTCAAATATGATATTTCCTTGTCCAGTACTGTAAATGCAGAGTTTATTTTCTGCGATTTCATACAAAACTTTGAGCGCTGATATCTTTTGACAGGGTGCTGCGTTGCAAAAACGAAAAGCAGATTCGGAATCAGCGCAAAATTCTACGTCGGTTAGTATGTGGCTCATGTCATTTGGCCACCACACCTTGTTGACATTCCCTTGTCAATAATATTGTACATCTTCTCCAGGGGATCCGTCAGGGCCTAAACAATAGACGAGTCCTTTCTAGTTCTAGAGCTTAGGACCAAGAGCTTAGGACCAAAAATCTATCGTAGATCGATAATCTACAAACCAGTATGACAGACGACTTTTTAGGAGAACACCAAGTTTACCAGTTTTACCATTAGTATTTAGAAATACGGTAAAGACAAGGGCGTTAGAGACGCGCGAAAGTGACGATCGTTTTTCAAATATGATATTTCATTGTCCAGTACTGTATATAAAGATTTGAAGAAAGTTTAACAAGAACATTTCCAACTCACCACATTGTGCCCGGCTTGTGCCAAAATATCAGCTATTAGTCCTGTTTGTCGGCTGTGCGAATGAGAGAAGACAATATTGTACACCAAAACATTCAAAGCGCATTCATTTACGGTCACAAAAGCAAGCAATAGATAGATCAGCGTCTTCATCGCATAAATCTAGAAAAATGGATCTTATGATTGAAGAAAACTCGTGGTTTTTTTAAAAATAAATCATGTAAAATTTAGGGAAAGCTGGAGAAAATTTTCTGGAAAAAATAAAGCCAAAATTCAACTCAAATCTTAAGAAAACTTCCTATTTGAAACCTCAACACAGTTCAAAATCAGAAAAGTTAAATCGTTCTATGAATTGAAAACGTTTTTTGCTTGAAAGGATTTTGAAAACTTGAAAACGGTGAAATTTTTGCGGGCAAAGAGTGAGCTGGGCAAAGAAAGAAGGAAAGAAGGAAAGAAGGAAGGAACTATGTATTTACTCTCTTTTCGCTTCGTTTTTCTCGTTGCTTTTTTCTGTTTTGTGCTCGATCAATCGGTCGGTCACAGGGCAAAAAGCGAAAAAGGCAAAAGAAGAAAAAGTGACCACAGAAAAGAGAAAAATAGATGTAGTTTTGTGCCTCTTTCATCCAGGTTAGACCACTCACCTGAGATTTTTTGCGGGTCACTAGAGAAAGGACAAACTCGAGACTAGAGTTATAATTGTGATATGTAACTGCACAGGGTGCGTCATAATTATTGCAACAAGATACTCAAGGCATTGCACACCAAGAAGTTTCACTGGAAGAAGATTTTTAAACAGAAATAGCTTTATTTAACAGTAACAAATAAGGAAACAAGAGATCATTCGATATGACCGCCTTTTGCCTTGATAACAGCCCTTAATCGGTTCGGATATGCCTCCACTGCGGCCCGAATGTCATCTTGAGGAGTCGCCTTTCATCCTTTGGTCAAAGACTTCTTCAAAGAATCCAAACTTGTGTGTTTTCGAGAGCAGACATTAGCCTCTAAGATTGCCCAAATGGAAAAGTCCATCACATTGAGATCCGGTGAGTTTGGAGGCCATTCATCCTTGGTGATCACTGAGGGAAAGTTGGCCACACACCAGTCCTGAACCGTCTTCTTCGTGTGAGCGGGAGGCAATTAGGCAAGAATAAAGAAGATAGAACGCAACACAACAAAAATGGGGGCAAAAAAAATAAGAAAGCTGTTTGGAGAACGGTCTTTGAACTCTTGTTGCAATAATTATGACGCACCCTGTAGTGGCGTCGTAATGGGAATTGGGATGGGTTGCATCAACAAAAACTGTCATTTCCATCAAATTATCGATTCAAGAATGCCTAGAGGCTCAATTTATATCAGCTCTTAAAGCCTAAACTAGTCCAAATTAATGGTAAATGTTTTGTAAAAAAGACAAAGACATGGAAAAATTCGTAGCAAAAATGTCCATAGGTGAATTTTTTTAATTTTCTTGAAGCTGATTGGGCTACAAATTTGTGATCAAAGGTTTTTAAGGGATAAGAAATCCGAAGCTGGCATCAGTCTTGCAAAAATAACAAGCTAAACACCCACCAAACTCTCGAAGCATATTTGTTTTGCCTTAAAGTGCATAACAAAGCTAAACAATTTCAAAAACACCATTACTTTCAACAGTTGATAGTAAAGTTTTCAATTGAAAGCTCATTTGAAATTTTCAAAAATCGTTTTCAATAGAAGCAAACTCCGAGCCATATTTGACCGTTTTTGAATCGTTTTTGACCGAGTATGAATGTTGTTCTCCGATTAATTATTTCAACAGAGACAAAGACCAAATCGGGCTACTCGAGGTTGCGAAATCGTTTTTTTTTTTTGTGCAACTCAATTAGACCGATTTTGCCAACAAAATGCTCTCCTAAAAGTGTCTCCACCACACCAAAACATTCAAGGTTACGGAATTCAAAACTGAAATCTTTTAGTTGTAAGTAATTTAGAGGAGGCTCTCTGGTGTTACTGGTTACTTAGTACTTAGTTTACTTAGTATATCATATCTCTACTAATTTAATGTTACTAAATACTTACGATTCTTCGATGCAGAAGGCTCTTCAATGTTGAATTGAAAAAAACAAAAATTATGGCAATATTCGTAATCGGCTCGCATTTTTTCTCTTATCTTTTAGTTGTAAGTAATTTAGAGGAGTGTTACTGGTTACTTACCGTAAATACTGTAACAGTACCCCACCCCCCTCGTACAGTCGCGTAGTCGCAAACGGTTTTTAGTATTTCATTTTTTTCAAAGCGCCCGTACTTTCAAAAAATACGTCTTTGGTATCAAAAAATAGCCCTGAATTTCGGCTATTTTTTGATACCTAAGCGCGCATTGTAGCATAAACCAGTGTCGAGAAAAACTCGTTCAAAGCTTGACTACGCAACACTCCGCATCGTCATTATGGGGGTGGGGTACTATTACAGTATTTACGGTAGTATATAATATCTCTACTAATTTAATGTTACTAAATACTTACAATTCTTCTATGCAGAAGGCTCTTCAAAGTTGAATTGAAAAAAACAAAAATTATGGCGATATTCGTAATCGGCTCGCATTTTTTAAAGTCTGAATTGAGACAAATCCTCACTAAAACCAAATTGTCGGCAAAATGTAATAATAGAACTTTTTGATGAAGTTTCATGTAGAAATGATGAAAGTAAATCGATCTACTATATAAAAGCCAAATGTCTCTCTGTCTGTCCGTCCGCCGAAATCTCAGCCCCCAGTTAACCGATTTAAATAATCTTTTCCTTGTTAGATAGGGAATTTTATGTAGTTGTGCATCTCACCTTTTAAATTTTTTAAATGGAAGAATCAGAATACTTAAGGGGATCGAACCCGAGTTGTGTGGGCGAGAGACGGTCGCGCTACCCACTCCGCCATGGATGCAAAAGACGAAGACTTGCATCATTGCCGGAAATTTCTTTTCCCCATTAAGTTATTCAATTAATTGATAGAGTATCTTTTGTTAGCGTCCCGTCTCCAAAACGACCTAAGCCAAACTCCAATTAGTGAGCCAAAGCCGCATTGTACAGCATCTCCAACTACCCACTCTTGTTCACAGCCGCAGGTCCTTTTGAGCAATCGTGTACTCATTCCAAATACGTCAGTATAGAAGTTCGAAATGCAAATGCAAGCAACAATTGACAATACTTCTTTTATCTATTGACAGCAACATACGGTAAATCCTCTAAAAAGCGTCGCAGCGGTTATTAAAGGAGTTCGTAAATTCTATTTTACACCAAAAATACCGTACTTACTACCACGTAGACACAAAGAATCGAGCTTTTCTTTGCATTTTTAGTATTTTGAATTGTTTAAGTGCTTTAATAATGTTGTTTTTATGTTTAATGTTTTTCTATCAGCATTTACTAACTTTTTATTTTAGTCGAAGTCCTACAATGTGTATCTTTCAAAATCGGAGTGATTGGATACGCAAAGAGGACCAGCAATCAGGCAAAGCAATCATTTTGGAGTTGATGAACGACGAATTTGCGAATGGAGATCGCAGGAAAACAAATTGATGATGTCTAACAAAGGATCAAAGAAGCTATCTAGTAGTGGACGTCTACTACGCTCAGCTTCTGCAAGCAAGAATCGACAATACTTTGGTCAAGTTGATGGAAGAAGTGGATTTGGACGAGGATGTCAACAATTTGGATTATGACTCTGATGGCTCGCTCGTAAGCAATGACGTCTTGGACGATGATGAAGAAACGGCATCAATTTGGGCATTGAAATCATTCAATGATGTTGAAAATGGCGTCTAAATGTTTGACAAAGGGTAAATTTTTATATTAGGTTGTTAAAAGTACGTTATTTAAATAAATTTTAGTGAACTTTTTGAAAAACCTGAAATTTTGTTTTGTATACTAGTTCCAGATTTTCTTGTACATTCGAAATAATAAGCGCCGCCCTTTAAAAAGCGTAGCATCTAGAGCTCAATCGAAAAATAACGTTTGAATCTTGTGAAAATGTTTTGTCTATGGTTTTTTATGGGGCGCGAAGTCGGGTAGTCAAAAAGGCGACAACCCGAAGACACAATTTAGGCGTTTTGGTCGACAGAAATCTACCGTAAATCCGTGACGCTTTTTAGAGGATTTACGATAGGTTTCTGTGGACCAAAACGCCTAAATTGTGTCTTCGGGTTGTCGCCTTTTGACTACCCGACTTCGCGCCCCATAAAAAACCATAGACAAAACATTTTCATAAGATTCAGACGTGATTTTGTAGAAAAATATTAGGCCTTTCTAATAAAGCCAGTTGTAGGTCAGTTGGTATTAAATAAATTAATAAATTTGTCATTTATAAACGCTAGTAGAACAAATTGTTACCAAGACTTATAAGCCTTAAACTTACAAGTTCATTATTAGACTAATAATCAACTTGTAACTTTAGAGAAATTAATTCAAGTTTATTCAGAGACATCTTTTGTAACCCTTTCATTTTTTAAACTTTAAATCAATCAAAATCGATCCTGTTTATTTCAAATCAATCAGAAAAACAAAACATCTTTTATCAAAACACTTTTTCAAATTTTCTCCAGTTTTATTCTGATGATTTCCTCAAAAATCCATTGACAGAATCATCGCTGACTCAAGAATTCACAGTCAAATGAAAATTTTGACCCTTTTTGAAACAATTTCTCCAATTTCTTGATGATTCTTTTTATCAATACACCCAAGATCATCGAGATCTCCATTCTCTGATTTATTGAGTCGTGATCGTTGCGCAAATTGTCGATTGTAAATTTTCAACCAAAGTTTTTTCAAATCCAGCAAAAACTCGTGAAAATCGAGAAGATTCCAGCACTGAGATTTACTCAATAAATTTTCACGAATCCCTTTTTTTTGTGATTGACTCGGAAAGAGATCAAACAGCCAACTGGCCAAGGTGATATCAAAAGGGAAAAAGGGAAACGATCATGATAAAATATTACCTAAAACTTAGGCAACTTGTTCAAAAAAATCAATGCATGAAATTATTTCTTGAACTTTTTAAACTTTGGAAAAACTTTTGTTGCCCGGAAATTCGTTGGGGGGATTTTCTTGTGCGCACGCCTCATTTATTTTTCTTGAGAAATGGGGATTGAGAAAATCTTTTTCGACCACCGACTCTTTTTTTGATCGCTCCAAAATTTCTCTCGAAATCACGTGTGTCATTAAAAGCTTTTTTTTCCGATTTACAAAATCATCTAACAAATTTATGAGGTTTTCAGAAAAGTTACGGTAAAATTAATGGATTTTGGCTTGCCTTTGATGATCAGTAATTGATTTTGACTATTCTATTGACGTCTTTATGCCAAAATCTATGATGAAATTTCTTGATTTGCTTGAATTGAATGCAGTAAACGCATTCCATGATTCCATAACACTTTGCAGAGTCTAATTGATCAACATCCAACAGCTGATTGAGCTAAAGTTGAAGTGCTGAAGATGGAAAACGGCAACGGTTACAAGGACTCGGATTCCGGTAGGTTTTACGTATTTTTTTACTTGTCAGCTATTTCATTTTACGATAGATTCTAAGCTATACTTTCATTTCCTTTTTGCTTTCTATAATTTCACTTACAGTAACCCAACGACGCAATGGGCAACGCGTCGACATCTACAGCAATGGGGCCACAAAAGAACAGGGTAAGGTAAATTTAGAAAAATTGAAATCTATTTTAAATCTAGTATAGTATAGTATAGGAAACTATGCTTTCTTGATCAAAATTGTTAAAAGTTTTCATTTCACTTTTTATTCCCCAACTTTTCCCGATCCACCAAATTTGTCCTTGACGTGCCGGCCATTACCAGTGTGCTTATTCAGTGTCCTTTTGAAAAATCGGTGCAAAAATTTCCGCCGATTAAAAAGATTTCTCTAAGATTACCTCTAAGCTAAGTCTAGTGAAATATAGTAGTCATTCCGGGTTTTATTGTTACCAAAATTGTTATGCTAGAAGGTCAAAGATTAGGATTGGAATTGGCTTTGAACATCAACTAATTTGAAACACCAACACCATTTGAATACCAACACCAACACTAACAACAACAACAACAACACCAACGAACACCACCAACACCAACGAACACCACCAACACCAACGAACACCACCAACACCAACTAAATTATGAAAATGAATTGAATCGCCAAACTCTTCAGTTTTTGAAAATTCTCAGACTCTGAGAAAAACAAATTTTTCCAACTCTTCATCTTCACTTTCAAATTCATAAGCTATTTATGTCTTAGTTGATGTTCAAGACCAATGATGATCAAGTCGTGTTAAAACTGGCAGAAATTGAAAGCTATTCAGTACTAGTCAGTCAATTGATGAACAGGTTTTTAAATTTCCATTTCCAGAGTCCTCTTTCCAAGGAAACGGAGTTTTTGTGCACGATGGAGAGACACGAATCGGCATGAAAGGGCAACAAGTTCAACAGGAAAAGTTTGTCCTTTTACCTTTTTTTGTGGCTTTAGTCTTGTCGTTTAGCTATTGTAGTAAATTTTAGCACTAATTTATGTTCTCATAATACAGAGTACTCAGCATTTATAGGGACTTTTGAGCTCACAGATCGTTTAGCGCTTTCTTCAAAGAATCAAACTGAAATCGTTTATGAGAAAATCGTCAAGAAAGCATTGTATCAGAGTTGAAACAAGCTTTCGAGCTTTCGAAAGATTAACAATCTTTCGAGATTATTTTTAATCTAGATTTGATTCTACTAAATTTGATCTACTAAATTTGATTTACTAAATTTGAGATTCCAAAAATTGATTTATCGGAACTCGATCTAAAATCACTAAAATGAGTCAGTTTTTCTTGTTTAACGATGAGAAAGTTTTCATTATTTAACAGTTTTTGAATCTACGGTACATTCAAAAAATGTTAGAACCACATTTCAGTTGGATTTTTTAAAGAAAGCTTAACAAGAGTTTGTGACAAACTCAATTTATCCGACCTTCTTGCCACAGCCACTCTCCACAGATGTTTCTAGGCAAGAAACAGCGCAAAAGGGAATCATTTTTTGAAGAAAGTAACTTAAAGTTGTTAAAATTGGGCAAATTGATAAGTGTGTTTTCTTTTTAAGCGTTAAACTTGTACCAAATGAGCTCTAAATCTAGTAATCTATTCCCATAAATATTGAAAACCCTGTAGAACATGTCTATTTTCACTTTTTCTTTTACTTTTTCATCATCTTTCCTTAATTTTTGTCTCTTTTCTTATCATGATCCCATTTGACAACATGTAGAGAAACTAAAAATGTTAGAAACACATTTCAGTTTGATTCTTTGAAGAAAGCTTAACAGGAGTTTGTGGCAAACTCAATTTATCCGACCTTCTTGCCACAGCCACTCTCCACAGATGTTTCTAGGCAAGAAACAGCGCAAAAGGGAATAATTTTTTGAAGAAAGTAACTTAAAGTTGTTAAAATTGGGCGAATTGATAAGTGTGTTTCCTTTTTAAGCATTAAACTTGTACCAAATGAGCTCTAAATCTAGTAATCTACTGATTTCTATAGATATTGAACATGCTGCAGAGTTTGGGAGAAGTGTACAAGGTGTGGAATAGTGTAGGGTTTTTCCAAAAGCAATTCCAGGTCAGAAAAAGCCAGGTTCAGGCTGGCTTTTGCTTAATTTTGCTCAACTCTGAGATGGTAAAATCGAAGCTCGAATCGCGTTATCTCATGAAATTGCCATGTCTATTTTTACTTTTTCTTTTACTTTTTCATCATCTTTCCTTAATTTTTGTCTCTTTTCTTATCATGATCCCATTTGACAACATGTAGAGAAACTAAAAATGTTAGAACCACATTTCAGTTTGATAAATATAAATATTGAAATATTGAATATATAAATATTGAAAACCCTGTAGAACATGTCTATTATACCATTTAAATGGATCGACTCTTCCAAATAGATAGTCCAACTTTGACTGAGATTTTCTCTATTTTTTTATATTAAAGTTTACTAAGGAAGTTGTGGTTTTCTATAACGAAATTTCATAAGGAACATTTTAAGACCAACCTCAAGTTGATCGGTCAATTGGAAGTTGATTTCTTTTACTTTTTCATCATTTTTCCTTAAATTTTGTCTCTTTTCTTATCATGATCCCATTTGACAACATGTAGAGAAACTCGAAAATCAAATGAATTTTTTTCTTTGGGAATTTTCTTCATTGAAATCGAACAGACAAGGAATTTCAGTAAAAATTGAAAAAGTTTCAAACAATTTACAAGTTTATGGCACAAGATTTGCAATTAGAATTGAAATTTTACGTTAATATCCAATGCTTTCTAACTATCCAAATGCGGAGATTTGGTGCCTTAGCTCTCCAGGTTTGGTTGCTTATCTCTCCAAATTTGGTTCCTTCTATCTCTAAATTTGGTTCCTTATCTTTCTAAAATGGGTCCGTTATCTCTCTAAATTTGGTTGAAAGTAAATGTTTCAACTTTCCACAAAAGAAAAGCTTTTTTCTTGTAGAGCAATGATCCGTATTGGAACCGTATTAGATCAAAATAGGAACCGTATTGGAAGCTTTGAATTGACTTGAGTCAATTCAAAGCTTTTCTCAGCATTTGGATAGTTAGAAAACCAAAAAATCAGGCAAAACTTTGTTTTCAATGCATTAAAACTCTCAAAAAGCAAAATTTTATTTTTCAATTCCTTAGCCTTAATTTACCCAATGCTTAACTTTTGCGAACTTTGCCAGTCTGTTGATCACTCATCCAACTCCTATAAATCTCTTACTTTAAAAGAAAACTCCCGAAATTCATTGTCAAGCCGTTTTGCAACCTTTTTCCACATCAGCATTCTTTATTGAAAAGACTCTCGGCGGGATTTCCCTTTGATCTTTCAAGAGACAGAGCACACATTAACGGCCAATTCCAAGTCTATCAAGAGACCTCTTTTTGTTCTCATTTTCCCCCTTTTTCTTCAATCTAAGCAGATTCCCCCCAAATCGGCCGATCAGTGTCTCCTCTCTGCCATTCCCCCGAATCTTCTCTCATGTCCATAAATTTCGAGCGCGACTCTAAAATTCACGCTACTTCATTTACTTTTGTGAGATTTCTCCGATTACCGTCTTCACCTTCAAATATTTCCAATCTATTTGTATTTGTTCTTCGTAAATTTGATTATATCGCCTTTAATACGGTACAAACTGTACAAACTGTACAAACTGTACAAACTGTACAAACTGTACAAACTGTACAAGCTGTACAAACTGTACAAACTGTACAAACTGTACAAACTGTACAAACTGTACAAGCTGTACAAACTGTACAAACTGTACAAACTGTACAAGCTGTACAAACTGTACAAACTGTACAAGCTGTACAAGCTGTACAAACTGTACAAACTGTACAAGCTGTACAAACTGTACAAACTGTACAAACTGTTATACATCTCCACCCGTTTTATGAACCCAATTTAAACTACTTTAAAATCATGTATTTAGATTAATTTTTAAGATAAGTTTAGGTTATAGTTTTGAATCAATTGTAGATTAGATTAGATAAACATATGCATCAAGTAGATAAAAAAAATTACGATAAATCCAAAATGGTTAGCTTTATTGGAATGCGGATGTATAACAGGCTAGTAAGCTTTTTAAACTCTTGTCAAATGGTTGAATAGTTGTAATTTGTCGTGAACCTCTTTTTCTCTAGTAAGATTTATTCTATTCCACATGGACTTCAAAAATACCGAGAACGAAATGAGAAGTAGTTTCTTGCAAAAGTTTAGCGACTTTCAAAAAAAATTCTGTCATTAGCAACTAAGGGTTTTTCTGTTTAAAGCTCTCTTACAGATCTTATAGTTAGTTTGAATTCAACATAGCATTTACAGGGACCTCTAGACTCTCCTTTAAAAAAAATACATTTAGTCACGAATAATGTGGTACAAGAAATACAGAAGCACAACGCCTAAGCTTTAATGGAAAAAAGAAGCACCAATCTAGCCGGTGGGATTGAACTAGGATAAAGGGATTGAACTGAGATAAAGGGATTGAACTAGGATAAAGGGATTGAGCTAAGATAAAGGGATTGAACTAGGATAAAGGGATTGAACTGAGATAAAGGGATTGAACTAGGATAAAGGGATTGGGCTAAGATAAAGGGATTGAACTAGGATAAAGGGATTGGGCTAAGATAAAGGGATTGAACTAGGATAAAGGGATTAAACTGAGATAAAGGGATTGAACTAGGATAAAGGGATTGAGCTAAGATAAAGGGATTGAACTAGGATAAAGGGATTAAACTAAGATAAAGGGCATTTAGCAGATCGGCCATCGCACCTTTTGACCTAATTTATAGCTTTCCATCGTTTCTTAACGATGTGAATCCCATTAAAGAATTTGAAATGTTTCGACTTTTTTTTGAGGACAATCGGTTCCAAACACTCTTTTCCGTGCTTTTTCTCACCTTTGACCACTCCGAAAAAACAGACACCCCACAAAAACTTAAGCACTTAAGCACTCAAGCACACTCGAAATGTACTCTTGAACTTGAACGATTTTTGAAAGTTTCATTTTTCTTCAACTCTTCATTCGGTTATAAACAGTTTACACAAGAAAATGGTAAATTCATTTGAACAAAAGATTTGAGGGGAAAAATTTGTTTACCAAACACTGCGCTAACAAAAGACCAACTCAAATTTGCTGGAGCAACGCAAAAACTCGAATCAAAATCTCTTTTTGTTAGCTATTTTCTGTATTTTCAGTCTTTTCCGTCTTTTCCGTCTTTTCTAAAATTCCCCAAACCACCTCTTTCGCTTCATTGAATTTTACTAGTTTTCCCCAAAAAAAAACATGAGATCCAAGGCCAAATTCCCTGTTTCTTTTTCTTAATTCGTTAAATTTTGCTTTCTTTTTTTATTTTTCTTTCTTCCAGAACACTCATTTCAATCAAGTTTCAAAGTTTTCAAAAAAAAACAAACAAAACAAAACAGTTTTCAGTCTGTTGACGTCGGAATGTTATAGATTTTATAGATTTTTCTTATATGTTATAGATTCTTTTTAGAGTTTCTTATTTTTTACTTATCAATTTGACATTTAGTATTTTATCTACAAATAGAAATCGACATTTTCAGCTTTCAGCTATCAAGTTTTCAGCTTTCAGCTTTCAGCTTTCAGTTTTCAGCTTTCAGCTTTCAGCTTTCAGCTTTCAGTTTTCAGCTTTCAGCTTTCAGCTTTCAGCTTTCAGCTTTCAGCTTTTAGCTTTCAGCTTTCAGCTTTAAGCTTTCAGCTATCAGCTTTTAGCTTTCAGCTTTCAGCTTTCAGCTTTCAGCTTTCAGCTTTCAGCTTATAGCTTATAGATAAAATTTCAAAGTAATTTGTCAAGAAAACCATGGTGAAATCAGATTCGAATTGGAATTTTCTTGTATAAACTACCGTTTGGACTTTGAGCGCCTAGAAACTTTTCAATCTTGCAAACTCTTTTATCGGAATTGTTTTTTTTTGAAGTCAAAAACGATCAAATTCGTATAGATCTAGTAGAATTTTCGTTCAATTACAAGTACTCCATCATAAAAACTTCTAGCTTTCTATCTACAGCACTGGACAATGAAATATCATATTGGAAAAACGATCGTCACTTTCGCGCCCCTGTAACTCCCTTGTCTTTGAGTTTAAACTATTAGTGTTATACATTTTCTGAAAGCTCTTTTCAAGGGCTACACAATGGCAATATTAATATTTAGAAATACGGTAAAGATAAGAGAGTTACAGGCGCGCGAAAGTGGCGATCGTTTTTCAAATATCATATTTCATTGTCCAGTAGTGTAGCCTTCTATCTAGCTTTCTATCTAGCTTTACTACGTAAAGGTCTCTTCATTATCTAGTGTAGTAGCGAAACAAATCAATCTCACCGCAGCGAAACAAATCATCCGAGTACTCATTACCATTTACTTCAATTCAATTTATTACTCTCCTCTAAAAATCATTCCAGATTTCCCGAAATTTCAAATGAATCGCGTGAATGTTTGCCCATTTTATGGCTGTGTTATCACTCTTTTCCCCTCTTCTCTTTCTCTCTTTCTCTCGACCAAATTTCCATTTTCCTGCAAAAAGTGTCAGATTTTTGAAGGAAAAGAGAAAACACTTGTAGTTCTCTAGATCAAACATTGTAATCTCATTGTTGTTTTTTGTCGGCAAAAGATCAATCCCCGATTTGAAATCGTTTTTCCTCTGAACTCTTGACTTTTAAAAGTCTCAGCTCGTTTGAAAATTAAAAATTTTTCATTTCCAGGGATCCAAGGATGGCGACGGCTTTGCAGAAGCATCAATTCACGATACTCGTCTTGTTGTTTCAAGTGAGTGAAATAAAAAAATGATCCAATTATCAAAATTAACAAATCCATATCTATAAATCATTTGGTGCTTAAGTTTATGGATTTTAGTTTTATTTATTTATATATTGACTTCAATAATCTATTTTTTAAACTCACTTTTGGCGTTTCTGGTAGTTAGTTTGACTATCATGGGAAATTTTAACAGAATCTTCATAAAATTTGGTTATACAAAAGTACAATTTCTTTTGTACACTCACCTGTAAGAAAATAGAGAAAAATTTGCGTCAAAGTTGATCTAATTACCTGCAGAAATCGATCATCTTTGACGATATATAACTCGAGTTGCAGACATTGGATCGACTTGTAGTTAGTTCTAAAAGAATCCTCAAGAAATTTGATGAGAGAAAAGTTGAATTTGTTTTGTATACTCACCTGTGAAAATATAGAGAAAAGTGTCCTTAAAGAGTAGTGCGTTAAAGTAACGTTTTTCTATAGCCAAAATGGCACTTTAGCGCACCTTTTTATTTTAATCTACCGTATTTTCTGTAATAGTAGTGCAGTCTGTAATAGTAGTGCAGTCTGTAATAGTAGTGCAGTCTGTAATAGTAGTGCAGGCGGGAGGGGGGGTTGAAATAATAGTAGTGCGCACTACTATTACAGAAAATACGGTATATCTCGACTCTTAGCGATTGGATCGACTTACAATTGATTTTAAAAGAATCTTCATTAAATTTGGTGATACAAAAGTACAATCTCTTTTGTACACTCACCTGTAAGAACATAGAGAAAAATTTGCGTCAAAGTTGACCTAATTACCTGCAGAAATCGATCAACTTTGACGCCGTAGAAAAGCCGTAAAATTTGTTTTGGTAACACTCATCTGTAAGAACATTTTAGAGTTTGTAATCTAGCTTTTAAATTTCCCCTTTTTAGATCCTTTTCTTCGTGATCTTTGGTCTTTTTGCCAAGTATGACACTGCAGCGATGCCCAATAAAGATGGTGTCGATGATCCAATTCCCGTTGCAAAGATGTACTCAAGTCGGTTTCAACAAAAAAAACTTAAAACTAACAAATCAATAGTGAAAACCATTTAGAATCTCATTTTTTTCAGTGTTCCAAGACACGCACGTGATGATCTACATCGGTTTCGGTTTCCTAATGACTTTCTTGAGAAGGTGATAAGCTTTTTAAACTTTTAAGCTTTTAAATGATCAATTTGTTAAAGCATGAATGCAAGTTTCATCAAATTCATCAAATTTTATCTTACTCTTTTTAGATACGGTTTCTCAGCTCTTTCCATTAACATGCTTCTTGCGGCGTTCACCATCGAATATGCGGTGATTGTTCGTGGCTTTATGGGGCATGAGTTCCAGAAACACGGATATTTCACGATCGGATTAGAGCAGTAAGTGAAGATTTGACTAAAGCATTGACTCAGTTAACAAGTTTACATTCAACTAAAATCCATATTCTCTTTCAGAATCTTGACCTCGGACTTCGCCGCGGCTGTGGTGCTGATCTCAATGGGGGCAATGCTGGGAAAACTCTCGCCCGTTCAGTACATTGTCATGACGATCTTTGAGATCCCTGTCGCACTTGGAGCTGAGCATTTTGTTGTGCACACGTTGAAGGTAATATTTATAATATAATAGTTTCTACAGAGAATACTTCAATTCGGAATAAATCAGCTCAAAAACCAGCCCAAAAACTCGCTGTAACCAACCTAACAGCGAGTTTTTCTGGCCAGTTTTTACCTCACCGTTGTGCAACTGGGAGGGCGCTTCCCTGCCACCCACGCGATGCGGGTTCGATCCCCCGTACTGCCACTAGACTCAAGAATTTTTGTTTTTGATTTGAAATGATACAACTATATTATTCCTGGGTAAGAAAGTATATTGTACTCAGGTTGGAGAAGCATAGTACCCCAACCGGAAACTACAGTACAATGCCAAGTCAAGTACTTTTCTCACGTACTTTTCAGCAGAGTATCCTAATGATTTCAAGAAAAGAATCGATCAAGATTTTAACTGAAATCTTCTCAAAAAATCAAGCCTACCTACTACAGGGTGCGGCAGAATTATAGATGCAGAGAAGTTCCATTGGAATATGACCAAAAAACGAAAAATTTGCCACAAAAACAGTTTTAACATATTTATTGAACTTAAATTAACAACTTTTATTGATCATATTCGAATCTTCCTCCTTTGGCGTCGATGCAAGACTTGAGTCGCTTGGGAAAGGCGTCGACCGTGGCGACCAAGTAGGCGGCGTCCAGACCCTCCCAGGCTTTCAAGAGAGATTGCTTCAAACTTTCGAGGTTTTTGTGAGGTTTCTGACAGGCCTCGGCTTCAAGAACAGACCAGACCGAGAAATCCAATGGATTGAGGTCTGGGGAGCTTGGGGGCCACTCGTTGAATGCAATGAAGTCGGGAAAAGTCGCTTTGCAGAAATCCTGAACAATCTTGGCTTTGTGAGCGGGAGCACCATCTTGCTGGAAGGTCCAGATGCGATTTTGGAAGTGATTTTGAGCCCAGGGAACAAGTTCTTTCTTTAGCATATCCAAGTACGTGTTCGCATTAACTTTGACTCCTTGTGGCACAAAAATCAGTGGTGTCTTGCCGGAAGCCGTCACACCGCCAAAAACCATGACTGAAGCTGGGTGGCCGCTGCGACCGACGGTAACATTTGGTTGAGTTTTCGACCAAACTCGATCTTTCTGCTTGTTCAGAATTTCTTCAATCGTAAAGATTTTCTCATCGGTGAACAAAATGTTCCTGTGGTCGATTCCGTTGAAACGAAGACGAAGGCTTTCACATCGATCTTTTCTCTTCAATTTGGCGTCTGCCGAAAGCAGAGCGGATTTGTTCTTCTTGTAGGGCTTGAACTTGAGCTTGTCCTTGATAATTCGACGGATTGATCGATCGGATACACCCATATGTTTGGCAATTCTTCGAGCGGACTGATTGGGCTTCTTTCGCAGGCGATCCCTGACCTTCTTGATGTTGCCTTTCGTCACCACAGATGGACGAACACCTCCTCGCGGCCGATCAGACATTGATCCCAACTCGTTGTAGCGTTGAATGGCTCGGTTAACAACGTTTCGATGCACTCCCAACTTTCTTCCGATCACGGTCGCCGATTCGCCCTTCCGATGAAGTTCCACGATCAATTGTCGATGCGGGGAAGCGCGAACCATAGCCTGAAACTCAAAGTTATAAAAAATTATAATTTACAAATACAAATTCAATCATAAAATAACAACAAAAACATAAATTCGAGTGCAAAATCAAGAGCGAAGGCTCGTTTTCCGTCTTTATGTCATGCACCTATAATTCTGCCGCACCCTGTATTTTTGATTCCAGATCAACGACGTCGGGGGTTCAATCGTTGTGCACGCTTTCGGCGCCTATTTCGGACTCGCTTGCAGCAAGGCTTTTGGACGGAAAGAGCAACGAGGACACCCGAATGAGGGATCCAACTATCACTCGGACACATTTGCAATGATCGGTTAGCCAAATTAATAAACTCCAACAATTCCATAGGAGCCATCTTCTTGTGGGTCTTCTGGCCATCATTCAACGCAGCTGTGGCTGAGCCAGCCGATGCAAAACATCGAGCCGTTCTCAACACCGTTCTCTCGCTCGCCTCGTGCACCGTGGCCACCTTCATTGTCTCACAAGCCACAGATCATCACGTTTGTTACCATTGAATTGAGAATCTAGATCTAGAAACCTAAACCAATCGCAGAAACAAAACTCGAATCCAAATTTCCAGAAGAAATTCGAGATGGTCCACGTTGCGAACTCAACGCTAGCTGGTGGTGTCGCCATCGGCACAGTGGCCAATGTTTGCTTGTCTCCACTTCACGCGATCATTGTCGGATTTATCGCTGGATGTGTTTCCGTCATCGGATACAGATATATTACGGTAAAGTTGAGCAAAACAAGCAACCAAAACCCTGTTTAGCCTGTCTTGTCTGAGAAATTGGGCATGCACGACACTTGTGGAGTTCACAATCTTCACGGAATGCCCGCCGTGATTGCCGCTTTTGCCTCGGTGGCCATGGCTCTCTATTATAATCCAGAGGATTATGGAAAGAGGTTGGATAGAAATTTGAGCTTATCTTGAAGCTTATTCTGGCTTTAGCTTGGGAACGATCTATGCTGGAATGAAGACTGAAGAGAACAAGGATGGTTTTGATCAGACTGGCCAGGTGGGGAACCACAATTCCAACTTGCAATTGTGATAAAAAAGACAAGCAAATTCTAGTTACCGTAGATACTGTAATAGTCCCACACCCCCATAATGACGATGCGGAGCGTTGTGTAGTCTAGCTTTCACGCGTTTTTCTCGACACTGGTTTATGCTACAATGCGCGCTTAGGTATCAAAAAATAGCTGAAATTCAAGGCTATTTTTTGATACCAAAGACGCATTTTTTGAGAGTACGAGCGCTTTGAAAAAAAAGAAATACTAAAAACCTTTTGCGACTACGCGACTGTACGAGGGGGTGGGGTACTATTACAGTATTTACGGTAAGTTATTAGATCACTAGATAATGAATCTAAAAATGCTTTTGAGAATAAAGAGAGCGCAATTTTCAGGCTGTTCACCAACTCGCCGGCCTTGGCGTCGTTCTTCTCGCCGCGATTATTAGTGGATTTATTACAGGTTGGCTAGTGGATTTGTGCTTAGCCTTACTGTATTTCACTTCTGTATTGCTTTACATTTGGCTACAACTTTTCACAAACTATCAAATTCTAGGGTTCATCCTCAAGCTGAAAGTCTGGAACCAAGTCCGCGAGAAGGAATTCTACGCCGATGCTGACTACTTTGAGACTCCATCTGACTACGATTTCACCTCAAGGGTTAGTTAAATGGCAAAAAAACATTTGATTACTTGCTTGGCTACAGTTCTAGATGATCTAGATCAAAATAAATCTCTCTAAATGTTTTTTTCTTTTCAGATCACCTCTTGCATCGATCATGTCGACATCAACGAACGAACTCCACTTCATAAAGAAGCTTAGAAAAGGGATTTCCTAGTAAAAAAATATAAATTCTAATAATTTCTGTTAGTTAAATAACGTTAGATAACGTTAAATAACGTTAAATAAAGTTAAATAACGTTAATTACGTTTAATAAGTTCAATTTTTGTTATTTAGTATATAAAAATTTGTTTTTAAACCGAAACATACATACCTTTTCTGTGCTCATTTTTGTTATAATTCACTTTTGAATGCCTTACTTTAACACAGGCTACTTTGCGCCAAATTTTTTGCGCAACTGGGTCATTTGCGCACCTAGGTCTTTCGAGCAACTCGTCATAAATTTCTTCTCAGAAGGCGAATCTTTATGATGTTGGTTTCATTTTGTTGCACTTATTGAGATCTACAAAATGACACCACAAATCATAAAGATTGACCCACTTAGAAGAAAGTTATGACGAGTTGCGCAAATGATCTAGTTACGCAAATGACCTAGTTGCGCAAAAGGCCCAGTTGCGCAAAAGGCCCAGTTGCGCAAAAGGCCCAGTTGCGCAAATGACCTAGTTGCGCAAAAGGCCCAATTACGCAAAAGGTCCAGTTGCGCAAAAAATCTGGCGCAAAGTAGCCATCCCCCGTTAACACTTCTTTCTTCAAATATTCTAGGAAATGAATAAAGTTCTATTTCTTTTACAAAGCTAAAGTTTTAAAAGAAAACAAAAGCTCAAAATTGCGCAAATTTTTCTGCTTTCTGCTGTTTGCGAAAAAACAAATTGCAGGATTTTCTAACAATGCTAAGGAATTCGAAAAAAATTTGATTTTATGGATGAAAATGAAAAGCAAAGCATTTCACCATTTCCCTCTTTTCAAAAGCAAAAAAAAAAACGACGAATTGAGATAAAATCAGCATAGACTCAAAGACTGAAAAGACTTCTCTCGAGAAATCTCGCCGAAAAAAAAACACGCCAAGAAAGACTTTTTCTTACCGATTTACATTTGAGATTGAGAAGTTGAGACGAGTTGGATCCAAGTTAGAAATTATCGCTCGATCTCATCGAAAATTGTATCTTGGTAAAAGAAAAGACTGACTGAGTCGAGTCACTCGTTTCCTTCATTTCCTCATTTTCCTTCAAATCCTTCAAAGATTTATGAGGCTTTAAGATTTTCAATTTCACATTTTACTATATTTTTCCTTTTACTTACAGTACTAGTTTTTGAATTTTCATTGGGTTATTGTAAAAAGACATTACTTGAGCCAGATTTTTCTAGAATAACAGTTTTTGTTTGCTTAAAGATACTGAATTCGATCGAGTTTTTGTTACACTACAGTTTTGTTACAGTTTTGTTACGGTTTTTGTTACGGGTAACAGTTTTTGTTTGATTAACTTTATCCTTTAAGTTTCCCAAAGTTTTTTTCAAGGTCTTCCCAATTAAAGAAAAAGAAATAAATTTTGTTTTCTCTCTTTTTGTGGAAAAGGTTGACCGCTAGGGATCCCCTTTTGACAGGAAAGGAAAACGATTGGAATAGCTAAGAAAGGAGAACAGAAATTAGCGAGTTCGACAGTCATAACAACAATGCATTGAGCAAGATTTGCAATGAGCAAAGATTTGCAACAATGCAAGATTCGCAACAATGCAAGATTTACATGAGCTCAAAAGCGAATTACATCCGGTATCTTTAATTCTTTCCTTTTCGTCTAAGTCTAAAGTCTAAAGTTATGGAATTGATGAAACAGTACAATTTCTGATAAGTTAAACCTTCTGTATCTTACTATAATATTTATATTTATAATATTTATATTTATATTTATATTAGTATTTATATTAGGATTTGTGTATTCAACTTCAACCTCAAGCCAGGACTTGTACTAAGCCAGGACTTGTACTAAGCCCGGACTTGTACTAAGCCAGGACTTGTACTTGTACCTTGTAAAGGCACAAACTCAAGGTGAGCTTTTGTCTTGACAAGTGCACTTTATAGAATCGCGTATGAGGAATTCGAATCTGAAATCAAAATTTGTCAAATGACATTCCAGACGTGTAAAACTTCAATCGAAAATTTGGTGCCAAAACGGATGCTTTGATGCTTTAAAAGGTTCTTTCCTAAAAACCGCCGAGTATGCTGATGGCTTAGTGGATAACACGTTAGGCTCCCACATGCAGGATCCGGGTTCGGTTCCTGATGGAGCTTCTCGTTTTTCTTTTGAACCAACTTCTTGCTCTTTGCAGTTTAGCTAATATTTTGCATACCCAATTTTACAAAGTGCACTGGGTCTTCAGAGAAAGCTCACCTTGAAGCGTACGTACTTGTCCAGCGTACACACTTGTCTTGAAGCGTACGTACACAGTCAAAACGATCTTAAAGTGCTTGCTTTTGATTCTGATTGATACTTTCCAATTGATAATTTCTAATTGATAATTTCTAATTGATGAAAGGTGTTATAATTGATAATTATAGCTCATTCCCAATAAAAGCTAACAATTAATATCAAATAATTTATTCCAAGTCGTTTTATATCTTCTATGAGATCGAACATTTTCGCGGTAAACACACATCGAACCCCTTTCTCTTTTAGTGACAATGGTTAGCAGAAAATTGATAGGAAAAAAAAGGAGAATGCAATGGATTGGAGGAAACCATTATTGATGGAAGAAAAAGAATGACATAAGAGGAAAAAAAAGGAGAAAGGAGTGACAATCACTTGTTGGAAAAGGAGGGAAGGAACGACCGAGTCAAATTCCTCCATCGATTGCCTTAAAAAGGGGTTTGAAGAGTGTTTCGGTTCAACTTAGTCAAAGGTCATTTTCTTTCAATCTTCTTGCTTCAAAATCTTCTTGCTTGTCTACCTTTTTCTGATTTATTTTCACTTTTGCATGAATTTCTGGCAGCCGAACACCCAGAGGGCAAATCTGGGAAACCGGCTTTGAAACGGAGAGAGAGAGAGAGCTCAGAGAGAGCTCACGTTGAGCAATCCACTTAAAAAAAAGAGAACTCATCCTGGATTTCTTTTCGACTTTGATCATAAATTAGCTTTTATATAAATTTTAGATTAATGAGGATACGATTATTTTTACAATTCTCTTTCTTTTCTCTTGTTTATTCATGGCCAGATGGAGCTCCATGTGTACATGCAGCATTTGAGAGTATGAACCCGTTGGAAGCAGTCGAACATCAAGGAGGATTACAGGTCGAGAATCCTTCAAAATTATTACTCACTTTTGATCTCTAAACAAGTGAAAAAACCTTTTCTTTCTTTAACAATTTAATAAATTTAAAACAAAATTTAGTTGAACGAACCTCCTTACGAAATCGCTGTCGATCAATCGTGTTATTGGGCAAATCAACCAGTTGGATGTTTGTTATTTTTTAAAAATTTAATCAATGTTTAATCTTTAGTGACAGTTCAAGGCAAAAATCTCACAATCAAGTTCAAAGGATTCGCCGTTCAGCCGTATGAATGGAGAAATGGAAGAACGTTGGGCAGGTTCGTGAAAAGAAACAATAAACTCTCTTTGAACAACAAGGATCTTTAAGAATCTGTGATTTGATTCTAGATCTAGCTTCTAGAGTAAGGATTCTAGACCTAGATCTAGATCTAGCTTCTAGAGCAAGGATTCTAGATCTAGATTCTAGAGTAAGGATTCTAGGTCTAGCTTCTAGAGTAAGGATTCTAGATCTAAATTCTAAAGCTAGGATTCTAGATCTAGCTTCTAGAGCAAGGATTCTAAATCTAGATTCTAGAGCAAGGATTCTAGACCTAGATTCTAAAGCTAGGATCTAATCTAGATTCTAGAGCAAGGATTCTAGCCCTAGATTCTAAAGCTAGGATCCTAGATCTAGATTCTAGAGTAAGGATTCTAAATCTAGATTCTAAAGCTAGGATCCTAGATCTAGATTCTAGAGCAAGGATTCTAGACCTAGATTCTAAAGCTAGGATTCTAGATCTAGCTTCTAGAGCTAGGATTCTAGATCTAGATTCTAAATCTTAAATTTTAGAACAACATTCTTAAGTCTTAACCATAATATGATCTTTTTAAGACTAAAACATCTTCAGAATCGGCCAATTCATTCGGCTTGATGACAATGGATCTTGGCAACAACAATGCTTTAGAAGAAAGGTTGCCTGAGAAAAAGATAATCTTCAAACCATTCTAAGAAATTTGATTTTAGAGTTCTTATTCTAAGCTTTCAAATGAATCACTTTCTAGGACTCAGCCACCCATTCGCACGATGAAAAGAAGAAACATATCAAACTTTGGTGGAAAAGTGATGATGATTTGAGAACTGTGCAATTTGTGTTTGTTTTAGCTTTAATTAAGAAATTCAAAGCTTTTAGGGCGACCGTCGTTGAGCACATTCGGAAATTCTGGGTGAAATCGGTTATATCAGTGCCGATTCCGCCGTGTCGACAATCGAGAAGGACCGAGGTTTGTGTGGACAAATATATCGGATCGGATAAATAAAAGATGATGCAAAATTATGGAAACTCGATTTTTCGACTGTAACTCGACACCCAATTATTCAATTCCCTTAATTTCTGTGGTCAATTTCAATTTTTAGTTCAGAAACACAGTGCTACGCTTTTACGCTTCTGTTACGTTTTCACAGTGTTACGATTTGTTGTTCTGTTACGTGTTACGCTCTGTTAAGTGTTACGCTCTGTTAAGTGTTACGCTCTGTTAAGTGTTACGCTCGGTTAAGTGTTACGCTCTGTTAAGTGTTACGCTCTGTTAAGTGTTACGCTCTGTTAAGTGTTACGCTCTGTTAAGTGTTACGCTCTGTTACGTGTTACGCTGTTAAGTGTTACGCTGTTAAGTGTTACGCTCTGTTAAGTGTTACGCTCTGTTACGCTTTCACAGTGTTACGCTTTGTTACGCTAGTACTTCGAAGTTCAAAGGTGTCAACCTCTCGGCAGAATTGTTTGGCAGGATTTGCACATATTTTGAAAAATTTCTCGCTTCGTATTTACTTATTTTTCTCTTTTGATTAAGAAATAGACTTATCTGCAGCATTTAGCATTAGAAGATTTCCAATATTTCAAAAATTTTGAGGACCAATAGTTGAATTCCCTGAAGCAGAGCAGCGATTTGTATAGCAACTCTGCAAATCATTCCTGATTTGCTGTCTTACAAAGTTTATGCATTTTTTTTTGTGATATTTGTCTAAATTTAATTGATTGGAAAAAAAACTAAAAGGTTTGGTTGATTTTTGAGGAATTCGTGAGAGATGAAAACTATTGAAAACGATGATTCTGCCGAGAGGTTTGCACCTTTGAACTTCGAAGTACTAGAAAAAGCGTAACAATGTATTTTTGAATTAAAAATTGAAATTAACCACAGAAATTCACTTGAAATTTCATATAAATATGAAATTAGGGAAATTGAAGAGTTGGGCGTCGAGTAACAGTCGAAAAGCCGAGTTTCCATAATGGTGCGTCACCCTGTTTACTGGATTTAAAACCTTGTGAAGTTTGTAAAACCATTTCTTTTGTAGCTTTTAACATCGATGCTAATAATCAAATACATCTTTATATTTATGCTATCGTAAATAGTCTAATAGAAGCCACCTATAGAAGCGTCGCGTAGTCTAAGTTTACTCTCAAACAAAGCAAATCAAGCAAATGAAACAATCTGTTTAACTCCATCCATGAAACAATCAGTTTAACTCCATTCATGAAACAATCTGTTTAATTCCATCCATGAAACAATCTGTTTAACTCCATTCAGGAAACAATCAGTTTAACTCCATCCATGAAACAATCTGTTTAACTCCATCCATGAAACAATCAGTTTAACTCCATCCATGAAACAATCAGTTTAACTCCATCCATGAAACAATCTGTTTAACTCCATTCAGTTGTTCAGTCTGAAAACAGCAAAACTTTGAGCCAATGAATCAAGAATTCGAATCAATAATAGCTGATTCAAATTCAAACTCACCACGTCGAGTTCGAAATAAACAATCTCTTAGATCTCAAATTAAAGTCGAGAAGATCGGTGATTTTTTAAGATCTAACAAATATTAGGTTGGAAAGAAGTTTGACTAGAATCTCTTAAAAATAAATTCACTAATTCAAGAACATTTTGTTCTATTATTTACAAGTCGACTCCAAGAAATTACTCTTAAAAAATGAGTGCTTTCCCCGCTGAAAACCCCCAAATTTCAGCTCTACTCGATAATTCCCTATAGGTCAGCTCAATCAAATCCCATTCAAAAGGAGATCAACCACAGATTTGTGACATAGATTTCCGATTTACTCTCTAATCCACAGGTTAAAAAATGAGTGCAACTTTCTCATAAAATTAGAGATTTTTGAACAAATTACTATTTTCCAGCTTAAATTCAGCTTACTTTTTAGGTTAATCTGATATTCCAAAAATCGATTTATCAGAACTCGATCACCAAATTTCACCAAAGTCCAACCCAATATATAATCTAGCTTTAGAATTATCGTATGTAAATATAAAACAGATGGATAAAGATTTGATCAATGATTTGATCAATCAATGATTTCTTTTTGTTAAAAAATCTGGAAAGAATTGATGGCTTGGTTTTTGAGAAATCATCGTGCAAACTTTTTCTAACCTCCAGCCATCAATAGCTCCAGCCATCAATAGCTCCAGCCATCAATAGCTCTAGCCATCAATAGCTCCAGCCATCGATAGCTCCAGCCATCGATAGCTCCAGCCATCAATAGCTCCAGTCATCAATAGCCCATCCATAGCAATCAATGTTTCGAGATGAATTTGAATTTTGTGAAAGAGCGATCTACTTTCTTTCAAACCTAATATTTTAGCATTACAGTAAGAAAATCGAATTTTTTTATAGAACTGGTTCGCTCCAATGCCCACCGCTCCCCCACCAGTGAAAGCTTTCAAACAAGAGACACATCGAGTATTCGGTAAAGGCGGTTTTCAAGATGCTCCTTTCAGGGTAAGAAAGATTTTCGGCTTCTAATCGAAACCGTTAAACAATCAGTTTTTTCTAATTTTTTTTCAGAATTTCTTAAATTTCTTAAATTTCTTAAATTTCTTAAACAATTTTATATGCAATACAGAATTTTCTTACTTGCACACGAATCTTTGCTTACTTTTGCAAATCTTTTCTTTTGCAGCCGATGAATGGAAGAGGCAGAGGCCGAGGCTAATTTGTTGTCAAAAATTCGACATTTTTTTCCCAAAAAATAACTCGTTTTACTTCAATTTCCACTAACATTTTTGGCTTGAATTTGCTTTTAAACAAATTTTTAAACCAGAATTCAATTTTTCGACACTGGTTTGACTTCACTTTTTGCGTGTGATATTTAGCTTTTTTCTCGCTTTTTCTTTTTCCATTCGGTTTCTAATCGTGATGCTAAAAAAATGGATTTCTAGGGCTTGAGCTGATCATCTACAGCGATCAATTTCATCACCATTTCACTTTTTCTTTATCTGCTATTGTTTTGCCGCGTTTTTATGTGCCAAATTGCATCACTCACCAGTCAGCTAAGGAGAATAAAGATTAAATATTTAAATAATATTCAAATAATATTCAAATAAGATTCAAATAAGATTCAAATACATAACTAAAATTCACTTTTAAAGATACCCACTTTCTTCTAGTTTTACTTTTTTTTATTCTAACTATAAGAAAAAAAAGCCTTTTTGATCACCAAAAGTGATTACCAATCGAGTTTTCACAAAACTTCACAAGGTAATCACTTTTGATAATCACTTTTCACAAAACTCTATTCAGAATTTTTCAAAACAAGATTCTAATATGGTATATAAATACAAAATTTATCGATTTTTTTTTGCTTTTCCTCTAGCAAGATTGTAAATCTCCGTCGAATGCCTGTTGTGAATTCTCTCTTTTTTTTTGCATTGCCTAGCTTTGTGCACGAGTGCGTGTGTGAAATAAATTGTCTTGCGAATGATCTTTTGCTTTCGTATGCACGTAAGCTCTTTTCAGCCAAATAAGGGACAACAACAGAATTCTTTTGGACAAGGAACAACCGTTAGTTTCTTTGTCGAAGAGGCTACAACTCAGCCACCACCACCACCACCACCACCAACAACAACAACAACAACACAGGTTTGAATGAAATAAAGAAGTTTTGGAAATTGGTAGAGAGGGGATTGAATTCTCGACCTTATGCTTATTGCTCTACCACTGAGCTATCTAGACTTTTACTTTGCCAAGAGAAATCGATAAACTAAAGAAGAGTTTATAGACGTAAAATGTGTAGATCAGCAAAGATAGTTGTTCAAAAAATTGTTTTTCTTTGACTAGGAAAAGGCACCAGATCCTGGTAATCTTTTTCTTCCGCTTCTAGTCTATTTGTTAGAGGTTTTGAATATGGATTCCGAATTAGCTTTTAGTTTTCCCAATGAAATAGGTCAGCAATAGCATCGCAAGATCGCTAGATATCTGACATCAAAGTTTACGTCGGTTATAAGTCTTATTTTACCCAATGATTCATCAATATGAATCAATGAGGGCAAAGATCAAAAAGATGGCCACAAATCATAAACATTTCCACTTTGAACCCACAATTTTCTATTCAACTTTTGACCTTTCCCCTCATTGATTCATATTGATGAACCAATGATTCATATTGATGTACCAATGATTCATATTGATGAACCTTATTTGTTTGAATTATTTGACTGGGATTTCAAGTGGGAGTTAATCAAAAAAAAGCCTCAAAAAAATCGAAAAATCGAGATCCAAGTTTATAAAGGTAAAATGTGTAGATCAGCAAAGATAGTTGTTCAAAACATTGTTTTTTTTGTCCAGGGAAAGGCACCAGATCAAGGTAATCTTTTTCTTCCGCTTCTAGTCTATTTGTTAGAGTTTTGAATGTGGTTTCCGATTTCATTTTTCAAGCAAAAGCAATTTCAAATAGCGATTCTCGAATTTCGCGTTTAGTTGAATCAAAAAAGCAACCAGCAACAGATTTTCGATGATTTTGAGTACAATAGTAGCGCAGTGGATAGTGAGAGCGCTCAGCGCAACCTTTTTTACCGGGCTTAGAATCTAGTTTGCTGAATTGAGCTGAAATACTGTCGGAATTTGGCTTAAACCTTGATTCCAAATATCTTGCGATACGGAGCTTCATTCGAAGACTTAAAAGCACATTTGAAATCACCATTCAAAACTCTATCAAATACACTATAGCTAAAGAAGATATCTAAATCTTCAAGAGCTCAAGAAGATCTCTAAATCTTCAAGAGCTCAAGAAGATCTCTAAATCTAGAATTCTCTAAATCTTTTCAAGCCCACTACGACGACAAGAAGATCAACAACCGCAGAACCGATTCGCTTCTTTGTCACCACCACTCGAAAAATCGTCCCCAATCGACCGGAGCAACGCTTTGAACTCGTTGATGGAGATTCGGAAAGAGATCGGTTCATAGAAATCACAATTAGAGGAATAAATTTATATGATTCAGTGAAGAAGTGCTTCAACCGGTGAGACCAAGACCCCATCTACCCTCCCGGCCACAACGACCTTTCAAGAATCGCCCAGAAACGTAAATCATTGTCAAATCATTGTCAGCATACAATTTGAAATTTAGAAACACTTTTGTTCCCGTCACCCAAGCTCCGACGTTTGTTTTTGCTTTTTCTGTTTCATGCATAAAATTTCAGCTTTGAGTCAACGATCCGGTCGACGAGTCAACGATTTTTCGTCCCTGAATCATTTATTAGACAACAACAACAGGCAAACGTGTTATTCAGACAAAGATTTTTGAGATTTTCAGGCTGAAGCGATTCGGAGAAGAATCCTTGCTCAACAACAAGAACAAATTCGGCAACAACTCATTCAACGACAATTCCAGCAACAGCTTTCTCAGCAACTGCTTTCCCAGCAACTGCTTTCTCAGCAACAGCTTTCCCAGCAACCGATCGTCAACAATGCGGGTAATTGTTTGCAATTGTTTGTAAAAAAGAAAATTTCAACAAAAGAGTTTTTCTTATTAAATTGTTTAAATGATAAAGTTGGAGATTAAAATTTTCATAGAAATAGTTAATTGATGGAATTGAATACATACTGTAAATACGTGGAAGCAGGTTGTGAATAGGAACACCTACCGTAAATACTGTAATAGTACCCCACCGCCCTCGTACAGCCGCGTAGTCGCAAAAGGTTTTTAGTATTTCATTTTTTTCAAAGCGCCCGTACTTTCAAAAAATGCGTCTTTGGTATCAAAAAATAGCCCTGAATTTCAGCTATTTTTTGATAAATAAACGCACATTGTAGCATAAACCAGTGCCGAGAAAAACTCGTTCAAAGCTAGACTACGCAACGCTCCGCACCGTCATTATGGGGGTGTGGGACTATTACAGTATTTACGGTAGAAATAGATGGAAATTGATAAACTCGGGGGAAATCGAGTGATCCTTGATAGATCAAGAGATCTAAATAAAAACCCGTCAACCCTTAACCTAAGCTTAATGTAAATGTTGTTCAAGAGCCAGTTCAAAACTCGATTTTCTGATCGTTCAGTTGTGTGCGCTGATTTCGATTCTCGATGCCCAGCTTGGATCGGTCATTGCCCTTTCAATTCATTTGTCACTCAACGTTGCCCACTCTCTTGCGGACTTTGCCGTTTCCGTATTCAATAATTGAATTGATGATGATTGAATTTATTGTGATTTATTGAATTTTTCATTTTTCTATATATTATCGTGCTTTCCCGAAGAAATCGGCTTTAAAACATTTCCTAATAAAGATGAAATCGAAATCGAAACCACTCATCCAGCTATTTACAAGCTAAGACAATTATTTTGACAATTATTAGTCACCATTATTTTGAACGGGTCAAAGCAAAAAGCCTTTTTTTCTCCTTTCCCGATAACTGTTCTCTTATCAGCTTTCATTCTTGAACAGGCAAAATCACTTTAAATTTCCGTAAATTTCCGTAAAAAGACTTTTTCATCAAAAATGATCTTGCAAAAGTTATTTTCAATTCTATTTTCTTCTTTATTCCCTACTTTTATTATCGGAGATCAACCATTGGTCATCACAAAATATGGAGCTGTTTTGGGTACATTTCAACAAGTTTCCGATGGAACATTGGTCAACGAGTTCCTTGGAATCCCATTTGCACAGCCGCCGATTGGGAATTTGAGATTTGAGGTGAGTGAGATTATCTTATCTTTATCTTTATCTTTATCTAGGTAATCTTTATCTAAACATTTATCAAAACATACAAGCTGATTTACTATATAAATGAAATGATCTAAAAACGTAAAACAAAAAGATTGTTGAAGTTGGGTAGAGATTTTACAACCGATTTCACTAGGGAAGAGTACTTACAACTGATTTCGCTAGGGGAAGAGTACTAGTTCACTAGGGAAGAGTATTTACAACTGATTTCGCTAGGGAAGAGTGCTAGTTCACTAGGGAAGGGTATTTACAACTGATTTCGCTAGGGAAGAGTACTAGTTCACTAGGGAAGAGTATTTACAACTGATTTCGCTAGGGGAAGAGTACTAGTTCACTAGGGAAGAGCACTTACAACTGACTTCACTAGGGGAAGAGTACTAGTTCACTAGGGAAGAGTACTGATTTCACTAGGGAAGAGTACCAGTTCACTTTCGAAACGTACCAGTTCACAGTTTTCGAAACGAGACTTAGCCTATCCGATAGAAAATCGAACAGCTAATCCGAATCTGTAATCAATGCTGAATACCTGAATGCGAGATTTCTGGAATCAAAGATTTTGCTATAGCTGCTTGAGTTGCTTGAGCTGAGTTTACGCTTCTCTTTGAACGACGGTGGTGGTGTAGCGGGTAGTGTGCTTGTCGACGGAAAAGATTGGATTCATCTAGTGAATTCGAATCCCCCATTTGACAAGCCTGACAAGCTTACGTTTCATTTAAAGATTTGGATTCCCCGTTCGATTTTCTATTGCTGAGCTTCTATTGCTGAGCTCAGCTGAGCCTATTGCTGAGCTTCGGGGCATTTGCTGGGGCTCATTGCTGAGCTTGCTGGGCCTCTTTGGGGGTCTTTGCTGGGCTTCTTGCTGAGCCTTTGCTGGGTTTGCTGAGCTTCTATTGCTGAGCTTCTATTGCTGAGCTTCTATTGCTGAGCTTCATGAGCTCAATGAATGTAAAGTATCACCTCCAAAAGATTCAAACTTTTAAACTTTCTCATTTCAGAAACCAAAACCACCAATCACATGGACGAGACCGATGAACACGACAATTTTCTCGAAAGGATGTACACCTTGCAAGAAGTTAAACAAAGATTTTACAATGATTAGCTAATATTTTTAGAGATAACACTTATTATAGTGAAGATTGTTTGTATTTAAATGTTTGGTCAAACGATTTGGCGGTGAGTGAAGGTGCAATTAAAAGACAATTTTGATCAGGGTCTCCAACCAGTGATTGTTTTCATTCATGGCGGCGCTTTTATGGAAGGAAACGCTTACACTCATCCAGCTAAACAATGGAGAGAGGTGAGGATTATCAATTTGAAACTCTTAATCACATCAAGCTACAATAAAGCAACATTAAAGCTATATTAAACTATATTAAAACTATATTAAAACTATAATAAAGCTACATTAAAGCTACACTAAAGCTACACTAAAGCTACAATAAAGCTACATTAAAGCTACATTAAAGCTACAATAAAGCTACAATAAAGCTACATTAAAGCTACACTAAAGCTACAATAAAGCTACAATAAAGCCACATTAAAGCCACACTAATAAAGCTAAATTAAAGCTTTTCCTCTCGAATTCCTTTAGATTTTTGCTCGTCGCGGTGTCGTTGCAGTAACAATCCAGTATCGACTTGGCCCTTTCGGCTTTCTATCACTTAATGACTCAAAGATTTCACCAAATCTTGGTCTTTGGGATCAAAATTTAGCGCTAAAATGGATTCAGGAGAATATAGGAAAATTTGGAGGTGAAAAGAAACGAAAACTTGTTTTAAGATGTTCTCTAGGTGATTCAAAACGGGTAACAATTTACGGAGAATCGGCTGGATCGATGTCCGTCGCTGATCACACGATATCGCCACAGTCAAAGGGTGAGTTCGGTGAAAAATTAAAAAAAAAACAATTCTTAATCATTAACAAACAATCGTTCTAGGCCTGTTTGCGAATGTAATCGAAATGTCCGGCTCGAATATGGCGTCGTTTGGACGAGGGCTGAACACAGTCTCCTTTTCACAGGGATACGTGCAAGCTCTTGGTTGTGCGAATGCTTCCGATTATAAAGTGTAGGGAAAGCAGCTCTTCTCGGTTTTTTTCATTTCAAAGCTATCATATACAAAACCCAAAGCTAATTCGATTCTTTTACACATCTATTGGGTTGGTGAATTGAAAAGCCAATACAATCTATATATTTTCAAGCTTCAAGCTTAAATATCTCAAGTGTTCTTTGTGCGGCTGGGTAATCGCTTTCCATCTAGCAAATTCTTCGTGTATAGGGGGCTTTCCTTTTGAAATATTCCTTGTGCCGTTGGATAATCGTTCTCCATTTTACAAACCCTCCGGTATAGGGTGCTTCCCTTTTGGAATCCTTAAAAGGGGAAAGCCTTTTAGTTTTGCCATGGCTCAGGCTCAGGCTCAGGCTCAGGCTCAGGCTTAGGCTCAGGCTCAGGCTCAGGCTTAGGCTCAGGCTCAGGCTCAGGCTTAGGCTCAGGCTTAGGCTCAAGCTTAGGCTCAGGCTCAGGCTCAGGCTTAGGCTCAGGCTTAGGCTCAGGCTTAGGCTCAGGCTCAGGCTCAGGCTTAGGCTCAAGCTTAGGCTTTGGTTTTGTCATAGCTCCCAGATTTCTGAATCAAAACTTTATCAAAAAAATTCAGATGTCTTCAATCGAAATCAGCCAACGATTTTCTGAATGTAAAGTATGGTTACGGTGATGTAAATTTGTTCTTTTTGGCATCAAAATTAAACAATTTCCTTAGATTTGTGGCCTCTCTGGTCTGAATTGGTTGGGTTTTGGGCCGATGCTTGATGGAGAGTTTCTGCCGACAAATGTGAGAATTGAATCGAAGATTTTTAATCACGAAAGATCAGATACAAGAAGCGATGAGAAATGCCGACAAAATCCCTACAATTATGGGCATCAATCAAAAAGAGGGACGAGCTTTTAGTTCGTTTTTTTTCTAAGCATGAGAAGAGTGAAAGTGAAATATAGACCGTATTTTCTCTAATAGTAGTGAGCCGATTTGATGACTATTTTATGGTTTCGGGGCTTTTGCAGAAGCTCAACACTCTAATCCCCCACAAGATCTCATCGTCAGCTACATTTTCTGATCTCACATCGATAGGTTCTGATAAGCGGTTCTCGAGATTTCGAGCAAGGCCTGGCTCGAAAGGGCGACGCTCAGTGCAGAGAAAATTAGAGAAACTACTATTAGAGAAAATACGGTACAAATGGATCATGGATACTAGACAAAGAGCTAGCTAAAGACAAAGAGCTACTAGAGCTACTAGAGCTACTAGAGCTACTAGAGCTACTAGAGCTACTAGAGCTACTAGAGCTACTAGAGCTACTAGAGCTAACTTTTCTCTAATAGCTCTACGAAATCTTACAGCTCTCCAAGACGACTCACTCCCAATGTCCCTTCCTGCAAGCGAATGGGGTTTAGCGACGAGCGCATCTATGAAGAATTATGTGCAAAACTGGATGGTCAACATTGTAAGAATTTCCTTTTAAATTTTGACTCTTAACTTAAATTCCTAGGGCTACACTCCACAAGAGAAAGAAAACGCGCTAAACGAGATCTTTGCATTCTTTTCTGAAAATAAAACCAATGACACCGATCATTACTTCTGGATTGAGCAATATGTGCTGGTGAGGATTTGGAAATGAATTTATTTTGAGAAATAATTTTGTAAAAGGTGGCAATGAAAGATTCCGTTAGAGGGATTGAACCCTCGAGCTTTTCGTGAAAGATACTTTAACCACTGAGCTATCTTTTAGACTTACTCGGATTTCATCATGAACATCCCAATTGTGAGAGAAGCCGTCGAAAAGACGAAAGCCGGAGTACCAGTTTATGCGTTTCTCTTTGAAATGTCCAATCCAGCACAATGGCCAACAAACTATCCTGTACAAGGTTTCTTTGATTCAAATCTCAAACTCAAACTCAAACTTTGAATCATTGATTCATTGAACCCAATCATTGAGGTCCAGGTTCCAGGTCCAGGTCCAAGTCCAGGTCCAGGTCCAGGTGTCCAGGTGTCCAGGTTCCAGGTCCAGGTGTCCCGGCTCCAGGTCCAGGTGTCCAGGTTCCAGGTACAGGTCCAGGTGTCCAGGTTCCAGGTCCAGGTGTCCAGGCTCCAGGTCCAGGTGTCCAGGTTCCAGGTACGGGTCCAGGTGTCCAGGCTCCAGGTCCAGGTGAAATTTTCCAGGTTCCACACATGCCGGCGAATATCCGTGGATCCTCGAGATGCATCTCAATTTCAACTACACCCAAGCCGACATCACCGTCAAAACCCTTATCCAAGAACTTTTCATTCAGTTTTGTAAAACTGGGTAGGTTAAAAGAGAATATTTGAAAGATTTTCCCTTCCAGAAACCCGTCAATCCCTTCAATGCATTGGAATCCATTCACCGTACAAAACTTTGATTATTTAAGTGTCAATCCGCAAACGCAAATGAAAACTGGTGAGTTTTGAGGAGAGATTTTGACTTTATAAAGTCATAAAGACTAAAGAGAATTGTATTATCTGATGTCACTTTAGGATGGTTCATGAAAAACTACAAATTCTGGACGGAAACGATGGCCAAATACAGTTACGATTACATCTCGCAAAGCAATTGGATCTATTAATCAAGAGACAATGTTTATACAGAAGCTGAATAAAGCTCTTCAATTCAATTCCCATAAAATCTCTATGTAAAGAAAAAGATTAAGAATTCAATTAAGCTAAAAGTCTAAAACTGTAAAAAAAAGTGCTTTCTTTCATGGCCAACAAACATTGCTCAACATTGGTAACTCAAAAGTTGCAAATATTGTCTGACAATTGACTCACAACAAGCTTTTGTTCAATAGAAATCAAGTTTTAAAGCATTTACTCTCTTTAACAAATCTAATTTCATTTTCTTGTCCAATCCTATTGATTTCTAAGCAAAAAGCTGTGAAAAAAGTCTTTGAGATTTCAAAATGCCACGAGAAATCCATTGAGAATAGGTAAAGCAATCTTTTTTTTGTGTCTTGAATACCGTATTTTCTCTAATGGTAGTGCACCAAGAGCGTCGCCCTTTCGAACCCGGCTTTGTTGCCGTTTACTCGTACCTTCTGAACAAGTCAGGCCAGGAAAAGCAGGGCCAGAAGCCATAACTTAGAACCAGGCTTGGCCCAGCTAGGGCAAATGACCTGTCCAGAAAGTCTTTACGCTCCTTTTTGTTACTAGAGAAATCAAGTACAAATGTGAAAGCTGTGAAAAAAGTCTTTGAGATTTCAAATTTCAAAATGTCACGTGAAATCCATTGAGAATAGGTAAAGCAATCTTTTTTTTTGTGTCTTGAATAATCAAATTTGATTTTTTTTTCGTTAACAAATTGCAAATTAAAACTGATCCCAATCTCACATAAAAGAGTTGAAAAGAAATTGAAATGAAATTACAAAATAACAAAAAGAAAACAGAATTACAGATGGAATAACCGAAATTTGGCCTTAATCCCATTTAGTTTTGTTTTGATTTTATGTTTGATCTTTGATCTTTTCATGTTAAATCTTTTTTTAAAAGCTCACCTTTGGCTTTAACTGATAGTTAGCCAAAGATTGTTTTAAAAAAGCAGAACTGGAGAAGCTGTGAGAGTTGTTGTGAGAGTTTTTGAGAGCTGGCCTTTAGCTTCTTTTGGCCTTTAGCTTGTCTTGGCCTTTATCTTGTCTTGGCCTTTAGCTTGTCTTGGCCTTTAGCTTGTCTTGGCCTTTATCTTGTCTTGGCCTTTAGCTTGTCTTGGCCTTTAGCTTCTCTTGGCCTTTAGCTTGTCTTGAACTTTAGCTTGTCTTGGCCTTTAGCTTGTGAGAGTTGTTTTTACACTAAAGAAAGTAATTGCAGCTTTTCAGAGAAATAAAGTTAGATAAATTAATAGAAAATCTGGAATCAGCATCCTTGAAAGCCCTATTATATAGATTTCAGGCTTTCTGGCTAACATTTTTGTCTTTTTTGGCTTTTTTTCAAGCTTTTTGAAGCAGTGAATCCAACAACAAACTGAAATTGTGGCAAAATCATCAAAATCATCAAAAAAAAACAACTTGATGCCCTGATGCCTGAGGCAAAACAAAATTCAGACACCACGATTGGCCTTGAAAAATCAATCAACATCAAAAGAAAAACCAACCAGACACAAAACAATGGCCACTTTTTTTTTTCGAGCACCTTGTCGCTCTAGGAATTGCGTTTTAAAAATAGATTTTCCCCAGGTTTCTAAAATATTTTTCAAAAATTCTGCATTCTGTGGATATTTTTATTTTTTTAAATGAAATTTTGAGGGATTTTGAGCCATTTTTTGGAGTAATTTGTTCAAAAATAATGCTTGGCAAAAGAAAAAAAAAATTGATTTCTCTGGGGAGGAGATTTTGTGGATTTTTTTTTGATTTCTAAGGGATTTTTGAAGAAGAAGAAATGTTAGCCGATCTTTTTTGAGCGTTTATTTTTCTAAATTTCAAATTTAGGTTGCTCATTTGTACCTCAGTTTTTCGGTAATCGGGGAATTTACAGAAAACAGTGTATATGTTACGTCCGAATCTGAGGAGACGTCCATCTCCGATCCGGACAGCCGAATCTGAGGAGATTCATTCTCTTCCGAAACGGACGTCCATCTCAGAGTGGGACGTCCATCTCAGAGTCGGACGTTCATCTCTGAGTCGGACGTCCATCTCAGAGTCGGACGTCCATCTCAGAGTCGGACGTCCATCTCTGAGTCGGACGTCCATCTCAGAGTCGGACGTTCATCTCAGAGTCGGACGTCCATCTCAGAGATGAACGTCCGACTCTGAGATGAACGTCTATCTCAGAGTCGGACGTCCGTCTCTGAGTCGGACGTCCGTTTCAGAGGAGAATGAATCTCCTCAGATTCGGACGTCCGGATCGGAGATGGACGTCTCCTCAGATTTGGACGTAACATATACATCTCTCGTCAGAGTTTTAAATTCGATAAAATCACTACTTTCATTGTGTCTAGACTGACTGATTTCTACGTAAATAATGCGTTTTCTAAAAGATAGCCATTGCAAAAACAATGACCGTAATCTGCTGCTCGTGCTTAAAACATTTTTTTTTCAAATGAGAAATCAGAAAATTTTTTCAAAATCAACTTCAGATCCCGCTTTTATCCCCCCGCGGAAACTCTTTATTTGTTTAAAAAGTACAAAATTTTTTTTCTAAATCTTCTCATTTCTCATTTCAATTGAAACCGGCTTCAACAAACATCAAATTTTTCATTTTTTTTTTGTTGGCTACAATGTGCAAATGTCTTTTATTTCTTTTAATGATATCAAAGAATTTCGAGATACATTTTTTCTTAACATTTTGTAGGACAAATTTTCAGCTTTGTTCACCTTTTCTTGGAGTTCTTCAATTGTAAAGAACAATTGAAAAGCTTTTTGAAACAAAGATTTCATAATAACGATAGTTTTCAAAAGCAAAAATGTTTTAGAAAAGGTTTCTTTTAATTAAACTTTCTTTGCTTTTCTGATACCGTATTTTCTCTAATAGTAGTGAGCCGATTTGATCACTATTTTACAGTTTCCAAGCTTTTGCAGAAGCTCAACACTCAAATCCCTGACTAGATCTCATCGTCAGCTACATTTTCCGATCTCACATCGATAGATTCTGATAAGCGGTTCTCGAGATTTCGAGCAATTTAGGCGACGCTCAGGGTGCACCCCGGCGAGCCGCGTTTGATGACTATTTTACAGTTTCCAAGTTTTTCCAGAAGCCCAACACTCAAATCCCCCACTAGATCTCATCGTCAGCTACATTTTCCGACCCCACATCGATAGGTTCTGATAAGCGGTTCTCGAGATTTCGAGAAATTTAAGCGAAGCTTACGGCGCACTACTATTAGAGAAAATACGGTAATTTAACCTAGTTTTAACTTAATTTAGCTATCAATTTAAAGAAAATTAATGGAACTGATTGATTTGTTTGGTCTTCTCGTCGATTCACTCATCCCTTTGGCTTGTTTGATGGACGTTTTCCTCTTGACCACATTCGTTCACGATAAATCACTGTGCCCGGTGTTCGCTTGGTGCTTGAAAAATCTTTGTAAGTTAGCTTAAAGCTAAACGAGTTCGTCAATAGAACTGATCGAGTTCGCTTAAAGCAGCGTTAATCTAAAGTAAAAGAGAGGTTAAAGCTTTCGGGTGGACTTGAACGAGCTTTCGGTTAGCCGAACGTGGAAGCCATTGCCACGGTAGCTGAAATAAGTTGAGAATAGATAAGGCACAATACAAAGCTATTAAAACAATCATCATTTGTGACTCATAAGTACGCAAGAAATGTAAGAAATGCAGTTAGCATTCGGCCAATTATCTTTTTCAGTCATTACCCATCTCGCCATTTATTTCATCGAGATTTTCATCCGGGATTTTGCCGCAAATGGTGTCTTTATCGACTTTTTCATGGAAAATCAGAAAATTGTTGGAAAAGTGAGATTATAATAAAGTTCTATATTTGAATTTCTTTAGTTCTTTAGTTCTTTAGATTTTCTTTGCAGTAGCAGTTGTTTGGGGTGCTCAAGTGATCCATTGGAATATGCTTATGGGAATATCGAGGCTCTGGTGTGTGCTGGCAGTGATCTCGTTCAAAAAGGTAAGAAAAGATCTTTCAACAAATTCATTTCTTCTTCAGTATCTGACTTCTCGAATGAGATTGGTGATCTCGTGCGTTGTTTGGGGTTTTAATGGGATCTTGTGCTTGCATATCTTCATCTTCGTTGATTGTAGATATTGGCCAATGGTGAGTGGATTTTGAAAGGCTTGATGGCAAGTGAATCAAGCGATAAGCCAGGAAAATTTCTTCAGATCCAGTTTTGGATCAAAACCTGGAAACTGGTAGTTCTTTGCTTTAAACGGCTGATCTTTTTGCTGAATTGATCTGTGCTGTGCCCGGTGTTCGCTTGGTGCTTGAAAAGTCTTTGTAAGTTAGCTTAAAGCTAAACGAGTATCGATAGGATCGATAGAACTGATCGAGTTCGCTTATCTCGTGCGTTGTTTGGGGTTTTAATGGGATCTTGTGCTTGCATATCTTCATCTTCGTTGATTGTAGATATTGGCCAATGGTGAGTGGATTTTGAAAGGCTTCATGGCAAGTGAATCAAGCGATAAGCCAGGAAAACTTCTTCAGATCCAGTTTTGGATCAGAATCTGGAAGCTGGTAGTTCAAAACTGGTAGTTCTTTACTTTAAACTGCTGATCTTTTTGCTGAATTAATCTGCTGTAAAATTCCAGGTGAAAAGCAAGAGCTAAGCCTGGAATCTGGTCACTCTTAGTTCACTCTTAGTTCACTCTTAGTTCAGTCTTAGTTCTTTCCTAGTAGCTATCATTGTTTCCTTGATAACTTTTATTGTAAATGTTCCAATTATCTTCGATTGTTTAGGGTGAAAACTCGATTTCTTTCGGGACGGTGACTCCAAACATAATCACAACACTTTACGCATCATACGGTCAAAATGTTCCCTTATTGATCACCATTTTCTCCTATACACTCTTGATTCTTGCTCTTATGAGAAAAAAGACGATTCCCAGTAAAGTTACACAAAGGATTCTTGTGGCTCAATTTATGATTAATATGCGTAAGTTTAGCAGGATATTAAATGAGTTTAGCTGCATATTAAATGAGTTTAGCTGGGTGTGCAGAAAAGTGGCTCTTTTCTGTGGCTCTTTTCTGAATATGAAATGACACTGGGTATTAAATGAGTTTAGCTGGGTATTAAATGAGTTTAGCTGGGTACTAAATGAGTTTAGCTGGATATTAAATAAATTTAGCTGGATATTAAATCCTTGATATGCTATTAAATCCTATAAATGCTATAAAATTTCATTTATATCAAAGAAGTATAAAGGAAAGTATAGGAAGTATACTTTCTTGATGAGTACAGTACTGGACAATGAAATATGATATTTGAAAAACGATCGTCACTTTCGCGCCCCTGTTTTTTGGATAAAAAAATTTGGGGGTTTGTTAAAAAATTTTTGGGTTTTTGTTTTTTGATTTAAAAAGGGTTTTTGATTATAAAGGGGTTTTATAAAGTTTTGTAAAAAAAATAAAAAAAAAAAAAATAAAAAAAAAAAGGGAGAAGAAAGGAGAAAGGGGGGGAATCACTTTCGCGCGCCTATAACTCCCTTGTCTTTCGTATTTCTAAACTATTAATACTACCATTTTCCGTAGCCCTTGAAAAGAGCTTTCAGAAAATGTATAATACTAATAGTTTATACTGTAAAGATAAGGGAGTTACAGACGCGCGAAAGTGACGATCTTTTTTCAAATATCATATTTCATTGTCCAGTAGTGTAAGTAAAATGAATATACGCACACAAGCTAGAGAAATGCTCAACAGGAAGTTTACCCAGGAAACCATTACGTACGGCTAATGTTTAAAAGTTTAAAAACAAAACACCTTACCTGATTAGGCGTTGTTGGATCTTAAAGGATTTTCACTCTTAAGTCTCAAGTCTTAAAGGATTTTCAGCTAAACTTCTCTCATGTTTTTTGACAATATATGGCCAAGTGCAAGCATTCCTTTTACCGACAATTCTACCGGAAATCGATTTGAAACTCTATTGGTTTTTAGCGTAAGTTAGACTCTTTTCTAAAGTCAATTGAGAATTTTAGGCAATTAGGTGGAGTTGGTTACGGGATAAATGCGACGATCGTTGTGTTCATTTGCTTTCCACAGGTATCACAAAAGCTCTACCTTTACAACTTATCTGTTCTTTTCGTTTCCCCTTTTCTTTCCTTCTTTCTTTCTGTCTTTTCCTTCTTTCTCTTGGCAGCATGGGTTACCGGATAGCTGAGTGATTAGAGCAATTGACCGGAAAGCTTAGTGGTTCAATTTTCTCTACAGAAATCTAGTTTTTCTTACTAATTCTTGAACTTTTTATTATAAGTTCTTTTCAGGCACGACAACGTCTGCGGAAAATCGTATATCGAAAAGAGAAATCATCATCCCGAGCCGATCAGTCATTACACACTCTACAAACGAAAGAAATCGTCACTCTTTACTGAAAAAAAAACGTTTATATTCAAGTATATTCAAGTTCTTCGAATAAATAACTTTCACAATTTTCTTCTCAAAATTTCTTTTACTACAAACAAACTTCAGAAAGTTCAAAGTTAGTGTTGAATAGGAAATGGATTACTGTAACGACGACTTTAGACGTTAACTTTAAAAATAAACCTCAAAAAATTTACTTTTTAAAGATGTTATCAGGAAAATAACTCGATGCTAACTCGTATTTTCTCGAATAGTAGTGCTTTGTCTCATGACCAACAAACATTGCTCAACATTGGTAACTCAAAAGTTGCAAAAATTGTCTGACAATTGACTCACAACAAGCTTTTGTTCAATAGAAATCAAGTTTTAAAGCATTTACTCTCTTTAACAAATCTAATTTCATTTTCTTGTCCAATCCTATTGATTTCTAAGCAAGAAGCTGTGAAAAAAGTCTTTGAGATTTCAAAATGCCACGAGAAATCCATTGAGAATAGGTTAAGCAATCTTTTTTTTGTGTCTTGCATACCGTATTTTCTCTAATAGTAGTGCACCAAGAGCGTCGCCCTTTCGAACCCGGCTTTGTTGCCGTTTACTCGTACCTTCTGAACAAGTCAGGCCAGGAAAAGCAGGGCCAGAAGCCAGAACTTAGAGCCAGGCTTGGCCCAGCTAGGGCAAATGACCTGTCCAGAAAGTCTTTACGCTCCTTTTCGTTACTAGAGAAATCAAGTACAAATGTTAGGCTGTCGAGAAAGTCTTATTTTGGATTTTCTCTGACCTAGAACAAGACAAAAAGGAATCCTTTGAAAGAAAAAAGAAAACTAAAGCTTTTTCAAAGACTTAAAGGGTCAAAGCTTTAAATTTCTTCAAAGAACTTTACCAAAAGCTCTTTCCCTTTTTTTGTCCAGCTCTTCGCCACTTCCTGTTTCCAGGAAGTGCCCAGAGTGCACCACGAGGAGGTGGCTGGACTTCGCACTCCGCCACCCTGTAGTCCGAAGACTCTTGGGATCCGAGGTCCACGTCTGGTCCTTGGCGATGGCACCGACTCCCGCAGCAAGAATGCTCAGCTTGCTAAGGTGCGCGCAACGTAATTAGGAGAATGCTCCGAAGTTACACTTTGTTGATACTAAAAGGGATTGATCTGATCCCCAGTCGGTTTAAGAACCTCGCGGTTCCTCCAATGGGGTGTCCAAACTTCCGCCATCTAGACGACTGTCGAGTAGCGGACAGCTGACGGAAGCCGGAGCCCAGAGGGAGCATAATTGTAATCCGGTTACGAGCAACAGACCATTCTGCCTCCCTCCATGGGTGGCAGTGCGGAATGGTAGCGATTCCACGAACTTCAGCTGTATCCCTCACGGGAGACTGTGGTTCTTTCCACAACATCCTTTCGGTCAACCTTTCGGTTTTTTGTTGCTCGGGGCTATTCGTACAATCGACCCGGGCCAGCCCATGGCTCCGGGCGCCGCCTTCCACGAACGGGTTAGGCACCGATCAAGCGAGAAGCAAGCTTCTTCAAACTCTCTCGTGAAAAATCGTTTATACTCTTTCAACCCGATGGGACCGATGTGAGAGTGGACACAAAGGCACGGCAACAGCGAAGGGACTCGCTATAAGTAAAAGCCCTCTGTCAGAAAGTGCGCGATTATGCTGGTGCACAAAGAACTAAAGCTCCTTTAAAGCTCGTTCAAAGGAACTTCAAACTATAAAGGAACTATAGAGGAACTATAAAGGAGCTTTAAAGGAACTTTCAAGGAGCTTTAAAGGAACTATTCAGTCAACTAGGTGGATCATTTTATGGAATCAATGCAACACTTAATGTATTTGCTTGTTTTCCAGATGTCGGTCAAGATTCAATACTCAATATCCAATATTCAATGTATTTAAGAATCTGGAAATCTTGAATTTTAATAAATTATACTGTAAATGCTGTCTTTCTTATTGTTTCAACAACAATTCTTTCAATATTTCTGAGACACCAGGCGAAATTTGGGCACAGATTCTTCTATTGTAATCATTTTTCTTTGTTATTGATTGTCTAGTTCAATAATCCAAGTTTGTGCGGTGCAATTAACCTATTCGACTCTTCGACTTTGAGGCGATTTTGAGGAATTAACTGCAATAAACTTATTCGACTCTTGATCCACACTACAAATCAAGCCTTAGTTAACGGGTCTTTTTTGTGGGAAACTTTGCCGAGATACACTACTGGACAATGAAATATGATATTTGAAAAAAAGATCGTCACTTTCGCGCGTCTGTAACTCCCTTGTCTTTGCCGTATTTCTAAATATTAATATTACCATTGTGTAGCCCTTGTAAAGAGCTTTCGGAAAATGTATAACACTAATAGTTTAAACTCAAAGACAAGGGAGTTACAGGGGCGCGAAAGTGACGATCGTTTTTCAAATATCATATTTCATTGTCCAGTACTGTATGTCTTAGCTCATCGAAGAATTGAGATTTTCAAAGATCTTGGTGATTTGCTATTGTTGAAATGAAGTTTGTGCTTGAATTGAGTTCAATTTGACTATTTTCTCACCAAATCTTTCACTGAAAATTGTGCGTACCTTTCATGTGGCTCGTAGGGAAAAACGGCGTCTGGCACATTGCTCCGAACAGGGGTGACCGGAAAGCCCTCGCCACCGGTTTAATTACCCAAGTTTGGTGCGTCGGAAAGCGCGCGTTTACGTACGGGCAAAAAAGAACGAAAATCTTTCTGATCTCTGAAAAGGCCTTCGGACCTTAACCTTTGCCAGATCGCCGCGTTTACGTGAACGCACAAAGAACGAAAATCTTTTGAAAGCTAACTTTACAATAAATCCTTTCATTTATCACCCATTTTGCCGTATTTTGCTGAAATTTTTATTTGAAATTTGAGAATTTGTCTGTTGAGAATAGCAAATGGCTTATTCCATGATTTCAGATTTTTAAAGCAGAGAATCTTGTTGGAAAGGTAAGCTTTCAAGTTATGATTATTTATTCGAGCTTTTGCTGGCATTTTGGATCAGTAAGAGATGATCAGTAAGAGAAGACAGATGCCGAGAACTGAGAAGACCATTGATTGACCTTCCATTATGATTAGATTTGGACAGAGAACTTTTTAGTGTGCTCAGGTGACTCATTGGAATATGTTAATGGCTGTATTGTGAAGTCTTTTGAATCCTTGTCTTTTGGAAGGATAACTAAACAAATTGGAAATGATTTGGCTTCCCTTTTTCAGACAGACTAATGTTATAATGCTATAATGTTCTAACGCGTTTGTTAAAGCACGAAGTACAGGCGAAGTATCAACCTTTTAGTATCAACAAAGTGTAACTTCGGAGCATTCTCCTAATTACGTTGCGCGCACCTTAGCAAGCTGAGCATTCTTGCTGCGGGAGTCGGTGCCATCGCCAAGGACCAGACGTGGACCTCGGATCCCAAGAGTCTTCGGACTACAGGGTGGCGGAGTGCGAAGTCCAGCCACCTCCTCGTGGTGCACTCTGGGGCACTTCCTGGAGACAGGAAGTGGCGAAGAGCTGGACAAAAAAAGGGAAAGAACTTTTGGAAGTTTAAGAAAAAAATTTAAAGCTTCGACCCTTTAAGAATTGTTAGGAAAGCGACATTACGTGAAAACCAATGGAGCTTCAAATCCATTCTTGGCAATACATTGAGCAATAAGATCCCATGTACTTGACTGTAAACTGTCGTGCAAGAAAAGAAAGTTTTCCCTGAAGATTGGAGAATTGAGAAGTTTTGCTTTAACTTCACTAACATATATTGATGAGCAATTCTGCTGAGGATGATCTGCTTGGGAATCGTTTTCCTGGCCAATAGTGCTTTAGAATGTGTAGGCAATCATTGTGATCAGAAGGGAAAACTTTTGACCAAATAAGACGTACAGCGAAGTGATTACATTTGGAGTCACCGTGCCAAAGGAGATCGAGTTTTTTGTTGCGCTTTCCTAGCTTCCTAGCTATCAATAATCGAACTACTAGTAAAAGCCAGGGTATGATTCTGTTTTTGATCATTTCAATCTCAAGTTTTCTATATTTTTCTGACTTTTTATCGTAGCTGGCTCTTTAAAGAAAGCCGTTTCTTTTCATATCTTTATCGTTTAGTTTTACAAGAAAGAATTTCAATTTATGCCGATCAACAATCTCTTGGCATTACAATTGCCCAGCTACGAAAATCGACAAAATATTGCAGATGGACAGCACAATATTTTGTGTCCATTTATGTATGTGGCGAATAGCCACTAAAAGTTAACTCTGACAGCCTAAAAATTGGAAAAATATTGAGGAAATCGGTGCGCCTTCATTTTATTTCGCGCCCCAAATCATTTATTGTTTTGTAGCTTGTTAGCTGAGTATCTTGTGTTAAAGCCTATATAAGGCAACTGTTGTTCATTTGTTTTTGTTATCTTTCATTTTGTTTTTTCTGCTTTCCTCAGATTTTGTGTAAAAGTGTGTCCTAATTAGGACGAAATTGCTTCTGTTTTTATCGTCACTTTAATTCAATTGTCGATATTGTGTGAAAGTTGCTCAAGTGAGAGCCCAAAGATTCCGAATCAATCGGCTATTGAATAAAGTGCTTTTTTTAGTTCAAGAGAGATCAGATATCTCAAAACAAGAAATAACGTGTCTTGAGTGAAGAGTACCAAGCACGCAAAGAATATTTCTTTACAATGTACAATTGATGAATCGATTTTCATCTTACGTGCGTTGAAGTTCTAAAACGAATGATTGACCAGTGCTTTCTCCTGTACTTTGTGCTTTAACAAACGCGCTAGAACATTATAGCTATAGCTAGCTATTAGTCTGTCTGAAAAGCGAAGCCAAATCGAAGCGGATGGAAATCTTGAATTTTAATATATTATACTGTAAATGCTGGTTCTTTAGGCTTAAGGCCGACTCCGCAGAATGCTTTACAGTGAGCGTTGTGGAAATGTCAAAAATTTATTTAATCAAGGCTTATGAAAAGAAAATAGTGGATTTGAAGAAGCTAGTTTGGAGAAACAGAAAGACTTACAAAAGGTAAGGCTGTTCTTTAGGCTTTAGCAAACGCAAACTTTCTGGAAGACTCAAAGTCGAGTGTCAGAGAGGAAATCGTTCTGGAAGACTCAAAGTCTAGTGTCAGAGAGGAAATCTTTGCCAAAACACAAAACACAAGCAAGGAAAGCCCGTAAACTTTTGCACTAAAATAAATAAAGCTCAGAGAAGCGAGAGTTTACGCTACTTTTCACAATTCAACCAAAAACAAAATCTATTTAAGAATCTGGAAATCTTGAATTTGAGTATATTATACTGTAAATGCTGGTTCTTTAGGCTTAAGGCCGACTCGGAAAAACGCGCAAATACAGCAAGTGTTGCATTGATTCCATAAAATGATCCACCTAGTTGACTGAAAATCTTTCAAATGCTTTACAGTGAGCTTTCTGGAAACGTCAAAAATTTATTTAATCAAGGCTTATGAAAAGAAAATAGTGGATTTGAAGAAGCTAGTTTGGAGAAACAGAAAGACTTACAAAAGATAAGGCTGTTCTTTAGGCTTTAGCAGACGCAAACTTTCTGGAAGACTCAAAGTCGAGTGTCAGAGAGAAAATCTTTGCCAAAACACAAAATACAAGCGAGGAAAGCCCGTAAACTTTTGCACTAAAATAAACAAAGCTCAGAGAAGTGAAAGTTTACGCTACTTTTCACACTTCAACAAAAACGGATCGTTTCCGAACTGCTGGTATCAAACAATTGTAAACACTAAAGGCTAATTTCCAAATAATAAAGCAAACCGCTAACACGGCGATACAAATAAACAATTGAAGAGATGCAAGAGGAACAAGTGAAGCTATTTTAGCACATTGATAGGGATGATGATGTCCAAGTTTGTTTGAAATGACAGCAATGATAGAAATTGTATCGGAAATCATGAAGGAAGCGATGAGAAGATTGAGAGAGAAACGAGGATAGATTAGAGAATCCATTTCTTTATTGCGAGTCATGATCAGTAAGAGAAGACAGATGCCGAGAAGTGAGTAGACGATTGATTGACCTTCCATGATGATCAGCGTTAGATTTGGAGAGAGAACTTCGCCTGGAAAGTTTGTCTCGAAGTTTTTCTTAGTTATCAGCTTTTCTCTGGAAACTCACTAAGAAAAGCTTTTGGATGATGGTTTCCCCAAACTTTTTGACATAACATGATACAAGTGAGTGCACCGGTGATCAGCAAAAGAATCGACCAGATGAGACAGAGAAGGCGGATCGGCTCACAAAAGCGCTGAATTATTGAGGTTTGTATTGGGTTGGTGAATTGAAAGCTGCCGGACTTTGAACTAAAATTTATTGAACATAAAACCATGAATTCATTCCAAATAATTTCCATTATTATTGAAGACTTCTGCCGATTTTACAGGCAATTTGCGGATCCCTCTTTCGTGGTAGGATTTTGGCTTGTGTGTGAGACAAGTGTGAGACTCAAAAATGGAGGACTGGAGATGTCCCAGTTTGAGCATTTTCTTCAAAAGAAACCCATTTTGGTGTCAATAGAAAAGTTGTAGAGAATCAAAAATTAGGCTTATAGCCAAATTTCCAAAAAGATACACTTAGTAGTTTCGCTTAAAATGCAAGTTTTGTGAAAATTCGTAAATTTGGCTTTTTCTTGAAAACCAGTTTTTGAATCGTTCTGAAAATTTGGATATAAGCTTGATTTTTGATTCTCTACAACTTTTCCATTGACACCAAAATGAGTTTCTTTTGAAGAAAGTGCTCAAACTGCCACATATGACAATAGCCCGCAGTTTTCAATTTACCAACCCAATAGATTGAGATTAGCCTTGATTTGAGGAGAAGTCAATGTCCAATCTGAGGATTCGGAGCCGGCCAAATTAATTTGGAAAAGGTAGAGGGACGGGGGTTATGCAAGAGCCCTGCGCCAGACGACGAGCGATTACGCGGCTGCACACAGAACACACAGAACACACAAATTTTAAGCGAAACTACTGTGTATCTTTTTGAAAATTTGGATATAAGCTTGATTTTTGATTCTCTACAACTTTTCCATTGACACCAAAATGGGTTTCTTTTGAAGAAAGTGCTCAAACTGCCACATATGACAATAGCCGGTAGTTTTCAATTCACCAGCCCAATATTACAGCTTTTTGTACAAGTTTTGCTAAATAAAATCAATAAAGTTAAGGAATTAAATACAAGAAAAGATTGATTGATTGGTCGTTAAATGAAAGAAAATTTGAAACCTTAAAGCAGATCTCATCTTGAAGATATCTCACGAAACGACAGCATCGATCCTCAGCTTTTTCCTTTTCTTTTTCTGAAATAATTTGAAATTCTTTCTTAACTTAGAACTTAATTGAAAGTTAATTCTAATTTTTTACATAATTCTACATAATTCTACATAATTCTACATAATTCTACATAACTTAAACAATTACCGTAATCATGACTTGTCCCTGGAAGATCTTCGTAGTCATCCACCCGATTTTTGAGGTAAAGATTGATAGGAAACATTGGAAGACAAGCTTTGATTTGATTTGAAAATGGTTTTGAGACAAATGAAGATATCAATCTCTTTCGAGCAATTGCTTGATCATTTATAATCTGATCACTTTGGGGATTTCCCTCTGGCAATCCATGCACTCGGTTTTCTTGGGAAAAATTTGAATGTTTAAAGAGAAGAGTTGATGTAGCCATTAAGGAGAGGAAAATATCGATTTCGATTGTTTCAAAGAGCTATTAGATCTAGTGCGAGACTAGATTTTGGTCTGATATCAGAATGATTGCAATAGAAGAACTCGAAAAGATTTGGTAGATAGATTGGGTAGATCTGCAAGCCTGTTAGTCTTAGAATCCGGTATTAGTAGACGAAAAATGTGTGTTAGCAATGGATTTTGTACTAAACTAGCTCTTACAACTAGATAGACGAATGAAATCAATGAATAGAATAACAAAAACATTTGTTAGCTCTGATACAAGCTCTGGCACTTGATAGAGTTAGATTCACACGAAATACTACTAAATAAAGCTTTCAGCTTTGATTACTGATTGCAACAGGTGAAATGAATTGAGTGGGCAAGTGAAAAAAAGAAATAATATTTCTGAAAAACAGCCTTATCACAAGTTTCTTTCAGTTTTCACTTTTCAAAATGACTCTCGAGCTATTGGATTGGCTGGGAATCGTTGTCGATTCGACGATTCCATTCGCTTGTCTCCTTGACATTTTTCTTTTATTCGCCTTTTTGAATGGGAAGAACAATCTGTGCCCAATTTTTGCGTGGTGTCTCAGAAATATTTGTGAGTTTCATCGTGGCTTTTGGAGACACAAAGACGAAACAAGAAAGATTGAATCATTGAATCATCGAGCCTTTCCTGAGCCTAGTGAAATACACTACTGGACATTGAAATATCATATTTGAAAAAGCACTTTCGCACTTTCGCGCGTCTGTAACTCCCTTGTCTTTACCGTATTTCTAAATATTAATATTACCATTGTGTAGCCCTTGAAAAGAGCTTTCCGAAAATGTATAACACTAATAGTTTACACTTAAAGACAAGAGAGTTACAGACGCGAGAAAGTGACGATCGTTTTTTAAATATCATATTTCATTGTCCATTACTGTATCTCTCTACACCTGTAGCAGTCACAAACCAAATGAAAATGAAATAGAGACTCATTTGAGGCTCATTTTTCAGTTTACTCTCATCTAATCGTCTACTTTGCTGAAATCTTCATTCATCAATTCACCGCCAATGGCTTCTTTCTCGATTTCTTTCTGGAATATCAAAATATCATTGGGAAAGTAATAAAATCGACTCCCAAGATTGTAAACAAGTTAACAAGTTGTTTAGATCTTTTTCGACGTGTGTGTTGTGTGGACAGCGCAGGTTGTCATTTGGAATATGATTATGGCTTTGTCTAGACTGTGGTGTGTCCGTCGAGCACTCTCATTTTACTCGGTTTGCTTCAAAAAAGTGTTCAAAGAAGGGAATAGAGAAAGAAATTCTAGACTTGGAATGAAAATCTTCAGCGAAAGATCTCGATTTTTGTGTGGAGCTTGAACGTTGTACTTTCTGGGCATATTTTCATTTTCGTTGATTGTCGGGCCTGGGAAATGGTTGGTTGAGGTTTTCAGGGCAAAATAAAGTCAAAGCCGAAGCTAGCGCAAGTCTCAATGCTATAGTATGCTAATGTCAATGCTAATATAAGTACAAATGTACAAATATGTGGCTAGAGTCAGACCTGGTCAGATTCAGAGCTGGCCTGGGCTCTAAACAAAACTAGAAACTGAAATCCGTGGTTAAACTTACTTGGACTTGAAAACAATGATGCATTAACTGGCCGTGAACCCGCCCACCAGGGGTTTTTCTAGCTAGATATTTGGCCAGTGGCACGTACTCCACGTGACGCAGTCGGTAGAGTCTCGGCCTACAGCCCACACGGTCCCGGTTCGACTCCCGGCTCCTGCCGTGACTTTTGCTTTTTAAAAAAACGAAATAAGAGATGCACAACTATCTAGAATTCTAAGTCTAAAAAACTAAAAATTACAGAAAATTACAACTAAAATCGATCACTACAGACAGACAGACACTTTTCTTTTATAAATACTAGATTCTACACGAATGGCTGGCACTGGACTCATCCAGTTCAAGCAAATCTTGCCTAGTTTTTGTGGAGTAGAATTGCGCCCTAACCCGGCTTTGATCCTCCTTTAGGCATTCATCCACAGAAACCTTTACCCAAAAACGAATAACTATCAAATTTAAGGGCAAAGACTCGTGGTCATTCGGGACAAGAACTCCAAATATCATCTCAACTTTTTATGCAGTCTATGTGCACAATTTTCTCTTCTTAATGACGCTTTTCATCTATGGATGGCTGGGATACGAGTTGTATCGAGCGAAGAATTTCCCTGACTATTTGGCGCGGCAAACGCTGATCGCGCAATTCTTGATCAATTTGCGTACGATTTCGATTCTTTTTTTCGAAACAATGTTCTTGTGTTTCAGCAAAATGGATCAATGCGGTGAACATTTTGTACGGGAGTCTCGAATGTTGCCTCTTGAATGGAATCATTCCGCCGATGAATTTGAAATTGTTTTGGCTACTTGCGTGAGTGTTTTTTGAAGCTTTGCTCAGGCTCAGACTCAGGCTCAGGCTCAGACTCAGGCTCAGACTCATCTTCTCGTTCATATTTCTATTTTCAGTCAAATCGGTGGCACTTTTTATGGAATCAATGCAACAATCGTCGTCTTTGTCTGCTTTCCAAAGGTGAGGGAATTCATTTTATAGATTAAGCTAATTTAAATGGCTACTTATTAAGCTACTATTGAAAAGATCAAGCTTAAAATCTCAAGCTACAGGCTAGAAAGCGTTTTCGCGAGGTTAGCCGCCGATTGATTTGCGGAAAAGTGACACCCCGAGCTCAAATCTTCTCGATTTCTGATCAATTCTTTAACTCAACAGTTAGATGAAAAATAAATGCATTATCTTATTGAAAATACTGCTTTATACAAGGACAAATTGAAATCAAAGTGCTTAAAGTGGGTTCGATTTGGCTTCAGGCATCAGTGGCTTCAGGCTTGGAGTTGGTTCGATTTGGCATCAGGCATCTTCAGGCCTTTCTCTGTAAACTAAACAATTTAAAGAAACAAATACAAAGTTGTAACGATATTAATGCTGACAATTCACCTCATTAATCACACACTTTCCTTTCAGAAATCCTGTAGATCCAGGTGAAAACGGAACAGTTTAAGGAAAAAAATATATTTTTGAGTTTTTTTTGTGCAATATCTTCATTTCAATCTTCCCCTCTAAATGGTCATTGATTTCTTAGATCCTAGAATCTCCTAGGACTTAGAATCTCCTAGGTCTAAGAATTTCCTAGGACTTAGAATCTCCTAGGACTTAGAATTTCCTAGGTCTAAGAATTTCCTAGGTCCTATTCTTAGAATTTTTCTTTTTTTTCTACTCTTTCCTAGGTCTCCTTGGTTCTCCAGAACACGACATAGACATTGATGAGAATATATTACGACAAGTTGCTCAAGTTAACATTCTCATTGTAGAATCCTACGGTACTAACAATAAGTGTAAACACAAAAGCACTGTATCTATTAGTGGAGCTTTCTAAATGACACTTATTTTAGAACTACCGTAAGCTAACTGTTTTCATGGAATATTGGCGAATTTTCACTAAAAGGTAAACATTTTATTTATAAAATAAAAAAAAGAAACGACGAAATCTTTCGGTGAGAATGCCGAGATTTAGAAAGTCGTTTTCTTTATACAAAAATAAATTCATTAACTCTTTGCAAAGCCGTTTATGTATGGATGTAAAGTGGTAACGAAAATGTACCCAAAAGCCTTTTCAATCACTGATCAATTCAATTAAATATGCTTCGTAAAATGAAAAAAAACTTTATTCAATAAAGAAATTTGGTTTATGATTAAAAAGTTTATGAATTGGCTTTAAGCAAGGCAAACTTTTGATTCAATTAATTTCAATTTCAATTTCAATCAAACATTGATCGTTCGCCGTCCCGGATTCCCCTCTTCATCATCCCCATTTCCTTGAATCTTCAAATCTGAACAAATCCACAAGATAAAAGTCCCAACACTAATACAAATAGCTACAGTCCCAAAAATCATGAACACCCAAATCGCTGCTTTCAACAAAAACTCAGGCAACCAAGTGGCTATTTGAGCACAAGTCACACCAGTGAAACCACAACGATAGAAAATGAGAGCAATGAAAAGTATGAAGCCGGACAAGAAAACATTGATGGCTAAATAGAGAAGAGTCACTTGGAAACAAAGAGAGAATTCCGTGTCTATTTTGAAGAAAATTATGTGAATGATAAAGCAGATAAAGGTAATGAGATGAATCCAACGCTCGATCGAACACAACTCATTACAAAGGTACGCCGGTAGGAAGGGGCCTGGAAAATGGAATTGATCCAATGATTTTACATCCTTATGCCATCATGACCGACTGCCTAAGAGTCCTGTATTTTCGGCGGGAGGTCAAGGGTTCAATCCCGTCAGCTAGGTTGTCAGCTAGCTATCATTTTATCAGTTAAACTCACGCAAGGGTTCAATCCCGTCGGCTAGATTATCAGCTGGCTATCATTTTATCAGTTAAACTCACTCAAGGGTTCAATCCCGTCAGCTAGATTGTCAGCTAGCTATCATTTTATCAGTTAAACTCACCAATGAACGAGTGTGGTTCGATGAACTCGTGCCAAACGCGATGCGAATAGAAAACGATTGATAGACTACCGGAGAGAATAAAAATCCCGGAGCAGAGTAAGGAAAGCGCTTGAAGACAGTATTTTTTGGCCTAAAACATTTAAAACACTCATTCTTTACTTCTAAATCGTAAAAGAGTTGTTCAATCATAAAAGAGCTGTTGTTCACATACTCGATTTTTGGAGATTCCCGAGATTCGGCGCCTTATTGATGGAAACGATTGATTTGTGAGTGTTTCTAAAAAGTAACTATTGATAATTTGTTAATAAACGAAAGATTTCCTTTTAAGTTTAAATTCATTTTCTTTGTATTCTTAGTATTTGAATCGATTTTAAACTCAAAATGAAGCTTGATAAATGGAATTTTTATCTATTAGGTACATGCATAACATTTGCATGAATTTCCAACGATAGAAACCTGAAAACGATATCGATGAATGTTATAAACTATTTGAAAGTTGTAAACCTCCTCTACAAAATAGGCTAAAACGTGTTTCAATCGATCGAAGCATTGAAGAAATTTCGAGGGCGAAATGCGAGTGACCAAAAAAAAGGAATCAAGTCACTTTAGGGACAAGTTTAGCGTGGTCAAAATAGAGTTAGCTTCCCAAAATTGAAGATTTTAAAAAGAAAGGATAACTATATATCAATTGATTAAAAAAGTCTAACGGAAATGCATTTACAGAAATTTAGACAGAGCGTAAGTTCTTCTTCTCTTCTTCAATTTTGGGAAGCTAACTCTATTTTGACCACACTAAACTTGTCCCTAAAGTGACTCGATTCCTTTTTTTGGTCACTCGCATTTCGCCCTCGAAATTTCTTCAATCGTTCGATCAATTGAAACACGTTTTAGCCTATTTTGTAGAGGAGATTTACCAACTTTCAAATAGTTTATAACATTCATTGATATCGTTTTCAGGTTTCTATCGTTGGAAATTTCTGAAAATATTGAAAATATTGAAATCCGCATTTCTTATGCATGTACCTAATATTTAAAACTTTGTTTTGTTTTGTTTTCATTTTGTTTTCATTTTGTTTTCATTTTGTTTTCATTTTGTTTTCATTTAAAAGGTTAAAAGGTTAAAAGGTTCTATAGTTTTCTGTTTTATCAATTGAATTCTTAATTGAATTCTTATTTGAAACGGCCGCAGTGCCATAAAATTGTGTGTTTAACCTTTATGTCTTATTATGTACCCTTTGTTTGTATCACATTATTGGTTTTCAATAAATGTATTTTTAAATTGAATACAATTGAATACAATACAAATGAATACAATACAAAAAACAAACCCTCAAAATCGACTGGCTCGTCGATTGTCCCGTAACGATTGGACATTGTTGTTTTGATTGTTTAGAAGGAATTTGAATTATTGAAGTATTGGATTGAGAATTGAGAATTGATTATTGAATATTGAATTATTGAATTATTGAATTATTGAATTGAGAATTGTTTATTGAATTAAATCAATTTTCTTTGAGAACAGATGGTTAAATGAAATGATTCGCCAAAAAGGCGGCTATGCCTTTGGCTAATATGAAGTTTTTTTTGGGGAAAATTGCGTAATTGAACCGATTTTTATCTTTAGAATGAATGTATCTTTTCGAAAAATAAACAAAACATAGAATTTTTCAAAGGAAAACTCTTTGCTTTAGTGTGATTTTTGTGCTTTACAAACGCGAGCACAAGAAAACTTCATTCACAAAGTGTTCATTGTTCTTATTTTCTTATTTTCAACTTAAATTGATATGATTGTTTATAAGTTTTATCAAAAAAAGCTTTCCTTGGTTATTCAGTGATTTATTATTGCTCTTTTTTAACAGAAAAAAGAATCACAAGGAAAACAGATGACGCTCTCTTTCTCTTTCTCTCTCTTCTTCTCTCTCTCTTGAGAATTAATCTCATTCTCTTTTATCCAAAGCTCATTCTCTTTTAATCGATTGCTATGCTTTCAAAAGTTCTTTTTCTATTTCTACTTTTAATTCTTGAATCCTTTGTGACAGTTCTTTGTCTCAAATGTGAATTTGAATGGACACAACGGGGATCATCATGCTATTTGCTTCAGGTGCTTCGGAAATTTGATTTCTTTAAGATTAAACGATATAATAAACCTTTTTTTATCAAAACTTAAGATATTTTAAGTTCTATCGGATTGAGGTCAGGAGACTGAGCGGGCCAGTCCAAAGTTGCAATGTTATTGCTGTTCAGCCAGTCTCGGGTGTCTCCGGCTCGATGAATTGACGCGTTGTCGTATTGAAACAAGTCCGGAACGGTTGGATTTAGGAGCAAAAACGGCAACAAGCAATTGTTCAAGATATCTATCTAGTCATCCGATTCGAAACCATCTTCAGAGCGACCGTTCCATCAGCACAATAGGCGGCCCAAACCATCACAAAACCACCGTCAAAGTTTTGAGTTCCAAACACCATCGGATCACGTCGAAGATCCTTTCAATAGTAGTCGACGCCATTGGGACCATCCCAATTCCATTTCTTCTCATCGGAAAAGATCACCTAAACGCTAAAAAAATAATAAAACATAAGCGGCTTTCTAACCATAGATCAATCCTGATTCATATGAGCCTTGGCGAACTCCAATCGGGCTTTCTTGTGCAAAAGCTTCACGACCGGCTGCATGTTCAATAATTGTCGATCGATATGTGGATTTTCCGTGACGACTCGCCAAATTGTCGACTTCGAAGCGTCGATTTTCAGTTCCGTTTTCACTTCATTGATCGTTTTTCCGTGGATTTTGTTCACAATATAGCGTCTAGCTCGCGGTGTAAGCTTTGGTTTCGGTCCTGGCTTCTTCTTTGGTGCAGGAACGAACTCGGACTTTCTATAATTTCGCACGGCAGAGTCGGATCGGCCCAAATTTTTTGCGATTTTCCTTATTGAGTCGCCAATCCTCAAACGGGCATCAATCTGGCCTTTATCATAATCCGTGAGCAGCTTTCCATGTGCCATTTACCTGGAAATTAACAAAAATTACAAATTTAATAAAAAAATATGCACAACAAAACGAAAAATTTCAAATAACAACAGCAAAGGCGGGTGCGTTTAAGAATTTGAAACGGTTGATTTAGCAAAAAGTTTCTATTTTGAAAATTTTTATTTTTTACAGTAGGCTTATTTTTCGTGTTATTTAGGTTTTAAGACATGCTCTTTCTAATAGAAAAAGATTAATAGTTGTAGCGGTGGTCAAAGGGCAAAATTCGCTGTTTTAGGGGGTGCGTTTAAGAATTTGAAACGCACTGTATAAGCTGTAAACTAAGCAATGTTCAATACATTAATTCTTCCGTTTTAGGGTGACTTGTCCAACAGCGCGCCTCTCTTTACTTTCACTGAAGCTGAAGCCGATTGTGTGCAGCGAAAAGGACATCTCGTTTCAGTGCACAGTAAAGTTGAACAGGATTTTCTTACTGGTAAAGAATTTGAAATTTTGAGATACAGAATTTGTATTTAGATTTGGTGAAAAGAAAAGAGAGTGGCGATTGCGCAAAGGAGAACGTTTGGACTGGATTGTGGTACGATGAGGCAAAGGAGAAAGCTCTTTTTACTGGTTAGTCATCACACATAGATAGATTTCATAGGTTTCGAAGAAAATCAAAGATTATTGCAAAGATTCCTTTAGTTATAAGCCTTTTTCAGATGGTTCACCGGTGGATTTTTGGCGGAACAAAGTTGATGACTCATTTGGCGCTTCGGCACTGGTGGTGGGTGATTTGAAAAGCCAAAAAATTTGTCGAAATTTTCAGATTTAAGATATTTTGTTTATGAGATACGTTTATTTTTTCGCAAACTCGATTTCCAGATTCAAAACTCGTTGAAATGCTCTCCAGTGGCTCCAATTTTCATTCAAATCGACATCTCTGCGAAACTTTCGCGTTACATTTGCAAAAAAACGGCAATTAATGAGATTCAAGACTATTGATTGATGTTAAAATTGATAAGAATGATTTAATTGAAAAAAATGATTTCATTTTGTCAATCCAGTCTTGTAAAATAAAACAGCAACAATGCAACGGCAGCAAAGCAGCAGCAACAATGCAACAGCTTCCTTATCTCTGTTTGGTTCCTTATCTCTCTCAATTTGGTTCCTTGTCTCTCTAAGTTTGGTTGCTTATCTCTCTAAGTTTGGTTTCTTTGTCTCTCTAAATTTGGTTCATTATCTCTAACAATGCAACAGCACAGCCCACGCGGTCTTGCCCGTTGGTTGCTTATCTCTCTAAGTTTGGTTTCTTTGTCTCTCTAAATTTGGTTCATTATCTCTAACAATGCAACAGCACAATGCAACAGCAACAACGCAACAGCACCAACGCAACAGCTTCCTTATCTCTGTTTGGTTCCTTATCTCTCTCAATTTGGTTCCTTGTCTCTCTAAATTTGGTTCCTTATCTCTAACAATCCAACAGCAACAATGCAACAGCAACAATGCAACAGCACAATGCAATGCAACAATACAACAGCAATAATACAACAGCAACAATACAACAGCACCAATACAACGGCAACAATGCAACAGCAACAAAAAGACAACTTGAACACTCTCAATCACATCAATCTCTCATCTATCGGCTGTTAAAAGGCATCTATCGGCTATCGGCTGTTACAATATCCAAAACAAATCCAAAACAAATCAAAATCATTAAATCTACAGATAATCTACACATAAATCTTCATTTAAATACAAGAATTCCAGAAATACCCCAAGAAAACAACAATTATTTGAGTGGGTTTTATCGGAAAGAATCAAATTTTCGAGGAAATTTCATTAATTTGCTCATTCATCGGCTAAAAATCAAATTCTCGCGTCAACAAGTTCCATAAAAAGACCCAATTCTGACAGCAGAATGTCCATTTTAAGGAAATTTCACTTCCAAATCGATCTTTAGCTTTAATCTAATCGAGCTTTTTAGTTTTCAAGTCACATTTTTTGATAATTTTTCTATGATTCAGTTCCTGAGGTGTTTTTTTCATCGAAATTCCTACAATCCGACTAAACACAAGGAAAAAAACTAAGAAATTTAAAGAAATTTAAAGAAATTTACTCAATTCTCATCAAACTTCAACACCTTTTTTTTTAATGATTTATGAAAAGATTGACGAAAAGATTAAATCTTTCTTCGCTCAAATCAAATCTTTGCTCAAAAAACTGTACAAAAAACAAAAGTTTCAAGTGGCCAAAAAATGTTTAACGCTTTTTTTTCTTACTTTTAACGTTTACTCATTTCTTTTTCAATTGTTTTTCTGAAATTTAAGGAAAACTTTAAGGAAAACTCTTTGCCAATCATTTTCTATTCTTTCAACGATCTTTTGATTCGTTTTGGCTTTTGTTTCGGTTCAATTACCCGACTTTAGCTCTGAGAAATGTTCGCCGAGGTGCTGATTGGTGTCTTGATCGATTTTTCCCTTGCTTTCATTGATCAAATCTCTTTATATCTTTTATTCAAAGCGAAACTCTTTGCCCAGTCTTTTTCTATTCTTTCAACGATCTTTTGATTCGATTTTGCTTTTGTTTCGGTTCAATTACCCGACTTTAGCTCTGAAAAATGTTGACCGAGGTGCTGATTGGTATCCGCATCGATTTTTCCCTTGCTTTCATTGATCTATTCTCTTTATATCTTTTATTCAAAACTCTTTGCCAGTCTTTTTCTATTCTTTCAACGATCTTTTGATTCGTTTTGGCTTTTGTTCCGGTTCAATTACCCAGCTTTAGCTCTGAAAAATGTTTGCCGAGGTGCTGATTGGTGTCCTCATCGATTTTTCCCTTGCTTTCATTGATCTATTCTCTTTATATCTTTTATTCAAAGCGAAACGATTAGCCCCAATGTATCGAATCATTCAACTAGCGTTGATCACTGATTTTCTTGAGATTTCCAGTCGTCTAATACATGATTATATTGATCGAATCACTGAACAAGAGAATTTCGGTAGAATTGAAAACTTTTTCTTTGAATTTTTTGAATTGTTTGAATTCAATCGAAATTTTAGCTCCTATCATTTTAAATGTTTTCATTTTTATCCAAGGAACACGTTGGTATGGTCAATTGATGTTGACGATTCTTTTGGCTTTATGTCATTTCGCGATCATCTTATTACCAATGAGATTTCAAGCATTAACGACAAAGACGATGATCTTTATCATTGTCATCTTTGCTGTTATCCCGGCTTTCGGTAAATTTAGTTTTCCAAGATAAAAACATTGAATATACATACTAAAAATGAAAACCTACTCAGCCAAAAAAGCTCTAGCAGATTCTGGATTCATTTAAATTCATTTAAAAAGCTTTCAATTGTAAATAAGGATTTCTTTACAAACCAGCTCTTATCAAAAAGCTTTCTGAATCTGGGCAAAGTATTCAACTCAAATAACTTGAAGTAATCTATGAAAGAATCTATGAAAGAGTCTGTGCAAGAATCTATAAAATAGTCTATGAAATAGTCTATGAAAGAATCTATAAAATAGTCTATGAAATAGTCTATGAAAGAATCTATAAAAGAGTCTCTGCAAGAATCTATGAAAGAGTCTATGCAAGAGTCTATGCAAGAGCCTATGAAAGAATCTATGAAAAAAATCTATGAAAGAATTCCCCATTCAGCCATCACAATCCCACTTTTCTTTGCATGTTGTGGCTTCAAATTCTACCTCACTGGCTACTATTGGAATCTTGACAATTCTAAGCCCGGCTATCAATTCTATACACTTTTGGGAATCATCTTGCAGGTAAACAAAGAAGTTGAAGTTTGAAGTTTACATTTTAAATCTCACTTTTAGCTGATAGCTGTCGCTTTCTTGGTACTCTCTGATGTGGTTCTGTTAATCAAATTGAAATCGTTTACTATTAAGAAAAACACCATTCAGCAGGTTTCTTGAAATTTTCAGAAATGAATTCTTTAACTTCTTTAATTAGTCTTTAATTAATCTTTAATTAATCTTTAATTAATCTTTAATTAATCTTTAATTAATCTTTAATTAATCTTTAATTTATCTTTAATTTATCTTTAATTTATCTTTAATTTTAGGCAAGTGTAACCTCTGTAGTGAGTTGGAAAACGAATGAGAGAGAAAGGGGAAAGAGACATTTTGAGGTTTGATTCGTTGATTTTTATCTTTCGAAAATTCGTCTGTAAGTAAAATAATCAAAAATTGAAAGGATTTAATAGGATTTTGATTTAAACAAGAGTAAAGAAATGAATGCACTCTCGAATTGAATTGAACTCAACGGGGAATTGAACTCTCGACTTTCTGCTTACCGAGCAGGTCTACCATTGAACTATTGGGGCCTTCTTTCCCCTAGAAGAAATAGGAAAGATAAGGAAGAAAGAAAGGAAGAAGAAAGGAAGGAAGAAAGGAAGGAAGAAAGGAAGAAAGGAAGAAAGAAAAGGATTTAGATCAAGATTTGGATAGAAAACTCTTTGAATGACAACTGCTATGCAAGACTTTCACTTTCCTAATTGTAGATACTTTAAAGTGAGCAGTTAAAGCAAACAAACTGAAGATAAACTCAAAAATACTCAAAAAAAAGCAGATTATTACAGTAGGCTAGCTATTAGATATTCAAAATCTATTTACTGCAAAGAATCATATCGTTCTGTGTGATCTATCAACTTTCAGCTGACCACCTGGCTTCGTTCTCTTTCCGGAGAAAGTCGTCTTGGCCTCTGCCTCGCTTTCTACACTCTTGGCTTCTTATTCGGAAATATAAACTTCAATATTTTATCAAAGTAAATCATTTGATACTCAGAATCTTCTCACAGACTTCTCTGAAAACCCATTTTTTTTAGATTTCAGGGGCCGCTGATTCAAGTGTTAAACTCGATTTTCAACATCGCCTATTATCTCAAATTTATGCCTTACGCTATTACAGCTCGTTTGTAAATAAATGAAAAATTTTAAGGAATTTAAATCAGCGAATAAAATTGTTAACAAATGCTTCAAAAATAAGATTACATGTAGTTTTTTGAAAGCGAAAAAATCAAGAACTCAAATGCAAAGAAAATTCTGTGGCTTTGAATGGAAATTAATGAAATTGTAAAGTAGCTCTGATGGCTGATTGTAAAGTAGCTTTGATTGTAAAGTAGCTCTGATTGTAGAGTAGCTTTAATTATAAAGTAGCTTTGATTGTAAAGTAGCTCTGATTGTAGAGTAGCTTTAATTATAAAGTAGCTTTGATTGTAAAGTAGCTCTGATTGAAAGAGCCTGATTGAAAGAGCTCTGAGGCTGATTGAAAGTAGCTCTGATTGTAGAGTAGCTCTGATTGTAGAGTAGCTCTGATTGTAGAGTAGCTTTAATTATAAAGTAGCTTTGATTGTAAAGTAGCTCTGATTGTAAAGTAGCTCTGATTGTAAAGTAGCTCTGATGGCTGATTGTAAAGTAGCTCTGATTGTAGAGTAGCTCTGATTGTAGAGTAGCTCTGATTGTAGAGTAGCTTTAATTATAAAGTAGCTTTGATTGTAAAGTAGCTCTGATTGTAGAGTAGCTTTAATTATAAAGTAGCTTTGATTGTAAAGTAGCTCTGATTGTAAAGTAGCTCTGATTGGAAAGTAGCTCTGATGGCTGATTGTAAAGTAGCTCTGATTGTAAAGTAGCTCTGGTAGCTCTGATGATTTCTGATGGCGGTTTGGCGTTATGATACTTGGAGCCCTGTGATAGTTTTCAGATTACATTCAACTTTTACAACTTTACGTAAATAAATTTAGATTGTTAGATTGCCAATGGCAAAAGGGCGGGTGACGGGCCTTTTATACGAACCCCGCCTTTTGCCACTGGCAATCCAACTTTGAGCACAAATATCTTTGTGTTGAGCTGTCGAATTTCAATATTCTTGATATTATTGGATGCGCCGAGTCTTTCTCTGTCGATTGGTAGAAAAACTATTTCAATTGAACAGCCCAACACCAAGATACTTGAGCTCAAAGTTGGCTTGCCAATGGCAAAAGGGGTTGGCGACGGACCTTTAACTTTATCATTGTTATTTATTGTTATCCAGCACTGATCGTTGTCTTTTGGCTAAGCTTTGGTGGCTAAATTTGAAGGTATAAAGGAAAATTGTTTAAAAAAAAAAAAGAGATGGCTCGGCTTAAGATATAGGCGGGGCTTTCCCATGTCTTTACTTTAGTTGGCTACTTTAGTTGACTTTTCTTGGCTTTCCCATGCCAATATTAAAAGCTTAAATTCATATAAAGTTGACTTTGATTCTTTAAAGCTTAGCTCTCAAACTAAGCTCTAGTCCCATTTTTTTTCCAGAGCAAGCCTTGACAAATCATTCCAAAGCAAGACTTGACAAATCATTGATACTGGAACCGTTGACACATCTGGATTCATTTCATTGTAAAAAATCTTTTATAAAATCCTCACTAAACACTCTGGAAGACGGTGATTGTCGTGAAATTGCCGAAAATTGTCAGCCACATAGCCATCAAATGGAAACACCATCAAATGACATCGACGCAATCAAATGGAATACATTTCTCAAAGTATTTACCCGCATATTTGTTGAGATTGATGATCGAATTGGCATGGGAAAGCCAAGAAAAGTCAACTAAAGTATCGAACTAAAGTATCGAACTAAAGTATCGAACTAAAGTAGTCAACTAAAGTATCGAACTAAAGTAGCCAACTAAAGTAGTCAACTAAAGTAGCCAACTAAAGTATCGAACTAAAATCGAACAAAGCGAACAAGCCAAAAGCCAACTAAAGTAGCCAACTAAAGTATCGAACTAAAGTAGATAAGTCAAGCATTAACTTTATCTCCAAAATTAGGACTTTTATCGGAATTCTTAGATCAAGCTGAGCTTTAAATGATAAAATTTCTTTAAAAATCTTCCATTTATAAGATAAAAACGATCTTTTTCATCTTGCAAGTGTTTCAAAACAAAGATTGTTTTCCCTTCGTCATTCACTTCCCAAAAATCTGCCCACTCTTTCTCATTTCCTATATGAAATCTCAAAATCATTAATCTTGTTACCAAAACAAAACAATTAATACAATTTTTTGTTGCCGTTATTCAGAAAATCTACTGAATCGAATACTTTTTACTTAGAATTTATTGCGTTCAGCTTTTTTCAATTCAAATTTTTCAGAAATGCGCAATTTTTCTTTTGGTTACCTAGCAACGATGCAACACAAATTTTCCCTTTCAGAACTTGTATTATATTTTGAAAATAATTTAATGATTTAGTAAATCTTAATAGCTGATCCATCAATTCCCATATTTCCATATTTCAATGTTCAGAAATGGAATCAAGCAAGAAATTCGATGTCCTCTTTCGCGCTCTTAAACTCTACAATCAAAATGAGATCGATAAATGTGAAGAAGAATGCACGAAGATTCTACAGAAAAACCCATTGGATCAGGTTTATTTAAGATTAAATTAAAATGATTAAATTAAAATGATTAATTTAAAGCTTTAGGCGGCTTGGACTTTGAAACTCTCTTGTCTGACTGAGTCTCTTTACATTGACGAGCTTGACAACAATGATGTGGGCATTGCGGAGACTTTTCTCGAACAAGTAAGCAATTAGAAGCTCTAAAAATGAAAACTGATCAGCTAGGTAAATCAGCTAGACATTTTACAGTGAATTTTTAGAACGTAATCGCACCGAATGCCCGTCCAGGCACTTCATTCAATCGACCGCTCACGAGTGCTCGTGGAGCGAATCCCTTACTTCGGTGGGTCACAAGAAAACTCACAAGGAAACTCACAAGAAAACGAAATACTCTTTTCATTCTATTTTCTTATAAATCAAAAATCTTCCTTTCTTGTCATCAAGATTTCTAGACCAACAACAAACGCGGGACGACCTCTTTCTGGTGTTGTTCGTCCAATGACCACTGCTAGACCCGGCACAATGGATCAAGCTGTAAGTTTTTTTTGAAAAAAGACAATTGAATTGGAAACTCTGAATGAAAAAGCCCAAAGGCTTTAGAAAAAAAAGTACAGAATCTTTGTAGGATCTCAAAGCAATGAGCACTTTACATTTTGGGAGCAAAATTGGAAAAGTATTGCTGCTTAGTATTGCTGCTTTCCAGGAAATCTTTTCCTTTTCTTTTTCTTTCCTTTTCCTTTTCTTTTCATTGCGAAATAACAAACTCATCAATTAACTTATAGTTTACTCTAAAGTTACTCTAAACTAAACTCTAAACTCTCTTTTTTTTTTTGTTCAATTTCCATCTTTTTACGTTAATTTCGGTTCACTTTCAAGCAAATTTGAGAGTTTTTTTTTACAAAAAACGGGGGTGGGACAAATGCGGAAAAGCTGCGGAAAAGCGTTAAGTTGCGTAGTTTTTGCCTTTTAGCCCAAATTTGACGTGTCAGCGAGGTCTGATTTGTCAAAATTCTGAATCTACGCATACGATTCCCTTGTATGGAAATATTTTCGAAGCTCTACGGCCTTGCCTAAGGCCTTTTCCAGCAAAAAAAAAAAGGTGCTCAAATGTCCAGGTGCGCAAAAAAAGGTCGCATTTGTCTCACCCCCCAAAAAACCTTTAAAAAACCTCAACGAAATTGGCTAAATGAATTTCTCTGAAAATTTGGCTATATACTAAACTTTTTATGCTCTATCTTTTAGCTATTAACACAAAGATGGGTTTCCTTAGCGAAAATGTTTAAACCGAACTCATTGAGCCTATCCGACTACCCGATTTCACACTCTCAAAAAAATCTAGACATAAGAACTTTTTAATTTTAACATTTTAACGTTCTAAAAACCATTTTAAACCCGTTTTAATGTTATTTTACAGAAAAATTTTGAGCTTTTCTAATGAAATAAACCGTGGTTCAATTAGTGTTAGACATGAGCGCTACAAACTCAGACTATAAACGCTTGTAGAAACACGTAGAATGGCTATTTTTAAAAACTGTTTATAAAAATGAGATCATGGAGTCCCGGTTGAAGAGTTGCGGATTCACTGACCATGGTATTAGACATGCGCGCTACAAACTACAAGATCAGACTATAAACGCTTGGAGAAACAAGTAGAATGGCTATTTTTACCAAAAAAAACGAGCAAACTTTGGGCTTTCGAATGGCATCAAGATCAGGCCAATCCACGATCTCTGCGCAGAAATATAACGCTTTTTTCTGTTTGTAGTTTTATCCCATGGGACGAGACTACAAACGCTATAAAGCAGATTATCAGATGGCAAATTACTCTGATCTTTGTGTCATTCAAAAGCCAAAGTTGACTCGATCTTTCAGTCAAAAATAGTTTTTAAAAATGATCATTCTACACGTTTCTACAAGCGTTTGTAGTCTGATCTTGTAGTTTTTAGCGCCATTAATGTATTTGTTGGTTTTAAACAAACGAAAAGACTTTCTGAACTAATAGGAATAAAGTTTATTAATAAATTTAATCAATAAAAGTAATATTAACCGTGATCTGTGGCAATAAGCAATAAATCTAGCTAATCGAAAAGATTTTCGAGGCGTCGATTCGATTGAAGTCAACACAGTGAAAGGGAAAAGAACGGAAAAGTCTTTCCTCGCAAAGACACAAACCAAAAGCCTTTCTTTAGGTCCGAACGAGTCGAACAGCGAAAACAGCGCGCGCCGTCACGAGCAGCTCAGCTCGTTTTGTTCGACTGGGAACGGTTGGAGCAAAATCTCTATAAAAAAAATCTCTTTATTAATATTTCAGGCTTCAATGGCTTCAAATCCTGATGGTCCATTCGTCAATTTGGCTCGATTGAACATTGAGAAATATGCAAAAGATGCACAAGTACCGTAAAATCGTCAAATGTTTTTATTAGAGTGGCACCGACTAATGCTAACTTTAACAGCTAACTTTAACAGCTTTAACAGTTAACTTTAACAGCTTTAATGCTAACTTTAACAGCTAACTTTAACAGTTTTAAGGTTAACTTTAACAGTTAACTTTAACAGCTAACTCTAACAGCTAACTTTAGCAGCTTTAATGCTAACTTTAACAGCTTTAATGCTAACTTTAGCAGCTTTAACAGCTCACAGATTCAACATTTTCCATAAACACTTTCTCCAAAAATTGCTTAAAATGATGCATATGGCTGTTAATTATAATTTAAAACTCATGATAGTAAAATTCAAATCGATCCTGGAAAAATTGACTGGAATGACTGACTGGAATGGCTGAAATTGAAAAATTGACTGGAAAAATTGACTAAACACTTTGATTGACTTTTTGACTCAATTTTTGACTAAACATTTTTTTGAGAAAAAAAAATTTATCAGAGGATTTTTAGAGAGTCAAGAATTTGGGATAGAACTATGGATATAACTTTTTATTTTAAATTCCTTTTTCGTATGTTTTAAACAAAAAAGAATCGAGTTAGAGTGATTTAAACAAAAAGAAATGTTTTTTTTTTCAACAATATGCTTTTTTTTGGGATCTGAAAAATGAGCACTGAGCAATGATAGAGAATTTACGGGAGATGAGAATTATAGAATTAATTATAGATAGAGAATTTTTACAAAAACCACAATCGAAACCTTTTTCGAGCTTTTTTTTTAGGTAAACCGACAACTTTTCGAGTACGTTTTTTATCATGAAGGTGATGTGAAAACGGCGCATCAGGTAAAATTTCAAAGATTTCAAAGTGAGAAATGTTTTTGAACGTGGCATTATATAGATACCTTTATTCAGGAGCTGAGATAAAGTGCGCTAGATTATACGTTCCTAGGTGTAAACGGATGTGGACTAGAATTTGGGTTATGTTAAAGAGAGCGGATCCCTTTTGATATCCCGCCATCTCTAACACCCCGACAACCCAACTCAACTCCTCCAACGTATTAGAGGGGAGTCCCTGTGAAATGCCCGACCTGTAGTTGCACTGCAGTTGCATAGACCCGGAAGATACATATCTTTATTTACAGTAATACAATAAGATGAATAGATTAGAAATGAGTGTAAGGGGAAGGAGGGACTCCTAATGAGAGTCTCACTTGCCCTCCTAGGCAATCCTAAGGACCGCCCCTTCTCGGCAATAAAAGGGATAAGCACAGAGGAGAACACATTTGCATAAGATTAGACAAAGCATTCAATAATAACAATAGTGACTAAAATATCAGTTTGTCTCGGAGCTGACAAGATTTAAGATTAAAACCCATCAATTCATACACATAACGCGAAAAAGGTCGATAAAAACAATATGATATAATATATGGATAGCATAGATAACGTCAAGGATCCACTAGAGCTTCTAGATCAAGATGATCAAGCTTATCTACGGATAATGTATGCAATGGGTAGCACAGATAGCGTCAAGAATCCACTAGAGCTTTACGATCAACATCATCTACAGATAATGTATGTAATACATGGATAGCACAGCTAAATGTCAAGGATCCACTAGAGCTTCTAGATCAAGATGATCAAGATGATGATCAAGATCAAGATGATCTACAGATCATTTAAAGGTTTCGAGATTATTGAACTCTCTCAAAACTCTGGGGAGCCGATTCCAAATTCAGTTCTTATTGGCAGTTCTTATTGGAAAAGAGTTATACACAAACTTATTGGAGGTGACTGAAATTTCTAAAACGAAAGAACCTCTCCTTGAACTAACCGTGGGATTAATTTTGAATAAATCTCGAAAAAGAGGGATAGGTTGCCCGCATGCATTGATGAAAAAACGATTCAGATTGCCGCCATTGCAACGAAAGAAGCTGAATTCAACGATTGGTATTGGAAGAATCAATTGGGAAAGTGTTATTACAGGGAAGTTATTGAGTTTTTTGTTCTTTCTTGTTTTTTCTTGATCGATTGCTTTTTTCTAGTTCTTGAATCTTTTTTTAGATTGGGCATGTTTCAAGACGCGGAAAAGCAATTCCTCTCCTCACTTAAAACCATGAAAATGGTTGAAACGTATGCGTATTTGGCGAAAATCTATAATCGATTGGATCAACCATTAGTTGCAATCAAATATTATGAAGAAGGGCTAGAAAGCTTCAAGAATGATATCACGATTTTAACTGGATTGGCGAGAGTGAATGAGGTGAATACAGAAAAGAACTATAAAGGAACTATAAAGTCACCAAATAGGAACTAAATAGGAACTATATAAGAACTAAATAGGAACTAAATAGGAACTATAAAGGAACTAAGTAGGAACTAAAGAAGAACTATAAAGTAGCCAAATAGGAACTACAGGGTGCGTCATAATTATTGCAACAAGATACTCAAGACATTGCACACCAAGAAGTCTAACTGGAAGAAGATTTTTAAACAGAAATAGCTTTATTTAACAGTAACAAATAAGGAAACAAGAGTTCATTCGATATGACCGCCTTTTGCCTTGATAACAGCCCTTAATCGGTTCGGATATGCCTCCACTGCGGCCCGAATGTCATCTTGAGGAGTCGCCTTTCATCCTTTGGTCAAAGACTTCTTCAAAGGATCCAAACTTGTGTGTTTTCGAGAGCAGACATTAGCCTCTAAGATTGCCCAAATGGAAAAGTCCATCACATTGAGATCCGGTGAGTTCGGAGGCCATTCATCCTTGGGGATCACTGAGGGAAAGTTGGCCACACACCAGTCCTGAACCGTCTTCTTCGTGTGAGCGGGAGGCAATTAGGCAAGAATAAAGAAGAAAGAACGCAACACAACAAAAAAAGGGGGCAAAAAAAATAAGAAAGCTGTTTGGAAAACGGTCTTTGAACTCTTGTTGCAATAATTATGACGCACTCTGTATAAAGGCACTAAATAGGAACTATACAGTAACCAAATAGGAACTAAATAGGAACTATAAAGGAACTAAATTTCTTCTTCACTTCTTCTTCACTACTTTCGTGGAGTCTTTTTTTGTGATCTAACTACAGTGATCTCACTTTAATATCAATCTTAATTTCACTTTTTCAGCAACTAGGCAAAATCGATGAATCGATCGAACTTTACAAGGAGATTCTAGCCGTTCAAGCAAACAATGTCGAAGCGATAGCTTGCATTGCCACCAATTATTTCTATTCAGATCTACCAGAGATAGCTTTAAGATATTATAGGTGGGTAGGTTTTGTTTGAAACGAACTTTTAGATTGATTTTAGACGTATCATGCAAATGGGAGTGAACAACGCGGAACTTTTCCTCAACGTTGGCCTCTGTTGCTTCTTTTGTCAACAGTTTGACTTAGCGATTGCTTGCATTGAGGTTAGCTTTGAAAAAGTGACATTGATGGCATTGATGGTTGACATTGATTTGAAAAAGTGATATTGATGAATCTGTTTTTCAAGTTTTCAAGCTTTATAAGAACTAGATACAATTTTTTTTTAAGCCTAACAATTTTTTAGAGTAAAGGCGTTTCTAAATAAAGCAGCTATTTGAGAGAAATCTCGTAGTTAAACCGTTAGTTTCCACTGAATCAGCGCTCAATTTTTATATGATTGACTGAGCCTTGTGATTCATGTTTATTCAAATATTCAAATTCCAATTAAAATATTTACATGTCCAAATCAAAAAGGAAAACGATTTCCTTTTTGGCATTTGATACGTAAAATTGAGTTGATTAGGTGCAAAATAAAATGACTACGATAGTTTTCTCAAATTGCTGCCTTTTTCGAAAACGCATTACATTACTCGTCTGGAAAACACTCTATTTTAGAGAGCTCATGCCACCGCCACTGAGGACATTCAAGCTGATGTCTGGTACAACACTGGACACGTGGCATTGGTTAGTGAATTGGTCAATCCCTTGATCAAAATCAGCTTCAGTCGATTGGCGATGTGAAAATGGCGGATCGATGCTTTCAACTAGCACTAACAGCTGATCAAGATCATGGAGAATCTTTATGCAATTTGGGAATACTTAGACTTCGAGAAGGTAAACCAATTAGATGGATTTATGTGGGCAATTGGGCAGTGAGCAATTTGTAAATTTAGAATTTGAAAATCTTCAAATCTTTACTGTTTTATCAGTAGTTTCATACACAATTCAGGGAAAATCGATCAAGCCAAATCGTTCTTTCACAATGCAAAAGGGAAAGCCCCACACCTTTTCGAGCCATACTTCAATTTAGCGATTCTGGCAAATCAGGTAAATGTTTGAATTTTGAAATTTGATGGTTTTTAAATGTTTTTACAACTCATTTAACCATCTATTGAGTTGGTGAATTGAAAACTGCGGGCTATTGTCATATGAGAGAATTCCCGAGTGCCGGATTCGGAGTCGGCCAGATCAGTATGGCAAAGCGAGAGGGGAGAGGGTTATGTAAAACCCCTGCGCCAGACGACGAGCGATTACGCGGCCGCACAAAGAATGGTGTGTTCTTTGTGCGACAGCGCAATCAATGTCCAATTTGAGAATTCGGAGCCGGCCAGAGCGAGAGGGGAGGATGTGATGTAAAAGCCCTGCGCCAGACGACGAGCGATTACGCGGCCACACAAAGAATGGTGTGTTCTTTGTGCGGCAGCGTAATCGTTCGTCATCTGGCGCAGGGCTTTTACCTAACCCCCTTCCCTCTCCCTGCTCCAAACTAGTCTGTTCGGCTCCGAATCCTCAAATTGGACATTGACTTCTCCTCGAATCAAGGCTAATCTCAATCTATTGGGTTACTGCTCAAACTGTCACATACGACAATAGCCCGCAGTTTTCAATTCACCAACCTAATAATTATCAGGCTGGTCAATACTCTGAAGCACTGATCAATGTGAACAAATCGCTGGAGATCTTCCCCGAGCACGTTCACTCGCAAACATTGAAGAGACACATCACCATTTTGTACACAATGCTTTAGCAACAATTTTATTTGTAAAGTGACTAAGTAATTGTTTTCAGTGAATAATAAATGCTAAACATGTCAAAGATGCTAAATTAGTCAGCACAAAGAAAACTGAAATATTGGAGTAAGCCTTTTCTAAAGTTTGTTCTAAATCTAAGCCTTTTATGCTTTTTCAAGAACTCAAGACTTTTCTTTCATTTTTCTTATCCTTTTCATTTCCATTTACTATGCGTGGGCACCGCAAACTTTTGCTAAACAATGTGCGGGCAATGCTCATTTTCTTTTTTCCTCTTCTTTCGTCAATAAATGAAAATTCAGAAAAAGAAAGGATGTGACGGTAATCGAAAAAGGGAATTCTTAAATCGACAAGAAATTGAGTATTGCATAAAGTGGGGAGAGCTTGATGGGGGAAATGGAGATCAAATTACACTTGAATATAATCGCCATATTTGAGATCACCGCATTTCTTTTCACTTCAACAAAACTATAGTACTTTGTTTAGTTGAATTTATTGCGTAGTTGAAGAGTTGGTTGCGTTTGGTTACATTTACATTACATCATGTTCTCAAGGGTTTCGTTTGGGATTCGTTTATCCTTTTTAAGGGACAGATGCTCGGCAATTGACTTATCATTGTATTCATTTGGTTACCTTTCCCATTTTGGCTTTCAAATGGCATCAAGATTAGGCCAATCCACGATCTCTGCGCAGAAACTATGACGCTTTTTTCTGTTTGGAGTTTTATCCTATGGGACGAGACTACAAACTGCTATAAAACTACTATAAAGCAGATTATCAGATGGTAAATTGCTCTGATCTTTTTGTCATTCAAAAGCCCAAATTTTACTCGATCTTTTAGTAAAAATAGTTTTTAAAAATGATCATTCTACACGTTTCTACAAGCGTTTTTAGTTTGATCTTGTAGTTTTTAGCGCCATTAATGTATTTGTTGGTTTTAAAAAAACGAAAAGACTTTCTGAACCAATAGGAATAAAGTTTATTAATAAATTACTGCGATAAAGAAATAAGAACTGCGAAAATAGGGTTAGTTGATGAGTTGCGATTGGTTTCATTATGTTCTCAAGGGTTTCGTTTAAGATTGGTCTATCCTTTTTAAGGGACAGGTGCTCGGCAATTGACTTATCATTGTATTCATTTTGTTACCGGCTTGTTCTCTAGCCAGAAATACACTCTTTCTGGTGCATTAATGTGTTGTTTATGAACTCAACTATTATGAAAGTAATCTCCTCTTTGAGCTTTGAGAAAAGAATAATAATTGAGCAATTTGTTTTACTATTTATAATAGAATTGAGCGAACGAAAAAGCTCTGTATGCATTTGAGTGAATCTAAAATGGTGTGGTGTTGTTATTATGAAAGAATTTCTTTAAAATCATTCTCTAGAGCATACTTTACTTCACCAAAAACAGTATAAAATTACAAGATTTGTACTTTCTCTTGTACTTTGTGCTGTACAAATGTACAAATGTACAAATTTTGAAAACACATCATTTCTGACATGAATTTCTAGATTTTCTCGTTACAACGAGAAAATTGATGAATGAAGAGTTTGTTTGAGCTTTTTTAGCTCAGGCTGTTTGAGCTAAGTACTGGGTTGGTGAATTGAAAATTGCGGGACTTTGAACTAAAATTTACATATGACAATTGCCCGCAGTTTTCAATTTACCAACCCAATAGATTGAGATTAGCCTTGATTTGAGGAGAAGTCAATGCCCAATTTGAGGCTTCGGAGCCGGCCAGACTAGTTTGGCGACGGCAGAGGGAAGGGGGTTAGGTAAAAGCCCTGCGCCAGATGACGAACGATTACGCTGCCGCACAAAGAACACGCAGAACACACAAATTTTAAGCGAAACTACTAAGTGTATCTTTTTGGAAATTTGGATATAAGCTTGATTTTTGATTCTCTACAACTTTTCCATTGACACCAAAATGGGTTTCTTTTGAAGAAAGTGCTCAAACTGTCACATCTGACAATAGCCGGCATTTTTCAATTCACCAACCCAATACAATGAACGAACCCAATGAAAGTTGATAGCTTTTTTAAGCAAAAATCCGCACAAATCAAGCAGTTCAATCAGTAGAATCATTTTGAAAACAAGTTCACTTCTCACATTTTTCTTTGAGCTCTGAACATTCATTGTTTCTTCTCAATTTCCTGTTAAAGTCTAGACTCTAGAGTTAACCAAAAAAAAACAAACAAGAACTGCTGAATCTCTTTGAACAAAAAACCCCTCCATCTCTAGACTGAATGAATTCCAGCATTAAATATTTAACTAAAAGCAAAAAAGTAGAAAAAACGGTTCCTTTTTGGCATTTGAAGTTCAATTGAAGAGATCTTTGAGGCAAATTTTTGCACATTTTACTCTTTTAGCTTATAAATTATTTATTTATTTATTTATTTATTTATTTACTTATTTACTTAGATTTCCTTTTTTGTAATAGTTCTAAAAAAATATTCTTTAAATTCGAGAAACTTTTGAATAAAACTTTAGTTTTAAAACGTTTGTGAAACGTTTGAAATGCAAAATACGCGTTGTTGACGTAGAGAAGGCTATTATATTCATATCAAATTTCACTCAAAACCTTTTCTCACTCATAAGCTATTCTTGATTTCTAATTCTTCTTGATCAATTGAGGAAAAAGTTGTTTTTCTAAAGCTTTTCCTAATGATAAGCTGACAATAAACTGCTTTTTCTAAAGCATTTCCATTTCATAGAAGTTCTAAGTATCAATTTGTTGTAACACTTTAAATATTTGTCAAAAAAAAAGAACCAGAAAGAAGTCCAAGCTCTAGAGTTAAGTAAATTTCTAATTTCAAAGTTGAATCTAAACATTCAATCTATTTTGAGGTAAACTTTTAGCTTTTTTTGATGTTTTAATATTGGAATAGTTAATGAGCTTAAAATTCCAAGTACAAGTAACGGATAAGAACTATTTTATATATATGTCGTAGCCGATGAAGGATTTCAGCCGATGAAGTCTCAGACTTCTTCGGCTAGCCGATGAAGTCTCAAATAGCCGAAGAAGGCTAGCCGATGAAGTCTCAAATAACTGAAGAAGGCTAGCCGATGAAGTCTCAAATAGCCGAAGAAGGCTAGCCGATGAAGTCTCAAATAGCCGAAGAAGGCTAGCCGATGAAGTCTCAAATAGCCGAAGAAGGCTAGCCGATGAAGTCTCAAATAGCCGAAGAAGGCTAGCCGATGAAATCTCAAATAGCCGAAGCCGTCTTCGGCTAGCCGAAGAAGGGAAAAAAATTTGAGACTTTATCGGCTAGCCGAAGAAGTCTGAGACTTAATCGGCTGAAATCCTTCATCGGCAACGATATATAGATATATATATGCTTTATTCAGGGGGCGAATAGAAGCGAATCAGATAATCATAATCGCATATAACATATGTATAAAATGCAGAAATAGTATAAGAAAGTATAAAATATATAACGTACTTAAATATTAATAACCATTTAATTTCTTTAAAATCTCTAAAAATGATTTCAAAACACTGTCATGTCATCGTAGTTCAAAGTTTCTTTCTCTCCAAAAAGTGACGCATAAATCACGTTGAGAATTCGAAAAATTTGCGGTGATTTCAACAATAAGCGATATTTTCATCGGCTAAACAATGAAAGACCCCAAAAATAATCGGATTCCCATTTTTGGAGTCGAGGAAAAGTGATAAAAAGACGAAAATTTACGTGTCCTCCGCCGTTTTCTTTCTTTCTTTCTTTCTTCTTCCCCTTCTTCTTCTTCTGCCCCTTCTTCCTCTTCTTCCTCTTCTTCTGCCCCTTCTTCTTCTTCTTCTTCCTCTTCTTCCTCTTCTTCTGCCCCTTCTTCTTCTTCTTCTTCTTCTTCTTCTTCTTCTTCTTCTCCTTCCTCTTCTTCTTCTTCTTCCTCTTCTTCTTCTTCTTCCTCTCCTTCTTCTTCTTTCTCGTTCACATCTGTGATTTCTTTGATTTCTTTTTTTCTTTTTCTTGTTCACAATCCGGAACTATCTTCTGACTGATTAGTTTATTCAATTGATTTATGACTGAGGTCCGGGTGTTCGGAACTTTGATTTAGTTTTTTTTGGGAGATCTATTCAATATCTTTTGCGTGCAAGTTCGGATATTTATCTCCGCATTCAGCCTCTTTATCTCTAAATTCTGAAAAACATCTCAAAAAATCCCTACCTTTCCAAAAAAAAAACTAGATACATTTTGATACAGTACAACTTTTCACTACTACCTTTGCTACTACTATCTTTTACTCAAGCCTCGATTTTTCTACCTCTTAAGATCTCAGCTTGTGATCTCAGCTTGAGAACTCAGCTTGAGAGCTCGGCTTGAGATCTCAGCTTGAGGACTCAGCTTGAGAACTCAGCTTGAGAACTCAGCTTCATTCTAAAAACTCAGCTTCATTCTAAAAACACGGGTATCTTATCCGTATCACGACACTTATGACAAGCTTTCACAACTACCATAACTACCATACTGCATACATAGATAGAGACAGAGATTGTCGTTTTAAGTACAAGTTTCCCAACTCCTAAAGCATGAAATGAAGGAAGAATTTGAGTTGAACTATTTTTTTTGTGAATTTCTTGAAAATATCTTAAGCTTGAGATGTTTTGAATAGTCTAGCTTTGAAAATGAAATTCTGAACTGATACAGTTTGTCTCTTTGGTTTTCCTAGATATAGATTCTTGATACGAGACCTCTAGATATGATTGGTATTTCCGGTAAAGATTGTGATATTGTCTTTGTCTCTCTTGGCTTGGCTTCCGTTCATTTCTCGAATAAATAGTGCTAAGAAAAGTGAAATTTAAACCTTTGCACTAGCCAGTTTTTTTCTCTAAACTCTCATTTTTCATTTGAACTGAACAAAATTACTTACTTTGTAATTGAGGTTAAAATTTGAAATACATTAGCTCTAGGAAACCTACCGTAAATACTGTAATAGTGCCCCACCGCCATAATGACGGTGCGGAGCGTTGCGTAGTCTAGCTTTGAACGAGTTTTTCTCGACACTGGTTTATGCTACAATGTGCGTTTATTTATCTAAAAATAGCTGAAATTCAGGGCTATTTTTTGATACCAAAGACGCATTTTTTGAAAGTATGGATGCTTTGCAAAAAATGAAAGTCTAAAAAACTTTTGCGACTACGCGACTGTACGAGGGCGGTGGGGTACTATTACAGTATTTACGGTAGGTTTTTGCTTAGGACATTGTTTAAAAAGCCTTGAACTAGGTTTACGGTACTTTTTGTCTAAATGACATTTTAGTATTTCATTTTTTTCAAAGCACCCGTACTTTCAAAAAATGAGTCTTTGGTATCAAAAAATAGCCCTGAATTTCAGCTATTTTTAGATACCTAAGCGCGCATTCTAGCATAAACCAGTGTCGAGAAAAACTCGTTTAAAGCTAGACTACGCAACACTCCGCATCGTCATCATGGGGGTGAGGTACTATTACAGTATTTACGGTACTTTGTAATTGAGCTTGAAAATTTGAAACACATCAGCTCTAGGAAACCTAATTGTTTCTTGGTATCAAAGAAAAAGTTGAGCAAAGACGGTAGAAATGATGGATTGAGCACAAAGTACACTTTACTTTGTGTATTTAATTAGTTTGATGCGTCCCCTGGTTCGCGTCCCCTGGTTCGCGTCCCCTGGTTCGCGTCCCCTGGTTCGCGTCCCCTGGTTCGCGTCCCCTGGTTCGCGTCCCCTGGTTCGCGTCCCCTGGTTCGCGTCCCCTGGTTCGCGTCCCCTGGTTCGCGTCCCCTGGTTCGCGTCCCCTGGTTCGCGTCCCCTGGTTCGCGTCCCCTGGTTCGCGTCCCCTGGTTCGCGTCCCCTGGTTCGCGTCCCCTGGTTCGCGTCCCCGGTCTATTTTTGTAAAGTTTTCTTAGAAATTTTAAAGCATGTCAAATCAGCTTATAAGGAAATTTCCTAGCGGTTCCAGGGAGCAGTGATGGCCGAGTAGTAGTGGGTTAGAATACAAGGCGATTCGATGCTAGACTCGCTATTTCACAATTTCACTTTAATAGCTTAAATAGACCGAGCCAAAGCCAAATAGAAATCTCATGGAGTGATCTTTTCTATCTTTTCTATCTTTTCTATTACATCACTTTCATCATCATTCCTCTTTCAGTCTGATTTCAGTTCTGTGTATGGGCGAAGAGCAAAGAGAGGCTGCAAAATTCATTGCACTGAATTTTTCCCTTTCAACATTTGCCATTTTCGATAATTTTTGTGCTTCTTCTAGAATGTTCTTCAAATTTTCTTGATCAAATAGACATTTTAGGAGTCATTTCTCTTAAAAGGATCACTTTAAACGTTGCATTTTTCATCTCAAAATGTTCATGAGTTCTCCTGTTAGCTAGATCATTTAAATTTCATTTAAATTTCTTTAAATTTCTTTAAATTTCTTTAAATTTCTTTAAATTTCTTTAAATTTCATTAAATTTCATTTAAATTCCATTTTTCTTCACTTATGCATCTTTTCAGTGAATTCTCTCATTCGAAAAAACCGAAAAATCAAGTCAAACATGGGATTTCATCAGCGAAAACTCTCTTCAATCGTTTTATTGATATTGATGATTGCTGTTTGTTCGATTTTGGCCGCGCCCATCGATGAAGAGATCACACAATTATGTGAGTTTTATCATTTATTCAAAAATTCTACAAATACAAAGCGAATTCCTGTAAATGCACTTTCTAGAAGATGAGTAATTTGGGAAAACTATCGTAATCTAAAGATTTTCTCTTTAGCTTTTGCCTATTTATACTTTTTGATACGATTCATCCTTTGATTCCCGTTAAATAAGAAAGAAATTACCGTAAATACTGTAATAGTACCCCATCGCCCTCGTACAGTCGCGTAGTCGCAAAAGTTTTTAGTATTTAATTTTTTTCAAAGCACCCATACTTTCAAAAAATGCGTCTTTGGTATCAAAAAATAGCCCTGAATTTCAGCTATTTTTAGATACCCAATTGCGCACTGTAGCATAAACCAGTGTCGAGAAAAACTCGTTCAAAGCTAGACTACGCAACGCTCCGCATCGTCATTATGGGGGTGGGGTACTATTACAGTATTTACAGTAAGTAAATTAGTTAGATTTTTCAGAAAGATTACCTTTTAAAGTGAAGAGTCATTTCCTATAACTCTTTTCGCTGTTTTCACTTTTATGATTACTCTCGTGATAGTGAAATTCCAGCTGAAAATGACTGTCGTTCTGCAGTAAAATGTGTAGCCCTTGATCTACGAAAACGGCTTGCCGCAGCTTACAGTTTCTCAAAAGAAATTTTGCTTCTTAATTATTCTTTTTAGTGAGTCGACGACGTCGGGAATTGGAGAGTCTTCAGCTGGAGAGCTTGATGGGCGAGCTGGCGCCTGGAGGGAAAGGAATGGGATTCAGACCGGGCAAATAAAAAAAATCTTTTTATTTCCACTAAACAAATAGATCTCCCTGAAAACTTGTGTACGATTCGATAAATATTTCTCTTGTTTTCGATAAATCGATCACAATTTCTCTTCAGCGTAGTCGGCGAGGCGGAAAAGACGCCGAGATTCAGTGTCGGCCAGGGAGAAATCGCGTTGCTCGACTCGTCTGAAACAAAAGTTTCATAATTTTATTCATTTTATTCAATTTATATATTAAACTTTGTTTTTTCACTTAATTTAGTGAAAGGAATGACTTAGGAAATTCAAAAGATATTGGGGAAATGAAGAACACTGCTTTCTTTTGAAGAAAGTCCTCAAACTGTCACATATACTTGTTGATTTGCTCAAAAATGATCTAGAATTGCTTTTTATTTGACATTATATTATCTATAAATGTCAAAAAACTAGTTTAAAGTTCATCAAGTTTCAAATGCGTTAACTTTATAAATTTGGATATAAGCTTGATTTTTGATTCTCTACAACTTTTCCATTGACACCAAAATGGGTTTCTTTTGAACAAAGTGCTCAAACTCTCACATATGACAATAGCCCGCAGTTTTCAAATTTACCAATCCAATAGATTGAGATTAGCCTTGATGTGAGGAGAAGTCAAGGTCCAATTTGAAGATTAGCAGCCTTCCAGATTAGTTTGGTAAAGGAAAGGGAAAGGGGTTATGTAAAAGCCCTGCGCCAGACGACGAGCGATTACGCGGCCGCATAAAGAACACACAGAACACACTAATTTTAAGCGAAACTACCAAGTGTATCTTTTTGGAAATTTGGACATAAGCCAGGGAGAAATCGCGTTGCTCGACTCGTCTGAAACAAAAGTTCCATAATTTCATTCAATTTATTCAATTTTTATATTAGACTTTGTTTTTTGACTTAATTTAGTGAAAGGAATGACTTAGGAAATTCAAAAGAGATTGGGGAAATGAAGAACACTTGATACTTGTTGATTGATGATCTAGAATTGCTCAAAAATGATCTAGAATTGCTTTTTATTTGACATTATATTATCTATAAATGTCAAAAATCTAGTTTAAAGTTCATTAAGTTTAAAATGCATTAAGTTTATAAATAGAAAAGTGGTCGTACTGGTCGGATAAGTCGTCGATAAGAAAATCGAATAATTCAGTGCTTTCCCTTCTCGAATTTTCTCATTTTCTCATTGTTAAAACTCTTGAATTCCTTTAGAAATAGAAAAATATTAATTAATCAAAGGATATTTCACAGTTTTATGGATATTTCTAAACTTCTAGCTCACCTATATTCATGCGTGGCCACACTATGGTGAGGGCTTGAACTTCGATAGTACAAAAGTGAAGACTCCCGGGTTTTTCCCTGATTTTCTGAAAACAACTTATCAATTCCACTAATAAATAAACAAAAGAATAAATCAATTTACCGTATTTCTTCGAATAGAAGACCGGGTAAAGAGTATGATCGCGTACTCCTGCGTAGCAGCCCTTTTTAAAATTTCTTTTCTGCATAAAAGCTTTCAATCAAGTGCTATAGGGCTGGAAAATGACTCAAAAATCTGTTGGCTCATGTGGTATTTTTGAGTCATTTTCCAGCCCTATAGCACTTCATTGAAAGCTTTTATGCAGAAAAGGAATTTTAAAAAGAGCTGCTACACAGGAGTACGCGATACTACTCTTTACCCGGTCTTCTATTCGAAGAAATACGGTACAATTTAATCCTCTTCAATAAAAACTGTTCTCAAATTCTTTATGAAAACGAAGCAACACTCTTGATCGGAAAAAAAAGACAAGAACTCAAGTCTTTCTCAAGGAAATTCGAGGATTGTAAATTTAAATCTAATTTTAAACATTAAACACTTTTATCATCTTTTATTGATGTTCTTTATTGGAATTATGTATTTGAAACGAAAATTTCTACGAACTTCTGCTCTTCCACACGCAACACAACGCGCCCAAACAGCAAAAAGCCACCAAAAGAGCGATCATCAATGCGAGTGCCGCTTTTGCCCAATCGGGGATATACGAAAGAACCTCGAACATTCCCATGTCACACTCGAAAATGCCTAAAGAAAATTTGTGGTGAACCAGAGTTGGTATCCGAGTTGAACTAGACTTGTGCCTTGTAGACATGGATGCTACAAACTACAAAATCAAACTACAGATGCTTGTAAAAATCGAGTCAACTTTGGGCTTTTGAATGACAAAAAGATCAGAGTAATTTGCCATCTGATAATCTGCTATTTATAGCCTTTTGTAGTCTCGTCCCATGGGATAAAACTACAAACAGAAAAAAGCGTTATATTTCAGCGCAGAGATCGTGGATTGGCCTAATCTTGATGCCATTCGAAAGTCCAAAGTTGACTCGTTTTTTGGTAAAAACAGTTTGTAAAAATAGCCATTCTACGCGTTTCTACAAGCGTTTATAGTCTGATCTTGTAGTTTGTAGCGCTGATGTCTGATACCTTGCTCGGTGAATCCGCAACTCCTCAACCGGGGCTCCATGATCTCATTCTCTTGTTGACTCATCGGAATCAAAGTGTATTGCGGATTAAAGCTTGCGTCATCAAGCGGATAGTTTAAGTAACCGCCGTGTACTTTTCCGTCACCTAATCTAAAAATTAAGTCATTGAGACAATCTAGAATCCTAACCCAAAAGTCTTAAATGATAACCAAGATAACTAAAAAGGCTTTATCAAAAGTTAGGACTTAAAATTTAGAATTGATAGATTTTCCTTGTCCTTTGAAAGAAAATTTCTATTCTTCTAACTCTGTTATTCTTTGTTTTGTTGTTGTTGTCGTTGTTGTTGTTGTTGTTGCTGTTGTTGTTGTTGTTGTTATTGTTGTTTTGTTGTTATTGTTGTTGTTGTTTTGTTGTTGTTGCTGCTGCTGTTGCTGTTGTTGTTGTTGTTGTTGTTGCTGCTGCTGTTGCTGTTGTTGTTGTTTTGTTGTTTAAACTCTTCACCTAAACTCCTCAACTGTATCGACTTCTTCAGGAGTCAACGAAGCAGTAATATAATACGGAATATGATCGAAATCAGCTGTAGCCTAAAAAGAGAACTTGTTCGTTGATTCATTGACTTTACTTTATCCGCCAACTTCGTGAGATCCATAGTAGCGATATTCGATTGCCGACTGTCGATGACAACCAGAAATCTCCTGAAAGTTATCCTACTTTCTCTAAAGTTATCTACTTTCTCTAAAGTTATCTACTTTCTCTAAAGTTATCTACTCAAGCACAAACCAAACATCTTGCAAATCGTCCGGTTTCTTCGCTGATTTCAAATCTAAAATCCGTTGATGTTCTCCATTTCCGATATGATCGACGAAAGAACTCGGTGGATTGATTGAACAAGGTCTTTCCAAAAGATTCCATTGTCTGAAAAGAAAATACTGGTCTAATTTCTGACAAAAATAATTACGATATTACGTTATCTTGGGATAATTTTTATATAAAAATGATTTTCTTTATACTTTCTTTATACCTTCTTTATACCCTCTTTATACTTTCTTTATACCTTCCTTATACCTTCTTTATCCTTCTTTATACTTTCTTTATACCTTCTTTGTACCGGACTCCATTTATTCCACACTCCATCCACTTTCGCTCGCACTGCAAACGTATAATCCCTTGGTCTTCGCTTTAAATTGAAAAATAGAAAGCATTTCCATTCGCATCCAAATTTCGGGCATCTAAGAGTTCACCATAAAGTGCTTTTAAAGTAAAAAAAAGCAAAAATTCGAACCTCAAATCGTCGTCTCTTAACTCTCTCGTTTCAATGATCGGATCATCGGAGGTTTGATCGATTGGAGTGTATCGTAGCTCAATAATAAACATTTAAAAAGTTACATATTCTAGCTTTACTTTAAGTAGATTTGAATTTATAAAAAAAACTGATACCTGATAAATCACATTTGCAACAACGTTGAGCGGTTGAAAAACGATTGACGCAGCCAAGTCGGACTCGGACGCTACACGAGCTTCAGCGATTGAATATTCACCTAAAGAAATTGCAATATATATGTCGTAGCCGTTTACGAAATTCAGCCGCTAACGAATCATTCGTTAACGGCTAGCCATTAACGATTTGCGATTTGAGTTAAGCTAGATAAGCTGATTTGCGTCTTGCATAAATAGTTTGAAATCAAAAACTCATTTGAATCAGGCCATGTTCGCAGAAGCCAATTACAAATTGTACACGGCTAGCAAAAGAATTTCATTCGTTATCGGCTAGCCGTTAATGAATCATTCTTTAGGGTAGCCGTTAACGAATCATTCTTTAGGGTAGCCGTTAACGAATCATTCTTTAGAGGCTAGCCGTTAACGAATCATTCTTTAGCGGCTAGCCATTAATGAATCATTCTTTAGCAGCTAGCTGTTAACGAATCATTCTTTAGAGGCTAGCCATTAACGAATCATTCTTTAGGGTAGCCGTTAACGAATCATTCTTTAGCAGCTAGCCGTTAACGAATCATTCTTTAGAGGCTAGCCGTTAACGAATCATTCTTTAGCGGCTAGCCATTAATGAATCATTCTTTAGCAGCTAGCTGTTAACGAATCATTCTTTAGAGGCTAGCCATTAACGAATCATTCTTTAGGGTAGCCGTTAACGAATCATTCTTTAGCAGCTAGCCGTTAACGAATCATTCTTTAGGGTAGCCGTTAACGAATCATTCTTTAGCAGCTAGCCGTTAACGAATCATTCTTTAGAGGCTAACCGTTAACGAATCATTCTTTAGCAGCTAGCCGTTAACGAATCATTCTTTAGAGGCTAACCGTTAACGAATCATTCTTTAGCAGCTAGCCGTTAACGAATCATTCTTTAGCGGCTAGCCGTTAACGAATCATTCTTTAGCGGCTAGCCGTTAACGAATCATTCTTTAGAGGCTAACCGTTAACGAATCATTCTTTAGCAGCTAGCCGTTAACGAATCATTCTTTAGAGGCTAACCGTTAACGAATCATTCTTTAGCAGCTAGCCGTTAACGAATCATTCTTTAGAGGCTAGCCGTTAACGAATCATTCTTTAGCAGCTAGCTGTTAACGAATCATTCTTTAGAGGCTAGCCATTAACGAATCATTCTTTAGGGTAGCCGTTAATGAATCATTCTTTAACGGCTGAATTTCGTAAACGGCTACGACATATATATGAAAAACGATTCTTTTCTTAGTTTTCTTAGTTTAATTCAATTTATCAATTTTGCTTATACAAAAATTCAAAATAAACCTTGAACTAAAGTCGAAAAAACAGCCCAAGTAGATTTGATTTTCGATGTTTTACCCCATTTGACACGAGCGGCTTTTTCGTTCTAAAACATCTTATTTCAAGTCGATTTCAAGCCTATTTCAAGTCTTTTAACAATTCATCCAATCTTTCAAAGCTTTTTATGGCATAAGCAATTGAATTTTGGTATCACTAACCTCAGCGGCCGTCATTAATGTTACATTGTATGTGCTACCAGGAGAAAGATGTTTCAAAAGGAATTCACTACTCCTTCCCGCTTCCACGAATCCTGTTTCCAATATTTCTTTCTCAATTCCCTCATTTGAGTGAAGGGTTTTCGCTCGGATCTGAAAATTTTCAACATATTGTATTTATTTTAATTGAAAAACCCCGTTTAGACAAAAGTTTTCATTTTTTTTTTGTCATTGCTCAATTATTTAAAGACTTCTAAAGGCTTTAAATAAGTTATAAAGCTTTTTGAGGGTAGGCTAATTTCTGCAACTTTTTTTGCGCAACTCGCCATAACTTTCTTCTAAGCGGACCAATCTTTATCATTTTGGTCCACTTATTGGGTTGGGGAGAATGAGTCGGCGCCGAAAATCGAAAAAAATGTCTAAAACTTCTATTCGACTTCGTCAAATAATATGCGTTTGATATGAGTAGAATGGTTAACTAATTCTCTACAAAATGACATTTAAAAGAAAATTCAAACAGCGCCTCCGCTCAAGAAAAAACGATTTTTTCGCAAAAACTACAAACTGTGATCTAGAAAAAACCATTGGTGGGATCTTCCTGCAAATTTGGCAACTTAAGTAATTGAATGTGCTCTATCTTTTTTATATAAACACCAAAGAAGGTTTATGTGAAAGAAACTGTTCAAATGATGAGTCGGACTCTTTGCCATTTTAACCAGCTGCGTTTGGAAGTTCATAAACTCCACGAAAGAAAAGCTTTGTGGAATCTCTCAAAAGTGATTTTGTAGAGAAATAGTGGATCCTTTTGATGAAACCAAACGTATGTTTAAAGAAGGCTTTATGTGTGCAAAAAGTCCCTTTAAAGTTGGGCGCCGACTCATTCTCCCCAACCCAATAGAACAAAGTTATGGTGAGTTGCGCAAAAAAAGTTGCAGAAATTAGCCTACCCCACTTTTTGCTTTAAATAATAGTTTGAAAAAGCTAATGACGTCGAAAAAATTGATGAAAATCCAACAAAAACACTTATTTTTAAACTCTTGAAGGCACGAAAAAGGATTTTAGAGACATTGAAAGTTTAGAATGTTTATGATAGAAAAGCTTACGGAGAATTTCGCATTTGGAGCTCCCATCCAAGCCGATGGCCATGCGACGATGATTGAGTTCGGTGTTCGGATCTGAATTTGTATCATGTCGTTTATGAAAGCATAATCAGTTTACCTTCTGCTTAATGATATATGAATCTCCGACGGCTAGTGTATTCGTGGCTATCCAAGCTGTACTACCGTAACCGAAAGTGGTTCCCGCCTAGAATTTGAAAAGAAATCTAAAGTACACTTTAGATTTAAAGAAATCTAAAGTACACTTTAGATTTAAAGAAATCTAAAGTACACTTTAGATTTAAAGAAATCTAAAGTGTACTTTAGATTTAAAGAAATCTAAAGTGTACTTTTCCAGTCACCTAATCTAAAAGTTAAGTCATTATCTCGTCAATCTATTGGGTTTGTGAATTGAAAACTGCGGGACTTTGAACTAAAATTTCTTCAACATCAAACCATAAATTCATTTCAAATAATTTCCATTATTATTGACGACTTCTGCTCATTTTACAGGCAATTTGCGGATTCCTCTTTCGTGGTAGGATTTTGGCTTGTGTGTGAGACAAGTGTGAGACTCAAAAATGGAGGACTGGAGATGTCCCAGTTTGAGCACTTTCTTCGAAAGAAACCCATTTTGGTGTCAATAGAAAAGTTGTTAGAGAATCAAAAATTAGGTTTATAGCCAAATTTCCAAAAAGTATTTAGTATTAGGGTGAACCAAAAGTTTTCTATTTTTTTTTTGCTCTTTAAGTGTGAACAATTTTTTAAAACTAGTAAATTCGTTTTATATATATGTGCCATATTTATTTTGTATTTGATCTGCTCATAAGCCAGGGAGAAATCGCGTTGCTCGACTCGTCTGAAACAAAAGTTCCATAATTTCATTCAATTTATTCAATTTATATATTAGACTTTGTTTTTTGACTTAATTTAGTGAAAGGAATGACTTAGGAAATTCAAAAGAGATTGGGGAAATGAAGAACACTGCTTTCTTTTGAAGAAAGTCCTCAAACTGTCACATATACTTGTTGATTTGCTCAAAAATGATCTAGAATTGCTTTTTATTTGACATTATATTATCTATAAATGTCAAAAAACTAGTTTAAAGTTCATCAAGTTTCAAATGCGTTAACTTTATAAATTTGGATATAAGCTTGATTTTTGATTCTCTACAACTTTTCCATTGACACCAAAATGGGTTTCTTTTGAACAAAGTGCTCAAACTCTCACATATGACAATAGCCCGCAGTTTTCAATTCACCAATCCAATAGATTGAGATTAGCCTTGATGTGAGGAGAAGTCAAGGTCCAATTTGAAGATTAGCAGCCTTCCAGATTAGTTTGGTAAAGGAAAGGGAAAGGGGTTATGTAAAAGCCCTGCGCCAGACGACGAGCGATTACGCGGCCGCATAAAGAACACACAGAACACACTAATTTTAAGCGAAACTACCAAGTGTATCTTTTTGGAAATTTGGATATAAGCCAGGGAGAAATCGCGTTGCTCGACTCGTCTGAAACAAAAGTTCCATAATTTCATTCAATTTATTCAATTTATATATTAAACTTTGTTTTTTGACTTAATTTAGTGAAAGGAATGACTTAGGAAATTCAAAAGAGCGCCATTATTGAAAACAAGGGTTCAATGCAGACTGAAGCGGCCAAAAAAATATGCCAAGTGGAAGGTGAAGGATTGATCTCCAACATATTGGAAACAAAAATTTAAAAACGGCGAACTTGGTCTCGAAGATCAGCCACGTTTGGGTCGGTCAACTACTGTGGACTCTGAAGCTCTACGCAACGCTGTTGAAGCCAATCCATTAGGCTCTCCGCTGAACTGGATATTCCTCAAACATCAGTTATCCGGCACCTTCATGCCCTTGGAAAGACCAACAAAAGCTGCCGAGAAGTTGCCGACATGATTTAACGGAAAATTAAGCTCAAAATCGTGTAGACACTTGCCGAAAACTGCTGGAAAATCCGCACGATGACCGCTTTATTCCCCGAATTGTGACTTGTGATGAAGAGTGGGTCTATTTTAGTAATCCGGAGAAGCAAATTGAGTGGTTGAATCCCGGGCAAGTAGCGGAACCGGTAGCAAAACTTGATCGATTCTCAAGGAAGGCATTACTGTGTGTTTGGTGGAATTTCGAAGGCATTATTCACTTTGAGCTAGTTCCAAATGGTCGGAACATCGACGCAAATCTCTACTGCGCCCAACTTGACCGGATGTATGCGCCGCTTAATGAAAAATATCCCGCTTTGGGCAATCGAAAGCGCATAGTCCTTCAGCAGGACAATGCAAAACCACACACCACTAGACAAACCAAGGAAAAGATCAAAAATCTCGACTCAATTGAACTTCTTCCACATCCAGCGTACAGTCCGGATCTTACACCATCCGATTATCATCTTTTCAGCTCCATGGCGCACTTGCTTCGCGGACGAGCCTTCAACAATCTGGGCGAAGTCGAAAAAGGGTGCCGCGAGTTTTTCGCCTCTAAGAACAAGGAGTGGTACCGCCGCGGGATCGGCCAACTTGCCGATAGATGGCTTCAAGTCATAGATTCGAATGGTCTTTATTTTGAAGCTTAGAGTTCGTTCGTTGTTGTTTTATTTATGTTGAAAGTTTTGATTAAAAAAAAATAGAAAACTTTTGGTTCACCCTAATAGTTTCGCTTAAAATGCAAGTTTTGTGAAAACTCGTAAATTCGGCATTTCTTCAAAACCAGTTTTTGAATCGTTCTGCAAATTTGGATAAAAGCTTGATTTTTGATTCTTTACAACTTTTCCATTGACACCAAAATGGGTTTCTTTTGAAGAAAGGGCTCAAACTGTCAATAGCCCGCAGTTTTCAATTCACCAATCCAATAGATTTCAAGAAGATAGATGACTCGATTACTCGAGTCGATGATTAATCGATGACTCGATTATTAATCATAGAATCATGCCTGTATTGTTATGTTGTAGACATTTCCTGGATTAAGTCTCGTTCCAAGGAATGAAGTCTTCGGTATTGGGATATTTGTTGTAAATTTCTTTGTAAACGTTTGCGATTCGGGGTAGAATTCGTAGACGTTTATCTAAAAAGAAAAGAAATTGAAATTTATTGAAAAAAAGAGCTTTATTTCTTACAAAATATTGATTAATCGCAACGTGATGTTGGCCAGTTGAGATATCGGGTGGAGCCCACGAGATTTCAAGGGAATCATTTCCCTTTGCGATCACCATCAACTCCATTGGTGGTGGTAGCCAATTTAAAGCTGAAATATTAGCAATAAACTAGAAAATCGAATGTCAAATATCGAAAAATAGATGAAATTACCTGCTAGCGAAGTTTTAGCCACATTACTCCCATACCAAAGACTCGTCCCATCATGGCTAAATGGTTTTTGGTTGATCCAATGATTCAATTTGATTAAAACTTGATTTTAGATCTGATTCAGAGCTAATATCTAATCTAATATATAAAAAAAGTAAGAGTAAACCTAAACGCCTCGACACTGACTCGATATGAAGTGTTGCCTTGTAGATTGATGAATGTGTAATCACGGAGATGACCCTCCACATGAAAAGATTTTGGATGACGCTTTTGAAGCTCTTGTTCTGAAGAATCGTGTGTGAAAGATCGTATTTCTCTAATAGTAGTGAGTCGAGTTAATGACTCGGCCTCATGGGTATACCTCTCAGGGTACGCACAAGGTTATACCCATACCTTTGGGTTATGGGTATACCTCAGAGGTATACCCATAACCCCCTAAATTGCCATCGGCAATCAAAAACCCGACAAAAGCGCAACAAAACCGCGACAAACCCCACCCCTCAAGCCGAGATCCCGGTTTCTAAGTTCTCGTAGAAGCTCAACACTCTAATCCCCTGCTAGATCTCATCAGCTAGATCTCATCAGCTAGATCTCATCAGCTAGATCTCATCAGCTAGATCTTATCAGCTAGATCTCATTAGCTAAATCTCATCATCAGCTATCTTTTCCGACATCAGCTACCTTCTGATCAACTGTTTTTGAGATTTCCAAGAATTTAGATGAATCTCTACTACTAGAGAAAATAGAGGATTTATTTTCACAAACCTTTCATTATTGCTACGACGAGTCTCTGCTTTGTAGTGGCATTCAGAAACTCTTCAGGCACTCTCCAATGGATATCAATTCGATCATTCCTCACATCAATCACTTCAACCGGTTCCAGCGATTCAGACCAATCAAGAACTAGAAAAGAATTGAAGAAATTACCTGTTTGCTTGAACTTTTTAAACTTATCAATAGTTTAAAACATTGAAGTTAAAGGAACTTCAAGAATTTGACTCCAAAAACTTACATGGTATGAAAATCTGTGTCTGCACTCCTTGGCCATTCACTGGTTTCAAAAATAGAAATGAAATCAAAAAGCTTAGCATATAAATGTCGATAAATCAATGTCGATCAGTGGTGAGAAAAATTTGAGAAATGGTTAATGAGAGAAAAGGCGGAAGAAATGAGGAGTGATCTCATCAAACACACACTGACATTCCAAGGGCATTTCATATTTTTTCTAACTTCAAAAGACTGCATTTTTTCGGGGAAATCTTTGAAAAGATGTTCTTAAAATTATCAAAATTCTATTGAAAATCAAATTTTTTAAGAAATATTAGGTACTTGCAAAAGAAACTGCCAGCTAATAATTGTCCTAAGCTAATAATTGTCCTTCTAGAAATCGTTTCGGGGAGGGTTTTTCCAGATTTTTCCCCTCATCGAAATGTAAAAGTTTTCAAGTTGCGAGTATGAAAGTTTACTTGTTCTGCAATATCTTTTATGTTCTTACAAGTCCTCTCAGTTCACGAGTTTACGACCGCATATGTAAATTTCTTGACACCGTCAGAGCCACCATCACCATGACCGTCACCATGAGAAAGTCAATGCTTGTGATATTAGGTACTTGCAAAAGAAACTGCGGATTATAACCAACAAACAACCCAAAAACTTGAACAACCCAAAAATCAGTAAGAAAATAACTTTATTCCAAAAGATATTTGCCATTATTATCAACTATGTTCTTACATATTTTGCGTAGACTTTGGATGTCTGATTCGAAAAATTCGGGGTCCGGCGATGCAAAGTAGTCTTGCACCCAAATTTCGACTTTTTTAGGATTGTTAAACTTTAGATTTTGCAAGAGAGTGTTGCATAGACAGGAACAAGTGGTAATCTGAGGGAGCAACATCAGGCGAATAGGGCGAAATGAGGCACAAGTTTCCAGCCTAATTCTTCTATGGTGTTTTGAGCCAAGTTTGATGTGTGTACCCGGAAATTGTGAGCGAGTAAATGGATTGTCCTTGGATTAACACCTCTTTCTCGTAGAATTTCATCAACTTTCTTCAGCTGTTCGGCGTAGATTTGTGAAGTTATAGTTTTTGAAGATTTTCGTAATTCAAAATAAACGATTCCTTTCATATTCCAAAAGACCGATAGCATAACTTTCTTTCCGTGAAGTTCTGGATGTGATGTTGGAATCGGCCTTTCTCCTTTGCTCAACTATTGTCTTTTGCTTGTTGTATTATTGAAATATGTTCACTTTTCGTCCATCATCAACATATTTTCAAAAAAGCACTGCCCGTAGCCTTTTTCAATAGAAACCGAGACCATAAAACTCGATTGGCTTTGTTTTCAGCGGATAATTCATGTGGGACCCATTGGCCACAATGATTCCTTTTTCCAATAAGCGCAAGGTGTCGAGAAATTGTGCTCGAATCACATTTAAAGTATTCGGCTAATTCGGGCAAAGTTTGAGTTGAATCCAACTCGACAATCTCCAGCAACTCCGCATTATCAAAGACAACTGGATAATATCCATCTTCCAAGCTGCCATCCCCTTCACGAAAACGTCGAAACCATTCCTGGCAAGTCCTTTCACTCAAAATGTTTTCTCCGAATGTTTCACAAAGATTCCGGCGCGACTTCGATGCTGATTTCTTCATTTTGAGGTCATAGAGAAGGCACGCTCGCAACATGAGTTTTTTGATCCGCCACCTTCTACCGAAGATTATATAATATTTAATGATAGCAATAGTTGTGAAAATAATTAAAATGAATAAGCAATAGTAATACAATATAATACAATTTAAACCGGACCATCACACTTTCAAATAAAAAAAACTTTCGTCCTCGGAAGTAATCCGCATTTTCCTTTGCAAGTCCCTAATAGTTTGCATTTTTGTTAAAAGTGAAAATGCTAATAGAGGATTTGAAAGTGACAATTTTTCATTGAAAGTCACAATTTTTCAAATCCTTTCATTTCAAATGTCATTTTCCTTGTTTTTTTTGTATTTTTCTTTCTTTCTTTCTATCATTAACGCTTTATTAGCTTCTTATAAACGAATTTGATTGATTCATTTTCCTTTTTTTCTTTCTTTAAGGGGCCCTCATGGTGTATTGGTTAAGTTCTCACTTCCAAACTGAGGGTGTGGGGTTCGGCCCCCCTAGGGTTCTCTTCCCTAGCCCGTGCGCCCAGACTAGAGGTCTCTTCTCTAGAGCTGACTAGAGATCCCTTCTCTAGCGGAGTTCACTCTTCCACTGGGTTGGCCCATTCATGGCCTGAGGTTATTAAAGCAAGAAGCCTATCTTCTATCTATCTTCTTTTCTCCCCGCCTCCACATCGCCGAGTAAAATATCTCATCTTTCTCTATGTATTTATGTGTAGATTTGTGTATTGTCTGACTGATTACGCTTTATTTCATGTCCTGAATAAAGTATCAATATAATATATTTAATACACACATCCTGTAGTGTGAAAGGTGGTGACATCTTGACCAAAATATGTATTGTGATCACTTTCGGTCAACGAGTCAGCAAGGGTATAGCCCATGCAAGCTAAAAAAAATAGTAGATCAAATCAATAAACCTTTCTTGACTATCGTAATCTTAGCTAAGATTTATCAAATCAACTTTTTATATCAATTTTATATCAACTTATTGCTTTAACTATTACAGGATTTTATGTCAAAATGTAGATAGATTAAAGCAAAGATTACAGTAGTTGACAAGTCAAGATTATAATAGTAAAATTGACTGATTTAGAAGCTAGAATCTAATTAGCAACACATCACAGTTCCTTATCTCTCTTAATTTGGTTCTTTATCTCTCTTAATTTAGTTCCTTATCTCGGTAAATTTAGTTCCTTATCTCTAAATTTGGCTCCTTTTGATTTAGAAGCTAGAATCTAATTAGCAACACATCACATTTTAGAAAACACTCGAGAGGAAAGCAAAGATCTTAACTTACCCGGTTGCTCGGGCCAATTGCATCGGGTGTACGTGTCGGCTGATGTACCCGTCATTTTAGCATTATAGCGAATCGAAAAATCATTTTTGTTATATTATAAAAGAGTTGGATTATTAACGAATACAATCTTTTTCCAAAAACCAACCACCCAATTGGTGTGTTGCACGTTGAGCGGGTTGGCGATAGTGCGGAGTGGAGTGATCGCGATCAGATCGACGTGGTTGACGATACGATAGATTTGAGGAGCCTGGAAAATGTTTGTTTGTTTTTTCAATTGTTTTTGTTTTTTGTTTCAATTCTAATTCTAATTCTAATTCTAATTCTAATTCTAGTTCTAATTCTAATTCTAATTCTAGATCCAATTCTAATTCTAGTTCCAATTCTAATTCTAATTCTAATTCTAATTCCAATTCTAATTCTAATTCTAGTTCCAATTCTAATTCTAATTCTAATTCTAATTCTAGTTCTAATTCTAGTTCTAATTCTAATTCCAATTCCAAACTTCACTCACATATTGATAGACGGATTCCATGTATTTGCGGTTTCCCATGCGCGGTTGCCCGGTCGTGTACACTTCGATTTGATTCGTCGGACGCAATCCAAGTTTACCGACCTTGAATTTATAAGAGAATTTTGTGTAAATAAGCTTTTAATCTAAATATGAAGGATTAATAGTTTAAGATTAAATAGAAACCAGTGAGGCAAAGATGATTGCTTGTGGACCACCGAGTGAGTGACCGGCGGAAACGAACTGAAAATGAAAGGTATGGAAAAGAAAAGGTTTTAAAGATTGGGAAAAATGTTTTCATTGGATTATTGAGTTTGTATTTCTTTAAAAAAACTACTACTAATTTTCTCACAATATTATTGAATTATTGAACCTTGTAGCTAGAGTAAGTCGGATTGGTCAACAACGATTGAAGTGCTGCGCCAAGGCCACCTTCCCACGTTTTATTGGCCGCATCTTGGAAGTAGCTGATAGCCTGAAAAATAGGAAACTGGTTTAAAGACAATTTTTCTGGACTAGACTAAACCAGAAGCCAAATCCTGATCTGATTCTTGATCTTGCTTGTTCTTTCCTAGTCTTTCCTGGTTTCGAAACTCACCAACATTCCATTATTTCCATTTGAAAGAATTGGATAGATTGGAGCGGCAAGTGTCAACACCATTTGAAAAATCTGAAATTTTAGAAATGAGAAAGACAAGTTGATGCTTGATTGCTTGATTTATGACAACTTACCTGTGTGATATTGTTCGATCCACGAGAGACCGAAACGATTTGTGAAAGCGATGGGATCACATAGACATCAGTAATGCATGTATCAATGGGAAACTAAAGATTTGAAAGTGATATTGATTTTCTTGCTCAAAATCTTGATGACCTCAATTAGAAGAAACATTTTTAAACAAAAGTTTGCTTCTAAAGTTGAAACAGAGCATATATGCTAGGCTCTAGAAAAAGTTCCCGCGATTTTCTGATTTTTACGGCGATACCGGCGAGCTTTCCGGTAAAACGTCCATAGTTTTCTCGCGGAACGGGATTTTCCTAGGGAAGTTCCGGTAGAAAGTTTTACCGGAAACTTTCTGAAAGAAAATCCGCGTCGGAGAGTTCCGCGGGAAAACTATGGACTTCCAGAAAGTTTCCGGTAAAACTTTCTACCGGAACTTCCCTAGGAAAATCCCGTTCCGCGAGAAAACTATGAACGTTTTACCGGAAAGCTCGCCGGTATCTCCATAAAAATCAGAAAATCGCGGGAACTTTTCCCGGAGCCTAGCATACGGCCTCAGACTTCTTACCGGCACTCCACAAGTCACATTGACACGATCAACGAAAATAATATCAGAGGCAGCATTTTGCGTACACTGGGTGAACTAAAACTCTCAAATTTATGATAATTCGATTTTTCGAACTGTAGGCGAGGCGGTGTCTAGCTTCAATGCTCCTTGCAATCTCCAATAAACATTTTTTGCGTTGTTCTCATTGTAGGCGAAAGTCGATGGTGGGTCAACAGGGCAATTGAACGGATCACAGACCTGAAGGGATTGGCTTGACTGGCTAAAAGTTTTACAAATGTACAGCGGTTGAGTTGGGGAGAGTGAGGCCACAGACGGCGTCCCGCAGGCCCCAGAGAACGAGATTCACGCAAGTGTTCGTAGCCGTGTTGAAGCTGAAAGGTTGATTGAGCTGTACAGTTTAGCTCTCATTTTAGGCTTTAGCTTGTTAAAGTTAGCCCAGTAGCCACTAACTAGCCATGGCTGACTGGCTAAGAGCCCTGTATCTTAGTCAGGAGGTTAAAGGCTTAATTCCGAGTTCAATCCGGCCGGCTGAGTTGTTGCTTCTTTTTTCAATAAATTTTAAGCAAAACAAGTGTCAAATCATTACTACGATTACTTTGAAATGGATTAATTGAAATTATCCCAACAATTACCAAAGATTAATGCCTCTTACGGATACAGTAACACTTACTATTGAGTGGGATTGTTCACACAGGCCACACAAGCGGCAGTTGGTGATTGAGCGGATAAAGAATTTAAAGAAATAAGAGCTACGATGAGAGGAATGACTTTAGAACCCATGCTGAAAGGAAACTGGATTGAATATCAAGGAAAAAAGGTCCAAAAGAAAGTAAATCTAAATTTTGTGGGGAGTTTCTTTTGTATAGTTTCTTGGCTTGTATCTTTTGTTTTTTATCTTACGAGTATACTCAAGGTTACAACAAGACAAGCTAACTGGTTACAGTATTTTCTAACAGAGACTCAATAAGCTAACTGAATATCTGTTATATAAACTTTCTTTTGAACTGATATTTCTAAAGGCTATCAAGTCTACAGTGTTCTAATCTAAGTTAACTTACTGTAACCTAAGGTTACAACAAGACAAGCTAACTAGTCACAGTATTTTCTAACAGAGATTCAATAAGTTAACTGAGTATCTATTATAAAAACTTTCTTTTGAACCTTTTAAACTGATATTTCAAAAGAATTCTATCAAGACTACAGTAAATTCTAACTTTAAGTTAACATGGCTTGCTGTAACTTAAGTTAACTTGCTGTAACCTAAGGTTACAACAAGACAAGCTGACTGGTTACAGTATTTTCTAACAGAGGTTCAATATGCTAAATGACTATCTGTTATAAAAACTTTCTTTTAAACCTTTTGAATTGATATTTCTAAAGGCTATCAAGTCTACAGTGTTCTAATCTAAGTTAACTTACTGTAACCTAAGGTTACAACAAGACAAGCTAACTGGTTACAGTATTTCAACAGGATCGTAAGCAACTGAATACCTTTATAAAAACTTTCTTTTGAACCTTTTGATTGATATTTCTAAAGGCTGCTGTGACTAATTTAGTTAACTTACTGTAACTAAGTCCAGCGCTATGGCTACAGTATTCTCTAACAGAGATTCAATATGCTAAATGACTATCTGTTATAAAAACTTTCTTTTAAACCTTTATGAATTGATATTACTAAAGAATTCTATCAAGACTACAGTAAATTCTAACTTGAAGTTAACATGGCTTGCTGTAACTTAAGTTAACTTGCTGTAACCTAAGGTTAGAACAAGACAAGCTAACTGGCTACAGTATTCTCTAACAGAGATTCAATATGCTAAATGACTATCTATTATAAAAACTTTCTTTTAAACCTTTTGAATTGATATTGCTAAAGAATTCTATCAAGACTACAGTAAATTCTAACTTGAAGTTAACTTACTGTAACCTAAGGTTACAGTAAGTAAAAAAACTGAATATTTGATAATTTCTCGAAATGCTTTCACAGGTTTTATATGTTCATTTGTGCTGACCCACTAATCTCATGGTAATTCCACTATCAATTCCATCATTTTATTCATTTTTCGGGGACTTTCAAAGGCTTTTCTCTCTTTTAACCTTATGCGGTGACAATCAAAAACGATTAAACCTTTGAGCTTTGAAATTCACAGACAGTCGTGCGTAGTTTTGCTTGTGATAAAATAAAGGGAAATTTTTTTTGATGCGTTTTGCGATTAAAGCACATTTTGGTACACTGAAAAAATAGCTCTCAATGATCGAAAAATCGAAAATTTCAATGCACAACACAAACTAAATTGAACAAAACCATTTTTTTTGCAAAACAAAACCATTTTTTGCTTTCAATTTTCAGTAGAAAATGTTTTATTTTGAAGAAATCGATTGTTGAAATCTACAGGGTCCGAGAAAAGTATTGTCGTTTTTTCAACCATCATATCTTTTTTCAAAATTGAGCTTTTAACATATTTATTGAAAAAAATAACCGATAAATAACCAAAAATTAAAATTTATAACAAGTGTTCAAAATTGGACCCCTTGGCTTTGATGCAGGCTTTTAGATGCGCGATCACTGAGCCGACGGTGGCACGAAGGTAGTTGGCATCAATATCGTTCCAGGCAGCGATCAATTCCCTTTCGAGCTCACCAAGACTTGTGATTTTCTTATGCCTCAAACGGTCCTCAAACGTTCCTCTAACGTTCCTCTAACGTTCCATACTGAAAAATTCAAAAGGTTGAGGTCCGGCGAGTTGCTGGGCCAGTCTTCTTTTGTGAAGCTTATTTCGAAAATTCAAATCATTCCAAAATTCTAGAATCATTTAAGTGACTGAAATTTTTCATTTTAACATATCTTTATAATATTCGAAACCTCATTAAGACTTAAGACTTAAGACTTAAGATCCTTTTGCTATTGATGGGCTAAAAGAAAATCGTTGATGACCTTTCCCCCCCAAAAAGGAGTCCATTGATTGTTTGTTTTTGTTTGCATTAAGCGTCGCATCAATCCCCTCACAAAAGCTCTTCATCCATCCCATCTATTGCCTCAAAAAAAAAGCCGATTTGCAAACAAACATTAGGCGGATAAGGGGAGGAATTGGGCGCAGATTGGGTGAAAATGGTGCCAAGTGATGAGCACCAAACAAACCGATTTACGCAGTGAGTTTAGAGCAAGAACTAACAAGAAAGTCGAGCTAAAAATGGGAAAAGCATAGCTACCTGTCATGGACACTGATCTCAAGTATGTAAAGAATTCAAAGAATTCAAAAACAATCGTTAATTCAGTGTTTCGAGGCACCATTGGGATAAAACTGTTGGTCCAAAGGGTAAAACCGATGGTCTAAAGGGTAAAACTCTGTTCCAATGGGTAAAACTAATGGTCCAAATCGTAAAACTGTTGGTCTAAACGGTAAAACCATTGGTCCAAATGGTAAAACTCTGGTCCAATGGGTAAAACTGTTGGTCTAAAGGGTAAAACCGATGGTCCAAATGGTAAAACTCTAGTCCAAATGGTAAAACTAATGGTCCAAATGGCAAAACTGTTGGTCAAAAGCTCAAAACTTGTAGTTTTTATTATAGAAAAGCCTAGAAAGCTTGTTTGCTCTTCTTTTCTCAATAGAAACTCTTTTAGAACTCAATAGAAACTCTTTTTCTGCTAGAAGATCGCTTCTAGGATTACAAGTTCGTATTTTTCAGGCCGTAAAGATAAAGTATTTATTTCTCACAAAATAGAAAAATGATACACAACCAAATAAAGAAAAAGTAAAAATAAAGAACTGAGTCAGAGGAGAAAAAAAATACTTTTGAGGAATTCGTGACTATTTTCTTGTTTTTCTAGTTTTTCTAATTTTTCATTCGATTTTAAAAATTAAGTTATCAAATAGTTTTTAATTAGTTAATATTTCAACTGAAATCACACGACACCGATTGGAAATTTGAATGGAATCAATATTTTAGCTTCAATATATCTCAAAGTGAATGGATTTAGTGGTAAAGTTCTTTTTTTTTTTAAAGAAACATCTAAAAAAGCTAAAGCTGAACAGAAAAAGAATTAGGAAAAGTTTAGGAGTTTTTAGAGGACTGCATTTTAGAGGACTGCATTTTAGAGGACTGCATTTTAGAGGACTGCATTTTAGAGGACTGCATTTTAGAGGACTGCATTTTAGAGGACTGCATTTTAGAGGACTGCATTTTAGAGGACTGCATTTTAGAGGACTGCATTTTAGAGGACTGCATTCTTTGAGCACTGTGAAAATATAAAAAGAAAACTTGTAAATTTGGGGTTTTATTTATTTTTGAAAGGTGGATGGGCAACCTGTAGAAAAGGCGAGAAGCTGGGCTCGGGAAGGGAAGGGAAAGTCGAGAAATCTGAAATCAAATGATTAAATGTAAATTTGGAATAAAAAGTTTAGTTAGAGTACTGTAGAAAGGAAATAGCCATATCTATGCAGTATTTGGTGATATTGTAGGGATAAGGTATTGCCTTCTATCTCGTATACTGAAGTATTGCCTTGTCTTTGTCTTGTCTTTACCTTGTCTTTGCTTTGTCTTTGTCTTGTCTTTACCTTGTCTTTTTCTTGTCTTTGCTTTGTCTTTGTCTTGTCTTTCCTTTGTCTTGCCTTTGCTTTGTCTTTGCCTTGTCTTTGCCTTGTCTTATATACTTTGTCTTATTTTCTGAAGTTTTCAGAAAAGCTGTAAGACAAAACATGATGCTGAAGCTGAAGCTGAAGAACTTAGATCTTACCAGTACTTTTCATTACTGCATTCGTGAATTGCCGGCACTTTCCTACTCATTTTACCCATATAGTTGATGCTTTTTTTTATCCCAAATCCCTAAAGACTGTTGTTTTATGTGTCTTTTTGTCTTTTTTGTCGTCATTCAGTTATTTGATGGTGACGATGTGTCTCTTCCCTTCAAAAAGACCATTTGATCCACTCAATTGAAAGTCGATACGCCCGATCTCCGATATTCTCTGAGAGGACACCAACAACACCTCACAAATCGCATGGATTCTGTGGGGAATCTGTTGGAAAGAATTGTGACTAAATCTTTTCAGATAAAAAACCGATTCCAGCAGTATTTTTTGGGCTTGAACTCGCGGGAAACCTTTGGAATCCCAGGATGGAATTTTTATTGGTTTATATTGAATTTCAAGCCTTCCAAGGATCAAAGGAGACTGCTAATTTTCAAAGCAACGTTTAAAGCAACTTTTAAAGCAACTTTTAAAGCAACTTTCAAAGCAAAAAGCAACTTTCAAAGCAACTTTCAAAGCACTTAAAGCAACTTTCAAAGCAACTTTTAAAGCAAAAAGCAACTTTCAAAGAAAAGCAACTTTCAAAGCAACTTTCAAAGCAACTTTCAAAGCAACTTTTAAAGTATCCTTTAAAATCCAAAGCCTTTTCCCTAATCGAATCAATGGGCTTATTGCTTCAAAGAGAAAGGAAGACATTCGAGAAATGATTGGTGTTTTCGATTGGAGAAAAGACGGAGAGGCGATGTTTATGGCGGAAGTGGCACCCGGCTTTATAAGGGGCTCAATGAGAGGCGACAAGATCGAAGAAATGAAGAGAAATGAAGCAAAGATGGGGGTACTTTGCATTACCGTCCTTCTTCTCCCTCTCATTCCAATTCTCCCCAAGCATAGATTCTCTCAGAAATGAAGGGATCAAGCCTCGAATACCCCATGAGAAAGAGGAATTAGACATCAAAATTAGAACGGAAATTGCTCGGGGACAACTTGAGAACCAGATGGTGTGACACGTTCACAATTTGGCCTATCAATGGTCGAAATTTAGTTGCTCCAGTGATTATGGGACAAATATTTATCGAGAAACTGTTCAGGGATTTCCTAAGCCATCTAAACCAAGCAAGATCCAACCAGATTTTGTCTCCAGGAAAGCTAAGCCCAGAAAATTGTCTTTAGAATAAAAAAACTTCATACAAATTCCCTAATTGTTTGATTTTGGTTCCCTATCTCATTTTACAACACATAAAAAAATGATTACTTTTTTCAAAGAGCTTGCCTTATCAATTTTACGATACAAAATTCTCTGTCATCAAATTGTCAAATACGATACAAAACCGCATCAAACCCAAAAGTACCCCAAAACGCAACCAATGGTTTGGGTAAATTGTTTAGAAGAGAAGAAAAGACAAGAACGAGGCCTTAGAGAACGCGGCAGCACCGGAACATTGTCTCTTTGAAAAGACTCTCAAACACTTTCCTAAGCCATCTAAACCAAGCAAGATCCAACCAGGTTTTGTCTCCAGGAAAGCCTAGCCCAAACAATTGTCTTTAGAATAACCAAACTCCATGTAAATTCCTCAAATTTCACTCATTTTACAACACAGAAAAAATGATTACTTTCCAGTTCGCCTTATCAATTTTACGATACAAAATTCTCTGTCATCAAATCTCCAAAAAGTATCCCCAAAATCGCTTTAACCATATGGTTTGGGTAATTTGTTTAGAAGAGAAGAACAAGACAAGAATCGATGTGTCCTTTTATGAGAATCGCGTGTTCAGCACCGGTAATTCTTGTCTCTTTGAAAGACTCTCAAACAAATCGGTGACAGATGGACGCCTTTTGTGGAGAAGACTCCTATTCTTCTCTCAAGGGTCAAACTTTCAAGTGCTGAAAAGTTTAGAGTTTAAAACTTAAAAAATCATATTTCAAATAGCGAACTTGTCCCTCGACTAGCCGGAGACTAGTAATTTCCCCGGTTGCGCAACTCTTTCCCGATTTCTTTCTGCAAGATCGGTATCAATTACTTCTTAAAACATCTGTCATTTTACCTCATGCTTCATTTGATTTTTATTTGTCATTCAAAATTCTTTAAAACTCACGATTTTTATCTGAAAGAGTGAGGAATTAGATGAGTAGCAAGAACACTGAGGCTGCCCACGCCAAAACAGAGTAGAGACGATCTGAAATTAGAGAAGAAATTAGAGAAATGAGGCTGCATCAAGTGAGAGCTTGTCTCTATTCTTTATTCTTTAGTAATTCTTTAGTTAAATGTTTCTTTTCTTTAGTGCTTTCACAGCTACAGTACTGGACAATGAAATATGATATTTGAAAAACGATCGTCACTTTCGCGCGTCTGTAACTCCCTTATCTTTCAGTTTAAACTATTAGTATTATACATTTTCTGAAAGCTCTTTTCAAGGGCTACACAATGGTAATATTAATATTTAGAAATACGGTAAAGACAAGGGAGTTATAGACGCGCGAAAGTGACAATATTTTTTCAAATATGATATTTCATTGTCCAGTAGTGTATCATAGCAGGTCCCTAGCTTTTTGAAAAGGCATTGCAATCAAATTGTCGATCATCACGGAGTGACTGAAAAACACCTGGACTAGGATCAAAACCCGGGTGTTTATGAGTAAGCGCTTTTTTTGAGCTCTGAACTGCAAGGGGGGAAGAATGAGAAAAAAAGAAAATCGTGTGGATTACCGCTCATTACCCCGGATTACGGCCCAACCCGAGCAGACGGACGGACGGCTGCCCCATCCACCTACACCTGGCTTCAAAAAGTGGCACTGACTGTGCGTGATCTACCTAACTACCTAGCTATCTATGTGAATAGAAATTGTATTTACTTTACTTGTTATTATGACAAGACTGTTATGATGGACTCAATCTAAGATATAAACTTTGTCAGAAGTAGTTGGGAATGCTTTTGGTTGTTCTGGTTCATTCTCCAGAACACTTTATCGATCCAAATTTGTGCCTCAAGGCTTTCTGGATCGTAGAACCTATTGGCGGAGTTGATTCTAAACCTTTGTCCCAAGAAAAGTCGCAAGAGAATCGAATTGGCTTTGGGTTTTGTATGATAGCTTTTCACAATGGAAAGATCTGGATTTTTGAGGATCTGGATAAGAATCAGATCTCTTTGATAAGTCCTTCCTTTCAGTAAGTCCTTGCTTTCAGTAAGTCCTTCCTTTCTTTTTAAGTCCTTCACAAGATTGAAGACTGATCCCCCACTTGATTCCACACTTCTCAAAAAGCGGTGTCTGACCTTTTGCCACAGATTACAGGTAGGCGATCATAATTGCGCATTCACACCATCGCCCCTTTCATTTGACGGTTCTTTAGCCATCCATACGTTAAATAGTTTGAAAAGAGGTAAAGGAACCGCCTCAGAAAAGAGAGAAGATCGTCTCTTGTTACATTCAGGGTCATGACCAACCATATAACTATTAACCCATTGATTTGAATAGGCATGAGTTTTTTTTTTGTGTGGTATTGATTTGTGGTATTGATTTCAGAGTTCAGAATTGCTTAGAGTTCAATTCACTTGGATCTTTGGGTACTAATATAGATAAATTCGTTGAGAAGCAATTTTAAGTTAAATTTTAAAGTTATTTTGTCAACCTTAAGAGTCATTATGTCAATGATAGTACATAAACTTACAGTGAAAAGCCATTTTCAATATTTAAGTGACTTTTTGCAATGCTTTAGAGTGGTTAGAAAGGGCTTTTAAAGCTTTATCACTTATATACTTGAACCCTAAAAATAAGCTCAAAAACAAACCGACATTCATAGTTATTTTCAGGAATTGTCACTGAGTCAAGGAGCAATTTCCCCCCCAAAGGGACAAGGAACATTTTTCTTCTCCCCAGAAAAAGAACAGCGGGAAATCGTCGGCTATCCTTCCAAAAATGTATAGGCTTTTCCGTTCTTTCTTTTCTTTCTTTCTTTCTTCCTTCTTCCCTCCTTCCCCTCCCCTCCTTTCTTCCTTCCTCCCCCCCTCCTCTCCTCCTCTTTCTTCCTTTCTTCCCTCCTTCCTCTCTTTCTCCCTTCCTTTCTTTCTTCCTTTCTTCCTTCCATTCGGGGCTCAATGACTCGTCGCTTGGCGGTAATTATTCGGAGCTCAAAGGGGAAACGGGTTACATCAATGGCTTTTCAAGGAGGCGTTCGATATGGGGAAAAGCGGGACTTTTTAGTGGACGATGGACGATAGATCGAATTCTCGATGAGGAGAGGCTAATTAAAGAGTCACAATGGGTATTCCATACATAGCTTTCCCCCTAGTGCCAACTCAAGCATGAAATCATCCTCCAAATACCCAAGATCGATTCTATTAAAGGTTTAAGTGCAAAAAGAAAACTTAATTACTGTAGAAAAAAAGGAATTTCTTTCAACGAAGCCATCTTAATTACTGATTTAAAACGGTAAATATTTTTTTGATTAGGTTAAACTATATGTTAATTTGCGAAAATTCTTTAGAACAAACGTTATCTTTCTAAAGAAAAACGTTGTCATTGTGGTTGTGGCCTGTTTCCCCTCACTAATGGAATTTGCGAGGAGGATGGCTTCGTTGAAAGAAATTTAGAAATTTAGAAATTCCTTTTTTCTTCAAGAATGAATAGAATGACTCTTAGAAGATATAGAAATATAGAAATGAATATAGAAATGAATTCTATTTGTAAATCAATGAAAATCTATGAAAATTGCCTTACTTGGTGCTATTTTTGTTGATCCGGGTGTGGTTGGTGGAGGAGTGGTGGTGATCATCGCCGTACAATTCGACAAAGTACACCGCGCTTCTTGAACTTTCTTCTGAAAGAAGATAATATAAAAATTAATATTATATTCAAAAATTGATTAAGAATAAAGAAACAATAGATATTTAAAAAAATAATTGAAGAGTTTTGTTAAAATAGCTCAGAAATGAGCGAAAAATCGAGGGTAGCCAGCTTAAAACTTGTTAAAACTCATTTACTTTCAAGTTTTGTAATATTTTAGATTTGAATATGGCTTAATATTGAATAGATTTAGCTTAATAAAGATTCCAAAAACGAGATCCCAAAAATTTTATCTTCAAAACCGACCGCATCATTGTCGTAGACGCAAACGGGATCTTTGCCCTGGCATTTATCTCCATTCAGCGGGTCATTTTCGCAACAAATCTCGAAAACCTAAAGAATTTGTTTGATTTTAAACAATTTTAAACAATTTTAAACAATTTCCAACAAATTTTTAAAGATTTTAAAAGCTTACACATTTTCGAAAAGTCTGGAATCGTTTTCTAACCTTCTCCCAGCTTCTATCAGATTTTAAAAGCTTACACATTTTCCAAAAGTCTGGAATCGTTTTCTAAACTTCTTCCAGCTTCTATCAGATTTTAAAAGCTTACACATTTTCGAAAAGTCTGGAATAGCTTTCTAAACTTCTCCCAGCTTCTATCACATTAAAACCCACATCTCACTCTCAAAGCACCCCATTATAACCAAAGAGTACAAATTTTGAAGTATTCTTTTGAAAAAAAAACTACCAAACTTTAGATATTTAAGTTTTTAAATGAAATTTTTACCTTGCAAAAATTTTCCCCAGAAAATTGAGCCAAATCTGTGCACTTTTGCGTCCAATCACGAGTTGTCGGATCCCAGGCGGTCTGAAAATCATTTAAAAATAAGTAAACTATGAGTTTAATTTATTTCTTAATATAAGAAAGTCGAAATACTTAGAATTTCTTCATTTTTTCAAATAATTTTACTCACCGCTTGATCGTCTCTCCGCTGCACGACGACTCCGAGGGAAACCACGGCGAAAATAGCCAACAAAACGGCGCTCGACTGTCGCATATCTAGAATAATGCCTATTTTTCTGAATAGAAGTAAAACTGAAACGTGAAACTTGAAACTTTCAACAATGCAGTAAGAAAAAAATCTCAGAAATCAACGTAAAATCAGAAATTTTAGTTCTAGATCTAGACCTATTTACTAGCAACTTTGACAGCTCTGGCACGAGATTTCAAGTTGAAAAGAAAGAAGAAAAATCAACAAATTTCGAAACATTTTGTGAAGAGTAAGCATTGCGTACTGATCAAATGTGACTGTGACAATGATAGAAATCAATGCCAAGGTTTGCTGAACATTGTGGGCTAACAGCTATAAATCTAACTGACCTATTTACCAGCAACTTTGACAGCTCTGGCACGAGATTTCAAGTTGAAAAGAAAGAAGAAAAATCAACAATGAGTAAAGTAAAACAATTGAAAATAGAAATAGATTAAATTTCGAAACATTTTGAGAGTAAACAGTGAGTAGTGATCAAATGTGACTGTAGGATTGATAGAAATCAATGCCAAGGTTGCCAATCAATGCCAAATGCCACATTGTGGGTTAACAGCTAAAAACCTAACTGATTCTAGTAAAATCTCGGGAGCCGGGTAAAGGATTCAAAAGAGAAAAGAGGGTTTGATGAGATGGTGTGAGGTTGTGAATGTGTAGAAAGAGGGTGAGATCCATGTTGTCTAGAAGGGAAGGAGCTCTGTCTTGAGAAGGGGTTGAGAATGCAATTTGGCCTAAGTCCAGCCTTTTCCCCCTTTCTCCATTCTTTTCTCATTCCTCTGATCAAAGCCTTCTGTCTCCTCCCCTATTTCTTTTTGAGAGAAAGCTTGCCATTTTTGAAAGAGAACAAAAACATAAAGAAATCCTTCTCCCTACTGCCTTAAAAAGCCATTTCTCATTCTTTTTGAGTTTTGGCTTGAGGATTTACTTTTGTTAGACTAGGTAAGAACTTACTAGACACAATTTGAAAGCTAGAGAGATTGCTAAAAGATTTGAAACAAAACAAAGCTTTGAAAGAAGCTTTCAAGACAAAACGAAGCTTTGGAATAAAGCTTTGGAACAAAACGAAGCTTTGAAAGAAGCTTTCAAGACAAAACGAAGCTTTGGAATAAAGCTTTGGAACAAAACAAAGCTTTAAAACAAAGCTTTAAAACAAAACAAAGCTTTGAAAGAAACTTTCACGACAAAACAAAGCTTTGGAACAAAACAAAGCTTTGAAAGAAAGCTTTAAAACAAAACAAAGCTTTGAAAGAAAGCTTAATGTTCAAAAATGTCCATTAAAGATGTACTTTATGGTCTCAAAACTGCAAACGCCTTTCCGGTGCCCCAATTTTCTGACTCAGTTTTTGAATGCACCAGAAAGGGTGCACTTGAATTGATTTAAGTACAAAGTACACTAGAGTACCTCTTGGGTGAACTCAAAGTACAAAGTACACTAGACAAAGTACACTACAAAGTACACTAGAGTACTTATTAGTGCTCTCAAAAGTGCAAACGCATACTTTCTGGCGTATCCTATTAGCTATGATATAATCAAAACGAAGATAATAACAAAAAAATCACAAAACCTATCATTGAGTCAATCTAAGCAAAAAAAAACGTGAAATTTTCTTTTTGATAAGAAAAAAAGTGAATCGAGTTGTCAATTGAGTTTTTTTTTCTTTCTTTGAAACTCTCGATGTGCTTTTTTTGCTTTCGAAAGGACCCTATCAGGCCAATTTGCGAGTCAAACTGCCGACTTTTTCCCTCTTTTTCCACTCCTTTTCCACTCCTTTTCCCTTGGACTTCTCCACATCCACAAAAAAAACTAGAGAAAACCTTTTCGAAAGCCTTTCAATCTTTTCTTCTATTCAAAAAAACAAGTAGTAAACGGCTTTCAAACGAGAATTCCTGAAATTTTCTCAAAAAATCGTTATGCATTTTAAATATTCAATATTAAATTTCTAAAAAAGACAAATTTCTGAAAAGATTTTATGGAAAATCGACAGGATATGAGAACAACCAAATATGAGAACAACAGGATATGAGAACAACAAACAAAACGTGATTTTCTACCCTAGATCAACTTTGATGACTTATTGTCAGAAGTTTCCCCCGAACCAGCAGCGTTGATGGCCGATGATGGCCGTTGATGGCTAAGAGCCCTGTAGATCAAGGGTTCGGTCCCACCAATGGTCCTTTTTTCGATTGTTTTTTGGTTTATGGGTTTTTTTTTCTACCCTAGATCAACTAATAACGGCTTTCAACGAGAATTTCTGAAATTTTCTTTAAAAAAATCGTTATGCATTTTAAATTTCCAAAAAAGACAAATTTCTGAAAAGATTTTATGGAAAATCGACAGGATATGAGAACTACCGGAAACGTGATTTTCCAAGCGAAAAATGGGAAACAGATTAATGAAAATTCTCAAAAAAACAGTGAACTTTAAAGATTTTTATTTAAAAACGACTAAATATTGGTTTTTCTCGAAATTCGGCTAAATTTGACTAGCTTTCTCAGTCCGTTAGGGTAAAGTTGTTTGAAAACAAAACATCGTGAAACTCTAGACGTCAGCTAGCTAAAGAAGTCTTTGTGAAAGCGTTAAGCGCTCAAAAAAAAGCACTTAATCGAATTGCTTTTCGTCTAGAGTCTAAAAGAGCGTTAAAAATAAGTGATGTATAGTGGAAAAAGAGTCAAAAAGGAATGAATAAAAGCTGTTTAGTAATAGGAAGAATTAGTTTCAATTTTCTGTATTGATATGAATGATAATAATGATAAAGTAACTGTTTTGTAGAAGTTCTTATTGAAAATTCAGTCGCTTTTCATATTCAAGAAACGTATCGATGCTTTAGATCTAGTGGCTCTTTCCCGTAAGTAATTGGCTTATTGATTTCAGTATGTATTGTATGATTAAGTATCACTGTGCATTTCTCTATGATTTCTTTCACTTTATCGTTTGAATAAAGTATTATTATAAAAAGAAAAGGAGAAAGTGATATAAGTTAAGATGTAAGTAAGAAGAAGTAATTGCTTGTAATAAACTTTAAAATTAGTTGATTCGTTGATCTAGGGTAGAAAAGAATCCATAAACCAAAAAACAATCGAAAAAGATCCACTGGTGGGATCGAACCCTCGACCTCCTGACTACGATACAGAGCTCTTAGCCAGTCGGCTATGGGTGCCGGCTGTTCGAGACAATAAGTCATCAATTAGTTGATTAGTTGATCTAGGGTAGAAAAAAAACCCATAAACCAAAAAACAATCGAAAAAGATCCACTGGTGGGATCGAACCCTCGACCTCCTGCCTATGATACAGGGCTCTTAGCCAGTCGGCTATGGGTGCCGTTTGCTCGGGGGAAACTTCTGACAATAAGCCATCAAGGTCTTCGTTTCATCGAAATCCAAAAATTCTGGAATTATGGTTTCCAGAAAATTTTAGACAAATATGTCGACATTTACATATTCTCTAGATTCAAGATTCATTTTCTTTTCCCCTTTCATTTCATCACCGCTTTTTCATTCCTATTTTGCGTCTTTTCCCTACCCTCACTAAGCCTGATTCCTATTTCATTTCATTTCATTGCTTTCCCTCTTTCCCCCTCCCCGTTCCTGTCCCAACCCCAAAATTCCATTCATTTTGGCCATATTTCTCTCATCTTTCTTTTTCCCTTCAAAAGTTTCAACCGAATGTCCAGCCAAAAGTTTGCTCTTCCGTTGGGTAATTATGCCGACTCGCAAAAGGGACGTGTGATGAAAGATTCACCTCGTTCTCTCACCATTCCCCCATCACTCCACTCACTACTCATACTTCCATAGAGCCAACAAAAAGTAGTACGAAATTATACTAGTGCTGAAAAGAAAGATTAATAAATGATAAGTGTTCAGTTGCTTTTTTTCGAGCTGGATTTCTTAAGCTGGAGCTGGAGAAAACGAGCTCTACAAGGATTTTCGTCAGTTTTTTTAATTCATAGCCAATCTCTATTTATTCAGCTGGAATTTGAAAGTCAAAACCAACTTTCGAAAGAAATGATGGCTGAGAAATATGGAAATCGAAGTAAACAGTTTGAAATGTGGTTCTAGAGTGGTTCTAAAGTTGAAATGTGGTTCTAAAAGGAAAGTTGAACAAGATAGGAAATATCTTTAATGATTTTTCTTGAAGAAAAGACAAATGACACGATTTTACACATATTTGGGAAACGGTATGGAAAGGCAAAGATTTTGAAATGCTCATTTCTCCGGTCCGATGCCATTTTCATTCTCACGAATCATCAAATCAAACATTTCTTTCTTCAACAAAAAATCTTAGTTGAAAAAAGAAAGAGAAAAATGACATTAAAAGCAAAATCTTTCATGTTAACTTTAAAATCAATGAAAAAGCTTCTAGTGATCATTTACAAGATTACCGTATTTTCTCTAATAGTAGTGCACCCCGGCAAGCCGAGTTGGTGACTATTTTGCGATTTCCAAGCTTTTGCAGAAGCTCAACCCTCTAAGCTTCCACTAGATCTCATCGTCAGCTACATTTTCCGACCCCACATCGATAGGTTCTGATAAGCGGTTCTCGAGATGTGGACCAATTTAAGCGACGCTCTTGGTGCACTACTATTAGAGAAAATACGGTATTCAAGACACAAAAAAAGATTGCTGTACCTATTCTCAATGGATTTCTCGTGACATTTTGAAATCTCAAAGACTTTTTTCACAGCTTTTTGCTTAGAAATCAATAGGATTGGACAAGAAAATGAAATTAGATTTGTTAAAGAGAGTAAATGCTTTAAAACTTGATTTCTATTGAACAAAAGCTTGTTGTGAGTCAATTGTCAGACAATATTTGCAACTTTTGAGTTCGAGCAATGTTTGTTGGTCATGAGACAAAGCACTAGTATTCGGGAAAATACGGTATGTAGCATCGAGTTATTTTCCTGATAACATTTTTAAAAGAAAACACGGTAGTTTATCTAGAACTTACAATTCTGAGATGAAAATTTTCAAATAAACGTTGTGAATTCTTTTTCACTGACATTATTTCATAA